TGCTTGCGTGCATTTGTGTGTGTGCGCATTTGTGTGTGCCTGTGTGTGTGTGTGTGTGTGTGTGTGTGTGTGTATGTGTGTGTGTGTGTGTGTGTGTGTGTGTGTGTGTGTGTGTGTGTGTGTGTGTGTGTGTGTGTGTGTGTGTGTGTGTGTGTGTGTGTGTGTGTGTGTCTGTGTGTATGTCTGTCTGTCTGTCTGTGTCTGCGTCGCTGCTTGTTACTCTCCCGGACTAATGCCGATTTTATAGACTATCCCACTGAGATACCATGCCACAGTTTAACACTAATTTACCATCAGACACAATATACCGACCCAGCCGATCATTCCTTGTTTAAGTCCCTTAATGCCGAGGGCCAGGCAGGGTAGCAACACGAACCAGCTGTTTACGTCTTTTAGTGTGACGCGGCAGAGGATCGAATCTCCGACCTTCCGCTGTCCGGGCTGACGCTCTATCAACTAGACCAAGGAAGCGGTCCTTATTATTGGAAGCAGTTAGTGATTGAAATGAAGAATGAAGCTAAATATATGATTAAAAAACAAAAATTGGCTTCAGGTTTTACCCATGTGGGGTACCTGTTGGACCGGAACGTAGTAGAATATTTCTAAACTGAACGACTACAGATCGGGGAATAAGAAATTTGAACTACACACTTGATCCGTGTTTATGGAAACATAAAGATTGGAAGCAGTTTGTGATTGAGATGAAGTATGAAACTTAATATCAAATTGAACACAGATCCTCAATTTCTTGATATCTTGAGGGATTCATATTCACACACAAAATCTGTTACTCGTGAACAAGATTGAAAGAAGTGTGTCACCTGCATGGAAATTGATTATTCTTTCAATCTGCTCAAAATATCATTTCATCCACATAAACAACAGGTATAAATAGAATAATCCTAATAAAAAGTAATTTTCACGACACTCATAACATTTGTTTTGCCTTAAGCTAACGGTTATCAGAGATAATTCCACCTCTTGGCTTCGAACGTAATAGAATATTTCTAAACTAAAAGATTACAGACCGTGAAATAAGGAATTGGAAATAAATTTATCTACGCTCAGACACATGTTACACTCCATAATAAGAATTGCATCTTGCATCTCAGGGGTGGAAACATGTAGATAGGAAGCAGTTTGTGATGATACTATTTACACATAAATCTAACATAAATTCTCAGCTAAAGTTAAGGGTGATATGCATTGATACAAATACGTGACCCTATATTGATCTAGCCCTGCTACATTTACGATGTTGACAACAATAAAACCTGGTATTGTCAGCAAGTGCAAAAGGACTGTAAGTTATATTTAGTCACGCTGTAAATTAGTTATATTTAGTCACACTGTTTATTAATTATACTCAGTCACACGACAAATTAGCTATATTCAGACACACTGTATGTTAGTTATATTCAGTCACACGACATATTAGCTATATTACGTCACACAGTATATTAGTTATATTCAGTCACACTGTATATTTGTTTTATTCAGTCACACTGCATATTAGTGATATTTAGTCACACTGTATATAAGTTACATTGAGTCACACTATATATTAGTTATACTCAGTCACACTATATATTAGTTATACTCAGTCACACTATATATTAATTAATATTCAGTCACACTGTATGTTAGATATATTGAATCACACTGTATATTAGTTATACTCAATAACACTGTATATTAGTTATACTCAGTAACACTGTATATTAGTTAAACTCATTCACACTATATATTAGTTATACTCAGTCACACTATATCAACATTTACAACGGAGTGCAATGATTCTATGTACACATACATATAACGTAAATCCCAAGTTAAAGTTAAAGGTGATATTCATTGATACAAATAAGTGACCCTTTATTATCTTATTTGCATACTTATCTTTATTATTTGCATGCAAAGGACATACAGTTTATTAGCCTCACGATATAATAGCTTTAATTAGTCACACGATATATTAGTTATACTCAGTCACACTGTATATATTTATACTCAGTTACACTGTATATATTTATACTCAGTCACACTAGATATCATTTACACAGAGTGACGTTACATATTAGTAATACTCAAACCATATATTAGTTCTACTCAAACTATAGATTAGTTCTACACAGTCAAACTATGTATTAGTTATACTCATTCACACAAAATATGACACCGGGAAGATCTGACACTGGTCACATGGGTCCAAGTCAACACTGAGTTGATGATCTGTCAACACCACGTCAGTCAATCTGCAGTTTGGAGGTGGTGGTAAATGTAGGTAGTTATCATAACTTCAGATGGAATGATCAGTTGATTATGAATCAGTGGTCTATACTGTGTTACTACTACTTAATACTTTGATTTCACCTGAGCCGGATTACAAACATACACATGGCCACGTCCATCTACACAAACTCCGTACGGGTTCAAGACACCGTCATCTGCAGTAAGGAAGTTTCTAACAAACTGTCCCGACTCAGTCAGATGAACAACTTTAAGTTGAGAGAAGTCAGCAACCAGGATGTCGCCTGTGCTGGTACTTGTGATGCCCCGCGGATATGTCAGTGTTGTGTCTCCTGTCGGGGTGTAGGTGAACACAACATCCCCTTCAGGTGTCAGGCACAGGACACACCTGGAAGTGCTGTCTGACACAAGGATGTTTCCTGTTCCTGTGGTACAAAGAAAGAAAGGAGATTGTAGGGATCTTTTCTCCACCACTGAGTGGGCTGATTGACCTCAGTACGTTTCCTATCATGTCCAGAATATCCACACTGGGGGGAGACTGGACACTTGCTGCTAGTGTTGATGGTGTCAGAGACGTTATACCACAGTACTGTTTGTTGGTTGTGATGGTTGACAGCAGCACCAGGTCAGGGTTGACTTCAACTGTTACAATCTGGCTGGTATCTCGCACAGTGACCGCCACCTGGTTGTGTTTCAACTTTGTTATACCCCACGGACGACTACTCAGGCTGAGCTTGCTGTGACCTGGCTGATTTGTCTTGGTGTAGAAGGACTTCACACTCTTGTTGATGCTGTCTGTGACTACCACTGTGTCTGTGCCATTCACCACCAGAGTCGTCAAGTCAATGGGCCGTGCAGGATTTCCATCTCCTGCAACTCTGATGTTAATGGTGTCATGTAACACAGGAGTCGCCTTCAGGTCCAGCACTCCCTCATACTGGATGTCTATCTCACCCAGCTGTAGATCGTTCAATGCTCTACTCAGCTGATCCGTGTCCTGTCTGAACATGATCTTGGCTATTCTCCCATCATCCTTCAGGTCTGCGTCTCCGACAGCATCCACATCATCGACCTCCCATCCCTGATACATCTAAAACACATCCATGTCACACTCAGATTGTAGGGTCTGGTCTATCAGTTCAGCCTGTTGTCGGTACATCTGTACTGATATTTCCCCTGACTTAATGTCGGCTGTCAGTTGTCCAATGTGCTTTTCTGAGACTTCTTTCAGTTCATCTAGGAGTTTATTTTCTTTGACAGTGATCTTCTCTCTCGCTTCGTTTCCAAAGGACTTGATATCTGATTCTATTTGTACATGCCGATCTGTTTCAGAGATGACATTTGATTGAACTGTATCGACTTTTACTTTCATTTGGATTTGTTTCTTCAAGATATTTTCTTTTTCATTCAACAGTTGGGATTTTAAAGCAGGTAATTCCGACTCTAGTGTGACAACCGAGTCACATTTCCTGTGATAGATAATACAACAGGTTTGACAGGTGACTTTCTTGCAATCTTTGCACAGGAATTTGATGCATTCATCCTTGTTCTTTGCACATGACCTTTCGTTTCCTGGCGATAAAGACCTCACTAAGAAGGTCAATTGTGTCATGATGGCGAGTGGATGAGATGCGTCTGTGTACCCTCTCGCATACGTCACACAATGCGTCATCGCATATAGAGCACCACACAGTTGCTGGGGTTGACTCCCCTTCGAGTAGACAACACGTGCAATGTTTCGTAGCTGTACCAAACAAGTAAAATGGTTGAAAGAAAAAAACGGCTAAATATATCACTGAGTGTGTGTTGGCATATATATATATATATATATATATATATATATATATATATATATATATATATACTGGTACTGTGTGTAGGTGACATTTTGATTTTTGATATACTTAAAGGGGCGGTGGGGTAACCTAGTGGATAAATCATGCGCTCGTCACGCAAAAAAACCCGGGTTCGATTCCCCACATCGGTACAATATGTGAAGTCTATTTTCCGGTGTCCCGTGCCATTGTATTGTTGGAATATTGCTAAAAGCGGTGTAAAACCATACTCACTCTCTCACTCACAGTTATACTTAAAGTTGGTCTTAAAGTACTGCCACCCAGAATCACTCAGTAAAAGTTACACATGAAAACAGTTACAAGTTTATTTGCATGATGGATGTATCGAGTGTTTGGAATGTCACTTTTCTTTGCAAACAACATATTTTGCCTATAATGTCTTCCTTGTACAAAGGCCATGGGGCATAGCTGTCGTATCTGGGTGACTACAAACTTTATCAGCCACCAAGGGGACTTAAAACTGGTATACCATACTTCACAACAATATAATAACACATGATAATGCTACATCTGACAATAGGGGCGGTCCGGTAGCCTAGTGGTTAAAACGTTCGCTCGTCACGCCGAAGACCCGGGTTCGATTCCCGTCATGGGTACAATGTGTGAAGCCCATTCTGGTGTTCCCCGCCGTGATAGTGCTGGAATATTGCTAAAAGCGGCGTAAAACCATACTCACTCACTCACTCTAATCTGACAATAAATTCTAGTATATGTGCATAATGGACTAGTTTCGCAGTAACATGGGTGATTGCTTGAGGTCTGTATTGCTAGGAGCATGTACTTGTGTGTAAATTGTTATAAAGAAATAACACAGAGCCAAATAGGAATAGGTGAATAACATTTAGGAAATTGATTTGGGCAAACTACTGTTGACACAATGCAGTTTCTATCTACCTTTACATCCGGGGCCAAACGAATCCAAGAGTCCCTGGATGACAAAGCTGGGCTTGACGTCAACCGCCCACTCCTCCACTGGCTTCTCAGGGGAAGACACTTTCGTCATCTTGCTGCAGAATGGACACAGAAGAGACTTGGCACTGATGGCTTCTGGTCTGGTTTTGGTGTAGTTGACTGTACATAACGAAAGTAGACTTGACAACACAGAGGTGGGAAGCTGGGACACGAACGCTAAACACATCGCCACGACTGAATCATCAGCTGACTTTTACTTCACAGGCTGTCGATACATTACTGAGTAACGACGTCGCTTAACTCGGCCATTGAGATCATTGTTAGCCTTGTAGTGTACATAACATTTGGCAAATATCACCCGCATGTCAACTTACCTTCACTTCCTTGATCCAACCAGGCGGTGTAGAGGGAGATTGCACACCGTGATGAATGGCTACTGGTAGTGACCTCTTATCAGCCGTAACAGCGCATGTGATCGCGACTCGTTTTACTTTGCTCGTTTTCAGCAGAAGAGAAATATATCTATCCGAAAATGTTGACAAAACTTGAGTCTTGTTTGGAAACAATACAAAACACTCCAGATAAGCACCTTGCTTAAATATTACTTTAGAGAAGAGACGCAGGGGTGTCACGTGACTCTTTCACGCGTTGAAAAGCCCAGCAACACCACCATGCACATTTAGTTCGGTCGTTGCTTACAATATGTCTGTAATTTCTTACCAAAATACGATTTAAAATAAATGTACAACCTGAATTAATTGCGACATCCATGGTACACAGATAAGCATGTGCAGATTGAATTTGTGGAATATCATTGGTCTCCGTCAGTTCGCAGAGGACAAATTGATGAAGTACAATGTATTTCTGATGAATGGTGTGGGTGTTCTTTTTCTGTCTGTCGACCTGTAGCTCGGCGTGTGTATGCCGTATGCAGAGTAACGATATTCGATTGAAGTCGTCCATTCTTCCAGACTGTTTGCCCATGAGTGACTTTCTCATATAACAGTAACTTTGTGAGGATAGCGACAAAAATAGATTTTGTGTTGACATCAGCACACAGAGGAAAGAAGTGATGTTTTCCTGCCTAGAGCATAACAGTAGCAATAGCCTGAGGTTAGGGTTTACCTCAAAACTTATTAGATGGTTGTCAGAGAAGATTTCATTGTGCGATAACAGCCCAAACAGGAATTTATGGCTATGATGTAGTAGAGGTAAGATATTCGATGGAATTATGAGGACCTGGTGTCACCTGGCTGATTGTGTGTTCAGGCCATCCAGACAATTTAGTCATGTCGACATTGACTGGCCATATTAAAAATATTTCATGCTTCTTTTCTAACATGACTTGAGTTGGAAGCTTGCTTGCTGACTGACAGTGGTATTCCACCACTTGTGACTAGCGTCCGCTTCTAGATGAGGACAACTATTCTCAAAAAGTATATAAGTCAGATGTCATGTCAACATTGACTGGCAACATGTAAGATCTTGAATAGCTCTAACATGACTTGAGTAGGAAGCTTTCCAGCTATGTAATCGCCAGCCAAGAAGGTGGACAGGGGATATAGGAACGGAGTTCGTCCGTACATCCGCTTCTTAATGGGGACAAAAACATTGAAAAACTATTTAAGTTAAACAAATGAAGTTTGACACTGATCTTACTGGTTATGATCTTAAATAAGTTCGAAAATTGGTGTCTTACAGAGTGATGTCCCTCTTCCATGCTCTTCAACTTAGTGCTTACCGGGTGAAATGGAGACATTGCTGTAAGTTTGCATGCTTATCTAAGATATATTTGTCAAGACTTGAGTGCGAAAATTGGTTCTGTTAATTCTTTTTTTTAAATAAGCTGAGGCCCTTGCTCCGTGGTTTTCAACTTAGTGCCTTGAGTGTGCAATGGGGACAAGTCTTCTCAGAAACTACTAAATTTATTTATTTAAGGGAAATGTATCAAGACAGAGTTTGAGAATTAGTGGCATAAATTATTTATTTCCAGAGAAGGGGACTTTTGTGTGTATCAGTTTTACATTTAATCATATTTTGTTCTGATGAAACGACCTTTGTGACGATCTCTTAAGGCTTTACATGACTCTTTTTCTGTAGTTCATGTTTACTACGACATGAACAAACAGAATTCTCTTGTTCCCCACGGCGGGAGATATTGGTAAGGTTGTTTTCTTGTTATCCCAGTATCCTGATATTCTGACCTGGTTGTAAATAGCCAATCACGATTTCCCCCTGGGGTCCTCATGTCTTTGCTATTGGCATCCCTACCCACATTCTCTCTACTTCAAGCCCTCACCGATCCTCGATTATTCAGTGTATTTCATCTCCATCCTTTTATCATAAACGCCCTTGACCTATTTACCACAACAGCTTCGTTTGTGAGTCCAGTGTCAAATTACAACGTGTTATAACATGCTAAACCTTATCTGAAAACAATCTACCGATTCGATATTATGTGAAGAGGGCTCGGTCCTACGAGGCACCGGTTTTCAATGTGGCTCCAAACCAACCTCTTGTTCAGATGAGTGTTGAATTCATACCCATGAGTCTTCTTAGAAAATCTGTGCAAAGTTAGTGGTAAGAGAGATGGAGCTGGTGCGTCATTTTCAAAAGGAAGCTTTGATTGCTGATGGGTCCAGGGCATTAATCATTTAATACTGGTTGGCTATTTGGTTGAGTTGTTGAGTTGTTGAGTGAGTCAGTGGTTGAGTGAGTGGCTGAGTGAGTGGTTGAGTGAGCGGTTGAGTGAGCGGGTTGAGTGAGTGAGTGGTGAGTGGTTAAGTGAGTGAGTGAGCAAGCGAGTGTGCGTGCAAGCGCTGCAATGATATGGTGATGACAAGCCAAAAAACATAAGCAGGGCTAAGTGATATTCCAATCATCTAACAGTCATAGTTTTCTGGGACGCCTGAAGACAGCTCAGCACAGCAAATTGCGATGTCTTATGCCTCAGTCACATATACAACGGTCACCGGACGATGTGGGCGGTGGGTTTCACCGATGCCCCGGCGTGCTACAGATATATGCCCACCTCTGTGACACTTCGGTGCAGTAATGAAACCAAAGATGATCGGTAGATACCCCTTCAGCCAGGGTCTCAAGGGTTTGGGAAAAAGTGTTTTGCTTTCAAAATTGTTGCAAGTGCTGTATCACATTTCAGTTGATTTTGTAAATTTCTGGAGTATGAAACTTCGGAGATGAAGAGTGGAAAGGCAGAGGGAGCTGCTGCGAAGAAGAGCACAACGGGGAGGAAGAGACAGAAGGACAGTGTGTGTGGAGGGACAGGCATCCCTATAGACATTCCATGCTGCTCATCCCATTCAACCCAATATATAATACACTCTAGAACAGGCACATCAACATTTCCAGTGTCCGATGAATGATACCCGCTTGGCGCCTGGCCGATGCTTATCCAGACTCTTGTTGGTCACTTTACGACTTGGCTTAATCGTGTGGTCACCGGAGTGGAACATTCCGAGTATTGACCTATCCCCGGGAGATGACATTTCGGCTATCCTCCGGTGACCATACCACACCTTCTCACTGCAAAATGTGTCCGATTCCCTCGCTGTCTGGCTGGTGCCATCTCCCCGAGGCAAGAGAGTTAACTGACTATAAAAGTCCAGTTTCCACCCTTGCCGAACTAGGCGGGTATTATGGAGTTACATTTCGGCTGGACTAACGGGCACTGAAATCGAAATCCGGTTCGTAAACTGTCTTGCAGATTTGGTCGATTGCAGGATTTGCAAAGCATGTGCACCGCCAACTCGTTGTCAGCATATATTTTCCAAATCTGTTCATGTTTTTAATCAAGGTACTCTCATGATTTGATGCATTGCGCGATGTAAGACCCGTTCTATCACAATACAGATCTTGATTATCGATCAGATCGTCCTGACCGGGCGCCACAATTTTGTGTGAAGCAAACGCAGGTGATACGAGAGGTGGAATCTGATTGGTCCATACGAGAGGCTTAGAAGGAGGCTCCGGAAGATGTCACTGATCCATTACCGATCGGGGGATGGACCACCGGACTCTGCAAGGAAATAACTCTGAGTTATTTTCTTCCGATGTGTCCACCGGGGTCTTCCAGATGTCAAAAACATGGCCAATGCTCACAGACTATCTTCCGGCGCCCCGTCGGGTATCTCTCAATTTTGCTGATTTTCAGCCTTTTTGGGCATCGTAAACTAATCTTTCCTGGCATCGGTGTATATGTGACTTAGGCATTAAACGACTCGTCCATCCGTGCCTCCAAATATAACAGAACACATGGTCAACACAGTCTAAGTTTTATTTTAAGTATGTATCACGACTGAAAACAGCTGTATAGATCATGATTGAAACAACATGCAACAACTGTTCCTTCTGTATGGCCATGGATGATATATAGTAGAAGCCCAGCAATATGTTGTCAGTCAGCCAGCCATCCATGAACAACTTAGTCCTTTGTCTAGTCCAATGACAGGAAACACAATAAAATTTACAAATTGTGGACAGGTTATGATCCCCACGTTCTCATTTCTTGAAAGCTATCTTTTTGCTCTTGAGTACAGACCACTTGTGTCGCTTCAGGTAGTAGCTTACTGCAATTAGTCCTGAGAAGATTATGATAGCCTGAAAGAATCAATAGCATTGTTAACTTCAAGATTCCATTAGTATATCATTCCAAAACTTAAACATCAATAGTTCAATTGAGGATGAAATGGTTTTAAGTTTGAGTTTGCTCTGAACGAAATTTAAGTTTTATCACAATGTGTTAACTTGATGTGGGAGGAAAAAACACAGTGTTTGTTTGATTGTTGTTTAATGCCATTCTCAGCAATATTCAAGCTATATGACAGCGGTCTGTACCAATCAATACAGTGATTAAGATCATGAGCATTGATCCAAGCAATTGGGGTATGATTACATGCATTAATTAAGTTAGCGAGCTTGAATACCCAATCCCATTAGTTGCCTCACAGTCGCCTCTTATGACAAGCAAGGGTGGCTGAAGACCTATTCTAGCCCGAATCTTCACGGGCAGAAAGTCAACAGTGATAAAGATATGAGTGAGTGAGTGAGTTGGGTATAACGTCGCTTTTAACAATATTCCAGTTATATCGCGGAGTGTCAGCTTAATGTGGTAGGAAAGCCCGAAGGGATGCAGGTCTCAGACGTTTACCACTTCGGTGAAACCCACAAGCACGGGTATGGTGCTGACAAACCTAGAAACATAATCGATGCGAACCGGGATTCGAACTCACAATCATAGGTTTCTGGCATGCCCAAGGGACGCAACTCTGCACAGCGAATCGCGGCGCCTTAGACAACTGGGCCACCCGTGCCCCGATAAAGATATGACATTTACCACTTTGGACTAACACTGGTAAGCATGGCAAGGTATTGAATAACCAGAACCATATTCAGGATCAGCCTATTATCAGAAGTAATGGGACGATACACTAATGCATCAATGCATCATAAGTGCCATAGTCTTGATACAAGTATCAATCACAGTCGCACACTAAGGATAATATATCGCTTCTTGCCTGAAATGTTTTCTTAACTATTACACCAAACATAATTTTTGTAGTGAAAACTTTAAAAAATTCATCCACTGTAAATCATCAGTGTACCAGGTATTTGGCCTTCCTGTCTATGGAAAAGATGGCTTACGCACCACAGATAAGAGCACATGCAAGAATCATCGATATGCACGTTGGTCCATCGTCCCAACATTTAATGATCAGGGGATCCTTGCATGTGACTGAGGTATGTAACTCTGCAGTCAACAGCCAACTGATGTCCATTTATATGGCATTTTTTTCTATGCTGGACAACATGCTCAAAGTACACAAAGATCAATGGATCAGTGTGCATTTCATTTTCATTCTCGGCACCTTGGGAAGTATACAACCCAGGCTGCTAGAAAGGCAACAGTCACATCACCATCACCCATTCACTGTGGGGTGAACAGAGGCATATTGAGTACAGTCACTTGCCCAACAAGACACCACATGTGCTTCAGTGTGGGACAGGCCCAAAGTCCTAGAATTAGAAACTCTCAGGAGCCAAGCTGCTAATCACGGCCACCCATCCAAGGACTCTCCAAGACCAAGTTGCATAACTTCCCCTGATGTGTGACCTGTGGGCTGTACACTGGTTCACGTAGCACCACTCATTTCATGGTGATGACCTCTTACCTTGAGTCCCATCTTCTTGCGAGTGTCATGTTCGGGTTCTGCGGCCCACTTCAGGAACACACATATATCCTTCGCTAACTGACTCTGTGTGGCCTCAGTGCCTGCAAAAAGACGACCAACATTGTATAAATAATTACACTTAACGAGGGCAGTATGAGAAAACAAGGACCCCACCCTGAGGTGGTCTGACCAGACCGAGATCGCAGACTTCAAGCCAGCCAGACCTTGTTTTATTTCCCTTAATGCCGAGCTCCAGGCAGGGAAACAACAAGTACCATCGGTTTGGGCATGACACGGCCAGGGATCAAACCACCAACCTTCCACTCTCAAGGGAGACGCTTTACCCGACTGAACTGACAATCCAACGGCAGATTATTATCTGGTTTCATAATACTGAAAATACCATTTTTGAGTTTGGATGAACACTGCTTTAAACAGTCAAGTCTTGTTAATCCACTTTTTGTTAATCCGATAATCGGCTTTATCTGACACTAATGATGGAAACCGATTAAATCAGTGCTACTTAGACCCGTTAATCCGACAGTCTCGCACCCCGACTCCGACACACCTATTTTGCAATGAATTACCGAAATAACTCATTAATCATGTTAATCAGTTTCGTTTATCCGACAGAGTAATTAACGAACTCCTTGGTCATCTGCCCGCGAGTACACAGCCCATGTTTTGATGTGAGATGTGTTGATACTTCTTAATTTTGTTTATCAGACATACTCGTTAATCCGACATAATCATATGCAACCAACCATGTCAGATTAACATGACTTGACTGTATTTCAATTATACTACACTCTTTCATCTTAATTTGGGAAGGAATTCCAAAAGTGATCGGGGTAAACATGGGATTCTGACCCACGTTCAACAGATTCCAGCACAACTAACAGGACACCACAGAGAAATTACAGAACCATGGATGACTCTCGCGACCCCAGGTATTTTTAAAAAATCAACATCACCAACAATAAATCATCAGTTTTGCTAAATCTGATGTTTGTACATTGGTAATGACAAATAAGTAAAACAGCACTTACCATCTTCATATTCAATGATTTCATTATAGAGAGCCTGGGCCATGCCTATAGCTCCTCCTGGAAAGTAGGGGTTGTAGTAGAGTCCTTCCTTCACACTGACTCCTTCTGGTGGGTCGCAGTAGCCAGTCAGCAATGAAAATACATAGTCCTGCACACAATAACATTAACATTAGCACATTTAGATCATTTATTAGGAGTGGGCAAATTTTGTTCAGTGTCACAGTACTAATCAGCTATATCTTGGCAGCCTGTGAACAATCGCGTTTGAACCAGGCAAATCCTTGACTGAAATCTCAAGCAAGGGCTCCATTCCCAGTGTTTGCATTGTGTTCCCAAATTACGGGGTCCCCTGTGACGCGGTAGCCGTGAGCGCCGTAGGCACGAAGCTATCTAGGGGGGTTTGGGTGCATGCCCCCCCCCAAGAAATTTTGTTAAATGTGGACCTGAAATGGTGAACTTTAGGCCATTCTGAGCATAAATAAGTGTGTGGTTAAAATCTTTAAGTCACAGTTTTTATGTGTCTACACAAAACATCTTTGAAATCTTCATAGATTAGCCACTTGACTCTTTCAACACCAGTCAACCAGGAGCTTTATCTGCTGTGACACCAAGTTCCCAGAGACTCTTGTGTGATAGATGAAGCCAACATTTATCAAGGAAAATATCTGCTTGTAAAACATTAGTCCTGCACCATGACTGTGGAATATGTATATTTTGTGAAAACAACAACAATCTAGAAACGTATACAAAAGCAAGTCAAGCCAGCTCTAGCTAGGAAATCAGCAAAGGGGAAATTATATATTTATTTTTAGAGTCGAGAAGGCTATTGTGTAATATAAGATTTCATAGACTAAATGTTAGACTAGTAAAACATCTTTGCAACTACACGTTATTCACCATTTGAAAGGTCTAATCCTACTGTTTATACATATTTATGTTTATCATATTATTTAAATAAAGCATTTACAACTTAAGTAAGTTGTAAATAAAAACAAATGTTAGCTAACCCATTCAAACGTCCAGATTGAGGACCAAGGAAGGGTAAATTTGACGATTTTTGTCAAATATAAACAAACATAAAATCCACTTAGATCTACCTATTTCTTTTTTATTTTCATTGTTTGCCTGATCGGAAAAGTATTTTATAAATAATTGTAAATAGTATCTGTCATCACCAATTTCTCGATACCTGCGGCTGTCAGTAACATGAAGAAATACGTCCATTTCGAAGCTTCGTATTAGTAAGTTTATTTTTTCATCTACACTAACCTCGCCAAGTCTTTTCGTCGCTGTAAGTTTGTCACGTGCTTTCTTGCCGATATCTGCTACGAGGGTGGTGATTGGTCAAACTAGAGTACATGACCTAAGGCTGTTAATCAAATTACAGCAATAGCACGTGTGTAATCAAAGATTTTTACGAAAGTTTTTTGTTATTCTGAACGTTTCAAGCAGGAAACTCGCGATCTATATTAAAAACATGGAACTTCGTGGATGTATCGTTTAGGTTAGGAGCTGTGACAAAGGTTTTTCAGGCATATGGGAAACATCGTATCCGAGTCGAGAAATCGAGGCGACGAAAGCCGAGATGTCATTTGATTTACATTATACGTGATCACACGAAAAGATTGAAATAATAACTTAGCTCTAATTTCGACAACTTATAGATATATTTTGGTTGATGTTATTTATTACTTTGTATACTAGATTTAAAGATTTGCTTGAAACGTCTTTGTTTTGCTCTATGAAATGTTCGATGTGGACCGTTGTCGAAGTGTGTGTCCGAGAATTTTATTTTCAATAACATCGCGGGAAATAGTGAATCATTTAATCTTTCGATAAAAAATGATAAATTGGAATGGAATACGTATTTCAGACATTGTGAAATGTGATTGATTTAATAAATGAATGATATGACAGGTAGGTTCATAAAATTATATAGATCTACCCTTTATTTTGACGTGACTACGACATGGCTGGTCTACCGGCCTACGGTGTTGAAAGAGTATATTGGCTCTTCAAGCAAACTTTCTTGAAACCTATTTTTCTTTTGACAAAGTTTCGGGGATGCCGTTTGGACTTTAGTCCTTGACATTGACAAAATACTGTTAACAAGGTCTGCGATTGGCTTACGTTTCTATTTCCGTTTTGTAAACCAATCAGCGATGCCATTACGGACACGACATGGAAGAGAAACGTCATCGGATACCTCTCAGTTTTCCGCGTTCCGGCCGAAATCTGGCTTGTACCGGAACCCAGCGAATATTGCATACACATTATCACATGGGTTTTGGGAGCGAGAGAAACACGAAACAAAACAACAATAAGTTATGCGTGAAGTGAACTTTTTTCAAAATAAAAAATGCGTAAGGGGACAGGTCCTATTTTTTTCAGTGCGTATTTTTGTATATGGGACGCCGTAAACGCAAACACTGATTCCACAAAGTGATCTTATATTACCACAACGATTGTCTAAAGCCTGAGTTAAAGTATCTGAGTTAATATTTCCTTAGCGCTAAGATGGCTTTGTGGGGTGGGTCCCTGGTTTATATCAGTATATAGTAGACTTAGCAAGTTCATGTGTTATAGTAATTTTATGAAAAGAAAGTTAATTTTTCTGGAATATGACGAGTGAAAGAGTCAGATACCAGAACTATTCATGAGTTTAAAAGACTTGGAATTACATGGGAGCTCATTTAGAATTTTATTTAATACTTGCCATTCATAACTCTTTTTTCAAAATTTCCCTGTTGTGTGTGAATATAGGCAGCCATCTACAGCCATAATCCAAATAAGTTTAACAGAATAATAATTCAAACATTAAATATAAACTTGTATTAATTTATACCATACAAGGCCCACATTTAGAATCCAGGAGTCCTTTCCACAAAGCCATCAAAGTGCTAAAGTTATCGCAACTCCAATACTTTAACAAAGACTTAGGACTTTTGTTGCACTACGGTTGCCTTCTGGAACGGGGATCTGCACCACAAAGTTTACAATCACATCACAATGTTGTGATGCGATTTATTTTTCAAAAAATTGTACACGTGCACATCTCTGTGCATATAAGTCTGCATGTTTATACTTCTACAAAATTGTATATATATAATATTTTTGTATGTATATGGGCATATGGCCTGAACAGTATGGCTGGTGTCATCAAGTGTGCATAATCTCCTTTCAGTGATCTTTCATCACCATGCACAATGTCGTTAAAATAGCCAAGGGATGTTGAGTGTTTTCAACATTTGTTTGTGAAACTTGTTTCTGCAGTACATAAGCACACGCTTTGGTATTTAACACTGTGTAATACCAGCTTATTGTTTTTAAACAGGTGATATCTTCACGGGTGAGTAATTAAACCTACTTCTACACTCAACAAGTAGAACTTCTGCGATAACAGAATACACATGCACTAACTGATGTGCGCAGCTACAACTGTGGCAGATCTCAACAGTATGCACAGAGATGATTTGTGACAACAACCCTTGGTTCGACAAAACTTTGAAATAATCTCCCCCTTTGTAACCATGGTAACAGGAAAGGGACACATTGATAATATCAATATTTGATTTTACTCGGGTTTTATAAGCTTACTCATCAGTGTCGGAAATAACTGCCTGCACATGGTAGGAAATTTTACTCCACCTCAGTACCTGCCCAATGCTTATGTATTCAGCATTTTTATAGCTCCTTGTAGATTCTCAAGTGATTGTTTGCATTACTGCAAGATGGGCAGGCAACACTGGGTCACCTGCCCAGCTGTCTTGTTGGGTTTTATAATTATTTCGAACACTGTTGCTCATACTGTGAAACCTAGAAATCCAGATATTCCTGTTCAGAGGAATTTGTTCGGATTTACAAATGCCCGGATAATCAAAAGTATAGGCATGGGAAAGACAAACCCTTGTAGACTTACAAGATATATAGTTGTCCTCAACAAGACTGTTCAAAAGGTAGTGTTCTACTCTTATACTGACAAGGTTTCACTCCCCTTATTTGAGGAGTATGATCAAGGTTCAATATGACTAGTCAGCTTTTCCAAAATTTTATTCCGAAAATTGGAAACTACAGGCGCGAAACGAGACCTAACCTCCACGGACCTACTGGTAGGCGCATATCTCGAACACTGCTCGTGGGATAGAATCGCGCGTTCTACCCACGATTATGACATCTTTATTGCTGTCATTTAAGATGTCTGACATCTAATGACTACCTTCCCCAAAGAAAAAGGCAAAGTCTCTTACCTCTCCACCATGCCTGGCATTGACGATGTAGCTGAGGTCAGGGGGAAGAGCACCATTGTTGGCAGCACGGGCAGCCTCGGAATTGGCATACGGCTCCGGGAATTTGTCCGACAACTTGCCTGGCCTCTGGAACATGTTGCCCTCCTCATCTGGGCCATCCGTCACTTGGATCTGCAGTCAGGTGAGTGAGGGGGTCAGGTGAACAGTTTCACAGATTTCAGTTATAACACAGTATGTTGGAGGAAAGCAGATCTTATATGTCTACCACTTGGGTGAAACCTGAAGCATGGTTTGGTTTGTTTGTTGTTTAATGCCCCACTCAGCAATATTCAAGCTGTATGACGCCAGTCTGTAAATAATCAAGTCTGGACCAGACAATCATGTGATTGACATCATGAGCATCGATATACGCAATTGGGATCAGTGACATAAATCAACCAAGTCAGCAAGCCTGACCACCCGATCCGATCCTGAGTCGCATTTTACGACAAGCATAGTCGCCTTTTACAGCAAGTATAGGTTGCTGAAGACCTATTCTACCCCGGATACTTCACAGGTCCCATCATTAGTAACCATTTGTGTAGAGTAGTGACAGGTATTGGCCTGAATTTTGTATTGCAATTTTGTGCAATAAAGATTCAAGTTATGCAAAATGTACCACAATATATATATATTGTATATATCTGTGATCTTTCATCTGTAACCTGAATAACTGAGAGTGTAATTCCAACTAGAAAGTATGTAACTGTTTGCTAGTACTTTGTTTTGTTCAAACTGTACTCTCCCAACTGTTCAAAATGAAGCTTGTGAATGCGTGAGTTGTGTTTAACGCCGCTTTTAACTATATTCCAGTCATATCACGGCGTGTCAGCTTAATGTGGAAGTAAAGCCCCAAGAGATGCAAGTCTTAGACGTTTACCACTTCGGTGAAACCCACGAGCACGGGTATGGTGCTGACAAACCTAGAAACATAATCAGGGCGAACCGGGATTCGAACCAACAATCATAGGTTTTTAGGACACAACTCTGCACAGCGAATTATGGTGCCTTAGACGACTGGGCCACCCGTGCCCCCAGCTTGTGAGTGAGTGTGTGAGTGAGTTGGGCTAAACACCGCTTTGAGCAGTATTCCAGTTATATCATGGCATGTCAGAAATGATAGAGGTCACAGACAGTTACCTCTTTGGGTAAAACAACGTGAAAGGGTATGGTGCTGACAAATCGGGATTTGAACCCACGATCAAGGATTTCAGGCATGCCCTGCCCCCCAGCATGAAACTTAAGGCCTCCTTGTCATAGCCCTTCTCAAAGTGATCTGGGGAAAGGAAAACCAACATTGATCAACACATACTGACATAAAACCAACGCTTTTGGTGACATATGCACCCCTCCATTTTCAAACAGATGTATCTCATAAGGAAGACCTTTCAAAGACTTGAGATGTATCCTCGCTTTAGGACCTAAAAAATACCCCATTAAGCCGAAAACAGCACTTTATGGCATGATATAGCTCTCACTCACCTCTTCAGCTTCTACCTTGGCCTCGTCTTCTGTCATGATGACGCCGACCAGGTTACGGTAGCAGAGGTATTCCATACTGTGACATGCAGCACACACCTGCTTGTATACCTGATAGCCACGGCGGATGCTGCAACAGAGGGAAGGTTACCCCGGTAACGTGAAGGATGTAACAACGCTTCAGCACTGTTCTATCTACATGATCTAGCCGCACTAAGCAATATTCAAGCTTTATGACGGCGGTCTGTAAATAATTGAGTCTGGACCATACAATCCAGTGATTGATATCATGAGCATCTATCTACACAATTGGGGTCAATGACATGTATCAACAAGGTCAGCGAGCCTGACCATCTAATCCCACTTATCATGCTTATCGCCCCAAACGACAAGCATAGTAACTTCTTACGACAAGTGTGGTTTGCTGTAAGACCTATTATAACCTGGATCTTCACTGGTGTAATATCAATGAAATATGGTGTCAAGTATTTATGTATGCTAAACATCGACCCACTCTGCATATCAAAATCATAAAACTATTCAAAACATGTCAACTCAGGATTTGATGGACACAAAATATTGCATCCTATTAAAACATACAAAAATTGAGAATGGAAGCAAATATGCAGAACAAGCATCAGGGATGTGAGCAGGTTTTGCCAAAAAAAGAGGAAAAGTCTAGGGGGGTCTGGGGGTATGCCCCCCCAGAAATTTTTAAAACATTTGATTGCATTTTAAGCAATTTCATGTAGTTTGGACAACATTCACACCAAGAAATGTAATAAGTCAATGGCAAAAGTCAATAAGCAAAATAAACAAGATGGAAGATGCAGTAAAATTTCGAAGTTAAATCAGTACTTTAAAAAAATCGGGCATAACTTTCGCGCACCTGGCTACCCGCCAGGTCTGGGAGCAATACTGCCATAAACTTCAACCCCCATCCCCCAGACACAAGGACAACTGTCACAAGCGTGCAATGTCTGACCTTTTCCCCATGTTGAAGCATATTGAAAAAAACTTACCTTGTACTTACCTTTTGATGAAAAAAACAAAACTCCATTGCAAACATAAGACATTAATACAATATATATCCCCATGACATGGGGTTTTGGACGCTGAAGAAACATTCATAAATTTCTCGCTTATCACATGAACAACTGTAAAACATCTCATTCACTTACAGGCTAAAAGACAACTTTATCTTAAAAACAAGCCATCAGCTGACTCTGAGTATTTACAATTTCTGTGTGACGCCACACCCCACGTTATAGTGCAAGTATTCGTGACAGAAAACGTATGATGTCCGAAAACCTATGTTGTGAAAGCTCCGATCGAAAACAGGACAATCCGCTCCAATTGTACGGTTTTCGATCATATTTTTCGGAGTTTTTTTTTTTTTAAATTTAATAATTTTTTCCGCGGAAGATGATTTTTTCCGAGGACTACTGTTTTAAAAAACGCGATTTTCCGCGTTTCCGCGGAGATTTCACATCCCTGAAGCATGGTTGTTTGAATCATTAAAATCAACACAAAAACATCAAGACCTACATCTTAGCCTGATAAACATGATCAAATTTAACTGATAATATATGAAATCAAAGTTCAGACTGGGTCTCAAGGAAAAAACAGGTATATTTAGTGCAGGGATTCAAGCATGTGCAACATTACATGAATATGATCATAAAATATTAGGTGACAATGGTCTGGGACCCCATAAAATTGTTAGCAAATACCTTCCATGATCAAATGCGTTGAACATTCCATGATGACTCCATGGATACTTTGGCGGATGGAGTTCAAGGTCAGCAGCTATGACGGCCTGGTTGAGGGCGACCGCCAGACCAACCCCTCCAGCAACTGCAGCTCCAGCAGCAGCGACAACTACCTTCTTGCCGGTGCTGAGCTTCTTGAAGGACACGAAATTAGCCTGCACCATGTAAAACATAATCAAATATTGTCTCTATGTTCCAGTATAGTGGGTAAAAACGTTACAGATACACAATACAACAAGTTTCACAAAATCGTTGAACACGTTATAAAATATCCTGTCATTCATGAGTACTCATAAATTCAACATCTGATACTGTTTTCAGTTTCCAGAATGTCCTAGGAATACATTTACACTCAGTTTAACAGAGTGAAAGTAGCTCAGGCTGTTAGCTGCTGAAAGTCTCACGGGTTCGCATCCGACAAATTCTCACAAAAAGGGGTTCCTTGTGTCAGTGACATGTAACCTATGGCAGAGATGTAGAGTTGTGATATTTCCTCGTGTTATGGGTTTTGGAGCCCCTAGCAGCAGTAGAAATTGGCACTTGTCCTATTGTCCTTGCCAAACTGCTGAATAGTTAAGGTATCATAAGGACTCGTAAAAATTTGCCCTTTTTAAGGATCAGAGCTCCAGATAAGCTGCGTATCTGCGTGAAATACGCATCAGAAAGGCAGAAATACGCAGTAAAATATAATCCAAGCGTATCAAATACGCAACGAACATTACAGATACGCTACAAAAATAAAATTCGTGCGTATCATCAAAATATTGTGAAGTAACCCTGCGTATTCGATTAGCAAATCAGCAACTTATTTTGAAATTATAAACGGGCATTCCGTCAACCTTGCCAAACTCCACGATGACAGTCACATCATGATCATTTGCCATCGCACTTTCGTGTGGAAGTATCATGGTATTTTTTAGTCCTATAAAGCTCTCGAACCCACACGACACCAGTTTGTAGGGACTAGATGAATAGTGTTTTTAAATATTTAACTTAAATACCCACATGTGTAAAAACTAGTGGGTAACAAAAATTTGAATACGCAGATAGAATTACTGATACCCAATGATTTTAAAATGCATGGGTAAAATACCCACAACACCAAAAGCTTATCTGGAGCTCTGAGGATTTTCCCATATGTTATCATTAGAGTGAATGAGTATGGTTTTACACCGCTTTTAGCAATATTCCAGCAAAATCACGGCGGGGGACACCAGAAATGGGCTTCACACATTGTACCCATGTCGGACATCGAACCTGGGCCTTCGGCTTGACGAGCGAACGCTTTAACCACTAGGCTACCCGACCGCCCCTGTTATCATTAGAAGGACTAGTGGACAAAAACTTTTGTTTCTAACGCAGAGATCTAAGTATTTCTAACTACATGTCTAATAACAATCCCACTACACTAAAATCAGGTCTTATCTTTGAGAACATTTGTAGGCACTTGCATGTCTTGTTAATTGTATTGTGATATGGCCCAGCCGAGCAAGATGAGGCACCATCTTGTTACAGTCACATGATTTTGAGCCACTCCAACAGTCAAGTTACAAATTGCTGCACAACATGATCAGTCACATGGTATAACAGACAGGAAGTTTACAAACAGCAGCTGATACATCATTGGTGCATACAATTTTTCTTATGCAGAATCATAATCAGATCAAGTCTGATTAAAATGTGCATCAGTGGAAAAAGTAAGCATTGAGGTATGCTTTCTGTACTTATTGAATATAATTCATAACATAACTTCAGTGGAAAGTGGCAAACACTTCGATGTCTTCAGTTAACTTCGAAGTGTCAACCTTGATTACTTCATCAAAGTGTGTGGTTAAGTATTGTTTAGGGGCTCAAAAAAAACATGAGACCTGGGGTACCGTATTCTAAAGGTGCTCTAAGCATTGGTAGTCATGATTTCGGGCCTACCTTTAGAATACAGTACCACAAACTTTTCAAACACGTCACGATACTCTATGGCATAATTGGTAGAATTTTGTTGCCAGTCACACCAGCAAAACAATGCCCTGTGACGTAAGGGGTCATTAAGTGTATATAAGCTTCTCCAAATGATCTATCATCTCTACACGCAATGTCATTGAATAAGCCTAACGATGTTGAGAGTTTTGAAAATTTGTTTACTAAAAATAGCCTACAATATATTTTTTCGTAATTTAAGTGGCTAAAATGATTATAAATGGGAACAAATATACATACAATATCTTTTTGATTCATTAAATTTCATTATAATGCACAGGAATGCAGTGTATTAGGTATATTATATTAGCGCTGACCACATCCAAATGTCGCCGGTGTTAGGGTGGGTTACCCAGATCTCTATCCTGAGCCCTTGGATCCCTTTTACAATTAACTACCCCTTTACAATCATTAGGGTTAGGTACTCCGTAATCTGTTTAGTGGCTATTTGATTACCCAAACCGTATCGTTAGCCCTTGGTTCACCTTTACGATATATCAACCCTTAGGGTTAGGTGTTTACAATCCTTAGGGTTAGGTACCCCTTTAGTGGCTATCACAGATTCTATTGAAGCTCCTAATATTTTTCACACAAAAACGTAGAGAAAGCAGGGTCAAATGGTTTAGTGTCAAATATTTTGGCTACAGGAAACCACCCTGGAACATTCACACAAGCGACTTTCACCGCTACATTTATTCAGCACTGATTCAAAAGCGAACTCAGCCTTGTGTGGTCACTAGCCATGCTTATGCCTCCTCCGTTCCTTAAATTTTCCACAATATCCTTACAGTGTTTCCCACCACACTTTTCTCTTACAAAAATCAACCGATAAATTATTAAACACCATGTCATTCATGCGTACCTGCAAGTTTGACATCTGACACCGTTTTCAGTTCACACCATATCCGCTCATTCCTCACCACTCAGTATCTTGCAGATTACGGAATAAAATGATTGTGCCAAATGGCATCAGGATCACTCAGAAGGGTCCTTAAACTATAGTCACGTGCCATCATGTCTACCCGCAAAATGTGTAAGTGTCCGTCACCTATTCGTTCAGTTCTGTAACGGTGTAATCATGACTAGGTAAATTTGGACTTAGTTTTCAGTGCGGACGTAGCTCAGTCTGTTAGCTGTCGGGTTAACAATCTGAAGGTCGTGGATTCGCGTCCAACGGATTCTCACAAAATCTGGTTGCTTGTTTTTTGAGACGTGACCTATGGCAGAGATTGTCCTGACAAGAAATCGTAGTACTGTATTCTAAAGGTGCTCCTGATTTCACAGCTAGTCAGATGCAAAATATGCCTCATTTCAAGGGTCACAAATCGGTCCCCACAAATCAGTCAGTCAGTTACCATACAGATGTGACACAAGTTTTCCTGTCTCGTATCACAATGGCTAAGACAAATGTGACCCAAAATCTAACCTTACATTGCCTCAAGCATGCCATTTCCCCAGCTTCTCTAATTCCATTCAAAGTTACATGGCATAGTGATGGTTTTGGATATGATTCCGACCAATTTAACTTCCAGGACAATACATTGATAGATGCATGTGTATTATCTAAGAATTTATGTCCTTTCAACCGAAATGCAAACATATCTACCCACAATACTTACGTGACACTGAAACTTATGAAACGTGATTTTCAAGGGCATTGAAGGTTTATTCTGAACCCTCAACCTTGCCATCGCTGAACGACGATAGTCTTTCGTGGACGGTTTTACATTTCCCTTTACTTATTTTAATATTTTGAGTGCTTTTCAGCCTTACCTGAGGGGTCACAAGACCCGATTTTGCTCGCAACAGAGCTTGCTTCGAAGTCCTGCCGACGATAGCGGCCATTTTTGTTCTTCACCTCGAGGCAGAGAGACCGTCAAGTACCTTAGACCCCGTAACGAAGGAAGCTGACAGACGGACTTTATGAACCAGGGTAAAAGTGTACGCGCAGTTATTCTGAGCAATTTCCGGATAGAAAAGTACCGGAAGAGAGTTCCCGGCAAGTGTTTTTCTGTTTACAGGTAACAACATTATTGACAGAAACTTAATTGCATATGTCAGTGGGGTATGTTTTTTTTATGTTTTCAGAAGGAATGCCACATTTTGTATTTGGAAAACTGACTGACAAGAAATGTATCACTCGTACAACCACTCTAATCTTGATCAAATTCCTATCATTAGCAATGCTCAGTCAAATTTAGAATTTTGCATATTGTGTTAAAAATCACTGATTTAGCTTCAGAAATCCTTCAGAAAAACATATCATAGGATGGTTTTTCTCCCACTTGCCTGATTAACTTTCAGAAAAGCTCTTTTTGACACCACCGTGCAGAGCCAGAAATTTCATTTTGGTCTAAAAATTAGGTAACATTTTAAGAAAATGTTTATTTGAATTAAACCATAATATTATTGTAGCATAACAGCAGTAATCCATGGCCAATTTTGGTGCATATTCATCTAAACTGAATTTTGGGAATAGAAAAATGACTTTGAAATGTGGCGTTAATGTCCAATTTTGGGGGTAAGTTAATAACTTATGACACATCTCAGCTTCCAGGCAGGCACCATTTCTAGTACAGCATCAACTGTGCCGGTCATTAAGGGAATGCAGAAGATTTTCCTAAGCTTGAAATGTCTTACCTACAACAACAAAATATGAAAAGAAGCATAAGGAGTCTGTAGTAAACATGAAGAAAACAATGTTTCATGATTAATCGGTTTCTTTTGTCTTTCAACAGTTCTTCACAGTACTCCAAGTCTTTTTTCATGTTTTTCTCTTTTTGTGCTGCCTCTTCCAATGGGCTAATAGAATCTTCCAAAGCTTCAGTTGACTTTTCGATATATTCCTTTGAAGATTTCAGCTCTTGTTGGGTGTATTTAAATTCCTTCCCAATTTTCTTGACTTTTGAAGCATTTTTGGCCAGGCTGGTTTTATAGTTTGAGCATGAGCACTCTTTTCTCTCCTGTTAACGGTTAAGGCTGAAATATTTTCCTCTCATATTTGGCTTAAGGGTTTCCAATTTCTGTCTCTTTACAGCAAATTCATCAGTGGCTCTTTTGAATTTTCTTTTCAAATAGTAATTTTCCCTTTCTAGAGATATGCTTTTCCCGCTTTTCTAGAGATATGATTTTCCCGCTTTCTGCGTTAATCAATGAGTTTAGAGATGGGATTTTGAGCCGACCCTCCGAGGTGTGGTACACCAGCTTTGAGAATAATTGCAGGGAGAGTTACCTCCTCTTGCCATGAGCATTGCTACTATCATAATTTCAATTTATGAACTCCAATATTAACAGCTGATCAAAGTATGCGGTTGGTGAATATTTACACAGTGTGTCTTGCCACTGGCCGCAAAACCTACGTACATACTGGATCAGGAACAGGCTAAGTAGTTGCCGACAGTATCTTAATGGACGTAAGGTGTTAGTGTACAACGACACACTGGATCAGCCGGAGCACCAACTGTCCTTTCCGATCAAGCATCCCTTTATGATCATTTGAATGAAGAATTAATACCCATTCTGATCAAACTCCCCTTTACACCTTTACGAGATTAATACTTATATACCCCTTTCCGATCCTCAGGTTACAGGCCACCGTCATATAGCTGGAATATTGCTGAGTGCGGCGATAAACAACCAACCCATCCTCAGAATTATTTGTGAGTTATGGTTCGTTATTTCAGGGTGGGTTACACTAATTTCGAAAGCTTCAAAATGAGAACCCAAGTAGATAGAAATATCGTAACCCTGTCTAAAAAAGTATGTTATAAATGGAATTTTAATTTCGATTTATATCCCAATACCAGTTGATTGAGCTAAAAGTGTCACATCTAAATTAGTTGTGTACATTAACAATAATCCCAGGTGTCGTCTCAATTGGAGTTGTGTTATGATGATAGTTTGTATGTGAATGTTATACTAGTTATAGTGGAGGAATGGTTGAATTAATGAATGTGAGTCCATTGATTGCGTGGTTGAAAAATAAGGACAAAATACAAAGTCTTAACAGAGTCTGTGCTGTCATTACTACATGCTGAATGGACTGGTCCACTACCGTCAACTACTAGATTGACATTTTTGCAATCATGTCTTATAAACGAAATGTTAGAAATATGAAATAGGGTTACAAAGTTTCTGATTTTTAGGGTTACAATATGACCAGGGTTATGAAATTTCTAGGGGTGTAAACTCGTTTGGATTAAAAAAAAATACATACACCTTTTCGGGGTGCAGGCAAAGCATGACCGATTTCATTTGGTGAAAGAGCCTACTGAAGGTCAAGCGAAAACGTCACCTTATGTTTATGATATAAATAATAACGATTTATGTAGTAATATTTTTGCTTTATTCTTGGTAACATTGATTCTACTTTCGTTACCATGTTTCTACACAGCACAAATATCATTGTCATCTATTGATCTTTTTGTTGTCTGGCAGGAAATCAGAACATATATTTGTTGAAACATGAAATACCTATTGTATAACATTCACACTTAGCTTACTGTATACAGAGAAGTTATATTTTTTTATGAATATTTTCTATTTTGATTGTAAATACTGTTACAATATAAAATAGTCACATATAGTTAGAGTTATCTTCATGTTCTAAGCCTTAAGCTAAAGCCGACATGTTGATGTCGGAAAATCGGGTCCCTTCTTTCTTCCATCTGTTTTTCTTTAGTGGTATCTTCTGATTGAATCAAGTTGCACATTGAACAATGGAAGAGGAAATCTTCATTCCTGCTCCCTTAGTTATTTCAATGTGAGATACAGATTACGCCCGGAATAGAAAACTGCATAATTCTCCCTGGTTCATTCTTCATTGTAAGACACCACACATCCACAACCACAAATCACAAGTCACTGAGTCTGACCACCGGATCCATTTAGTCACCTCTTACACCTATGAGACGACTAACGGGATTGGGTGGTCAGGCTCACTGACTTGGATAATGCATGTCATTGTATCACAATTGCGTGGATCAATGCTCATGATAACCTGGTCCAGATTTGATTATTATTTAGACTGCCGTCATATAGCCCAAATATTGCTGAGTGCGGCGTTAAACAACAAACAAAACATATGGTTAACCAGCTTAAGTTACTGGGGACCTATTCTGACAATGAGTAAACATCTGAGACCTGCATCACTTCAGGCTTTCCTCCCACATTAAGCTGACACTCCACGATATAACTGGAATACTGTTAAAAACGGGTGTTAAACGCCACTCACTCGCTCACTCACTCAGGAGTATAAAACTAAGAAACTTCTCCTTATTTTCAAACATTTCTCTGGTCCATTTGGACCAGTTATATGATTTTGTTTTTGTTTTAAATCGGCTACTCTTTTTTTGGAGCTGGTCCCCTTTGACTGATGTCTATTTGGAGGAACTCTTCTGACCCGTGAAGATCCGGGGTAGAATAGCTCTTCAGCAACCCATGCTTGCCGTAAAAGACGACTATGCTTGTTGTAAGAGGTGACTAACGGGATCGGGTGGTCGGGCTGGCTGACTTGGTTGATGCATGTCATCGATCCCAATTGCGTGGATTGATGCTCATGATGTCAATCACTGGATTGTCTGGTCGAGACTCGATTATGTACAGACTGCTGTCATATAGCTGGAATATTGCTGAGTGCGGCGTTAAACTACAAACCTACCAACCTCAACATTCTTTTGACAATGGCGCCACTGCTTGGTAACCTTATTGCATGACATCATGGCACTGAGAGGGCACTGGTGGCCAAGTAGTCTAAGGCGCCGCAAATCACTGTGCAGAGTTGCGTCCCTTGGGCATGCTAGAACCCTATGATTCGAATCATGTTTGGCCCAGATTGTTTCTGGGTTTGTCAGCACCATACCCATGCTCGTGGGTTTCACCGAAGTGGTAAACATCTGAGACCCCCATCACTTCGGGTCTTCCTCCTATATCAAGCTGGCACGTTGTGATATAACCGGAATACTGTTCAAAGTGGCGTTAAACCAATTCATTTACTTACTCATAGCACTATGTGACGTCATCAATGGAATGTAGAAATTGAAGGAACTACAGCGCTTGTTGGGGCATGGCACTTAATATGGTGAATACGGTACATCCACATATTGTTATCGATTAGCACTCAATCACTCGAATTTACTTGATTGTTTAACATGTTCAACAATATGTCATTAAAATGTAACCCTCACAAACCTGAAACAAACCAGTGTACCTCCAAATTTGGCCGATGGTACATACAAGTTTATACATCTTCTACAACATTAACAGTGCCATGTAAGGCCTACTGAGGTTTTGGTGAATGACTACATGCATTAATAATGACAATGTATTGATCTTGCAGCAACTATGTTTTCTTAGACCTTGAAGTCCACTTCAGTGTTAGAAATTGTCACTAGTCTTGTCGTCCTGGCCAAACTGCCGAATAGTTATCATATGGACTCTTAGAAATTTGCCATTTTTATGGGTTTTTCTATATGTTATCATAAAGACGAGTGTACTAAAAATGTTAGTTTCTACCCTCTACTGCTGCAATTTGTGTTCAATATAGATGAAGTTCCTTAGTTGTAAGATGAAACTGGATAGGTATTGATTTTACGTATTTCTCAGTTTAACGAGATAAATAATTAATGAGGTTGTTATAGCTGTGTACAATATACACCATGGCTGCAGCTTGCTACTGTAGATCCTAGGGGATATAGCCCAGGGAGTTATCTTGTAATCCCAAGTAAGTACCCAGTGCTCCAGTAGTAAAACTACACTCACTCATTTCAGAATTTCAGTAACTAAGGACAACAAAAATCTCGCTCTTGAAGAAAATAACGATTTTTCTCCATCCCACTTTGCCTGCCAGGTGTACTCAGAGCTACAGAGAAGCAGCGTATTTGCGTAAAATACCCCATCAAAATATTCAAAACCCAATTACTTTCAATAAACTTGCCTAAAGAAACACGGGCATTACATGGAAAACTCAAATGTGTAAAAACAGCACGTGTTACAAATACCCAATGAAGATTTTTCAGAATGCGTACAAAGGAGCTAATTTCCGAAACACAAATACGAGCTATTTGACTTTCTGAGTCAAGCCTACCCTATATATTAAGAACAATTATCATTGTTGTATACATTTAAAACATTATTTCATTTTTATAAATCTTAAAATGTTCACTCTTTAGGGGAAAAACCCAATAGAATTATGAATATGTGAGTGAAAAAATATTGGTTAGTAATTTACCCAATGAAAAATGTAATAACCCAATTAAAATAGAAACCCAAAAGTAAAAACTCAATTGCTCAAAAAGTTATCTTGAGCTCTGGGTTTGTAAACAACATGCATATCAAGGTGCAGATTTCGGTCGATTGCAGGATTTGCAAAGCATGTGTACCAATAACTGGGCGTCGACAGATATTTTGCAAATCTTCTCATGGTTGTAATCAAGGTGCTCAAGTGATTTGCTGCACTTCGCTGAGTAAGACAGGTTTTATTACAATATACAACTTGATTATTGATCAAATCGTCTTGACTGGGCGCTGCCATTTTGTTAGAAGCAAATGCAAGTGATTCGAGATATGAAATTTGGTTAGTCAATAGGCGGGACAGAGAAGGGACAGAAGTCGTAATAGCCACTGGTGGTGCTACAGTAGAGCCCAGAAATTCCAGACTAGTTCAGCAAAGGTGGAAACTGGACTTTTAAAGTCAATTAACTCCCCTTGCCCCGGGAAGATGTGATGGTACAGGCGGGAGAACAAACTACAAAGCCAGGCCCAACTGTTCTCACCACCATTCCTGTTTATCCTGCCAAAGTACCGTCTTGACTCCTGGCTCATCCAGAGCTCCAGAACGTTTTGAGCAATTGAGTTTTTACTCTTGGGTTTTTATTTTAATTGGGTTTTACATTTTTCATTGGGTAACCAATATTTTTTCACTCATCTATTCATCACTCTATTGGGCATGTTGGGTATTTCCCAAAATTAGTAAACATTTTAATATTTAAAAAAAAATGAAATAATGTTTTAGATGTTTACAACTGTTCTAAATATATACATGATATAGCAGTGATATAGGCTTTACTAGGAATGTAAATTAGCTCGTAATTGTGTTTCGGAACTTGATCCTTTGTATGCATGCTGAAAAAGCTTCATTGGGTATTTATGTGTGCTATTTTTATACATTTGAGTTTTTATTTAATGCATACGTTTCTGAACAGAAGTTTATTGAAAGTAATTGGGTTTTTGAATAATTTTTTGGGGTATTTTACGCAAATACGCTGCTTATCTCTTCGACTTTTGTGTTGCCAAATACTCGAGTCACTTTAGCAAATGTTTAGTATGAAGTGTATTGGTTGGAATATATCAGTCTGTTATTATTGTTCTCCGTGAAGTCCCATTGGACAAGAACATTGGGCTGTGTACTATTGAAATTTTATCATTTTATGTATGTGTTGTTGGTCTTCTTCTAAAATGTTGAACAGTACCAGGATCAATATCAGTATTAACCCAGTTTGAAACCAGCATGTGCTATATATTGCTATATGGCTGCTGGGCTGAGATATTGCTGATGGGATGTTAAATGTTAGCTTGTACACTAGTAGGAGATGACTTAATGGATCAGGTTGACCATCTTCCCGAGGCAAGAGAGTTAACTGACTATAAAAGTCAAGTTTCCACCCTTGCCTAACTAGGCTGGTATTATGAAGTTACATTTTGGCTGGACTAACGAGTCTATGCATAGTCCAATCAAAATCGCGCACCGAAATTGAAATCCGGTTCGTAAACTGTCGTGCAGGATTTGCAATGCAATTGCAACGCCAACTCGTCAGCAGATATTTTCCAAATCTTTTCATGTTTTTAATCAAGGTTCTCACATGATTTGATGCATTTCGCGATGTAAGACCCGTTTTATCACAATATGGATCTTGATTATCGATCAGATCGTCCTGACCGGGCGCCACCATTTTGTGTGAAGCAAACGTAAGTGATACGAGAGGTGGAATCTGATTGGTCCATAAGAGGCTTAGAAGGGACATAACTGGTAATAGCCACTGGTGGCGCTACAATCAAGCCCAGTAATTCCAGCCTAGTTCGGCAAGGGTGGAAACTGGACTTTTAAAGATGCAGGTTGTCAGGCTCTGTGACATGGTTGATGCATGTCATTGTATCCAGACAGCATGGATCTTTCATAATATCAATCACTGGATTGTGCTGTCCGAACTTGATTGTTTACAGGTCACTGTCATATAGCTAGAATATTGTTGAGTGCGGCATCAAACATACAAACAAACAAATGAATCGGGTAGACTTTGACTGAAGTTTGTGCTGACCATGCTGACACCATTGTTCTTCAATTAATAATGGAAGTGTACTGATGGGTCATAGTTAGGGCTGAAACAGGTAACTCGGGTTGGTTGCTTGCTTGCTTTGTTGTTTTACGCCGCACTCAGCAATATTCCAGCTATATGACAGCGGTCATTAAATAATCGAGTCTCGACCAGACAATCCATTGATTAACATCATGAGCATCGATCCACGCAATTGGGATCGATGACATGCATCAACCAAGTCAGCGAGCCTGACCACCCGATCCCGTTAGTCGCCTCTTATGACAAGCATAGTCGCCTTTTACGGCAAGCATGGGTTGCTGAAGACCTATTCTACCCCGGGTCTTCACAGGTCAGGTAACTCGGGACAACCCGGACCCAAGGTTAATCACGTGATATTTTGTTTAATGACAATAATAAAAATCCATGAATACACTGCAAGTCGCTAATCTTCTCATTTCTTTCTGACTGTGCATGCTTCCCTATTTTTTCTTTGAGTAAAGATAAAGTTTCTGTCATTTTCAATGTACACATGATCAGATCATTTAATATTTCAGATCGTTTTTGGCAATATGCATGTATTACACAGCTGTTTTGTTTTGGGGAAACGTGTTCACTATACACAAGACAATACTGTATACATTATCCCTCAAGGTAAGTCAAAGAAAGGACTAGAACACTGAACAAGATGGATGAGGTGTTGGTATCAAATATGCAGATACTTCAGTGGTTAATTTAATTAAACCTGAAAATCTAGCAATCCTTGACAGAACCAATTATTGAAAGTTAAAAATTTAAAGGGTCCTGACCTTCAAATACCATAGCAGGAACTCTTGTGTGCCCCAGGACTCCTCTAATTCCGAACACGGCTCGTTTTCTGTATCACATCATTATCTATTCTCTTCACAGATTTAATCAAGCCAGCTGATCATGGGGCTGTTGACAGACCCCAAACAGAGGCAGCGGCTTGTGGCCATTATCTCCAAGTACAACCAGAAGCTGAGCATCCTGCTGTACGTGGCGGGACTGGTCTGGTTCCTCCTCCTTGCGTACCAGCCCCTCAACGCCAGCACCTACTTCTCCGAGAACGCCCTGCTTCCGGGTCTCGTGGAGAACGAGTTCTACAACGATGCTGAGATCAGCAACTTTAATAAACAGCTGATGGAACAGCTGAAGAAGGATGAAAAGTCAGTGATGGTCCTTGTGTGTGAGATACAGCAGTGATGATTGGTCCTTGTGTGTGAGATACAGCAGTGATGATTGGTCCTTGTGTGTTAGATACAGGAGTGATGACTGGTCCTTGTGTGTGAGATACAGGAGTGATGATTGGTCCTTGTGTGAGATACAGAAGTGATGATTGGTCCTTGTGTGTTAGATACAGGAGTGATGATTGGTCCTTGTGTGAGATACAGAAGTGATGACTGGTCCTTGTGTGTGAGATACAGCAGCGATGATTGGTCCTTATGTGTGAGATACAGAAGTGATGATTGGTCCTTGTGTGTTAGATACAGGAGTGATGATTGGTCCTTGTGTGAGATACAGCAGCAATGATTGGTCCTTGTGTGTCAGATACAGCAGTGATGGTCCTTGTGTGTCAGATACAGCAGTGATGGTCCTTGTGTGTCAGATACAGCAGTGATGGTCCTTGTGTGTCAGATACAGAAGTGATGGTCCTTGTGTGTCTGATACAGCAGTGATGGTCCTTGTGTATCAGATACAGCAGTGATGGTCCTTGTGTGTCAGATACAGCAGTGATGGTCCTTGTGTGTCAGATACAGCAGTGATGGTCCTTGTGTGTCAGATACAGCAGTGATGGTCCTTGTGAGTTAGATACAGCAGTGATGGTCCTTGTGTGTCATATACAGCAGTGATGGTCCTTGTGAGTGAGATACAGCAGTGATGGTCCTTGTGTGTCATATACAGCAGTGATGGTCCTTGTGAGTGAGATACAGCAGTGATGGTCCTTGTGTGTCAGATACAGCAGTGATGGTCCTTGTGAGTTAGATACAGCAGTGATGGTCCTTGTGTGTCATATACAGCAGTGATGGTCCTTGTGAGTGAGATACAGCAGTGATGGTCCTTGTGTGTCATATACAGCAGTGATGGTCCTTGTGAGTGAGATACAGCAGTGATGGTCCTTGTGTGTCAGATACAGCAGTGATGACTGGTCCTTGTGAGTTAGATACAGCAGTGATGGTCCTTGTGTGTCAGATACAGCAGTGATGGTCCTTGTGAGTGAGATGCAGCAGTGATGGTCCTTGTGTGTCATTTACAGCAGTGATGACTGGTCCTTGTGAGTGGGATACAACCGTGATGGTCCCTTTGTGTCAGATACAGCAGTGATGGTCCTTGTGAGTGAGATACAGCGGTGATGGTCCTTGTGTGTCATTTACAGCAGTGATGACTGGTCCTTGTGAGTGGGATACAACCGTGATGGTCCTTGTGTGTCAGATACAGCAGTGATGTTTAGACATCTGGGCCCCCAAGTTAATGCAAGAGAACTAATTGGGACCATGTGCATGATTTGTGAGAACAAGATTCCATGTCAGAACATGATCAATCTTACTACAACCCAAAAGATCATTAGGATGAAAGAAAGGAATTATATTGGTGTCATGTTTGAACTCCCTTTGCAGGACAACTCCTAAAGACTGGATCTATGAGCAGTTCCGGAGTTTTGGTCTGGATGTCTACACGCAGAACTTTTCACTGAAATACCCATTTGGGCCAGTCGATAAAGTAAGTAGAGATGCTCATCTCCCTGAGATATCTAGCCAACTCACAGAATCTTTCTTCAAGCCTACCTCCCTTTTATATATATATATATATATATCCAGTATACTATGTCTGAGTGGTGGGGTATCCATGTTAAAATACGTCATGGTATCTCAGTGGGCTAGCACTATATATCAACATCGCTCCGGACTAGAACAAGCAGCCACACACACAGACACACATGCATGCATGTCGCAATATTAGTGTAATAATCTTGGACGCGACATTGCACCCCATTTCACCTCACCATGATATATTTATTGGCTTCCAGGAGATCCCAGGGAGGAACATCTATGCGATCCTGCGAGCTCGCCGCTCGTCTAGCACTGAGTCTGTCGTAATATCAGCGCCACTCCGTCCCTGGCTGGCTGAGGATGAGCAGACCAGTGGGGGCATCGCCGTCATGATGGCGCTAGCGAGACACTTCAGAAGTACGTACAATATGAGGAGAAGAATTCTATCTTGGTCCCCTGTTTTGTGATATAATGGATAGAGCGTCTGCCTGGAGAGAGGACGATCCTTGCTTCGATTCCCTCCGAGTCATGGCAAAATATCTTAGAGATTGTACTTGTTGTTACCCTGCCTGGAGCTAGACATGAAGGGAATAAAACAAGGACTGGTTGGATCAGAGTCAGTAAACTGTGTCTGAGTAGGGTATCCATGTTAAAACTATGGCATGGTATCTCAGTGACCTAGCTATTAGCTCACCTTGACATATCTTATCCGGTGAAACCTTGTGAATCTGGACTCTGTGGTCTAGTGGTAGAACGTCTGCCCGGAGAGCGGAAGGTCCGGGGTTCGATGCCCGTCTGCGTCATACCAAAAGACGTTAAAAGATGGTACTTGTTGTTACCCTGTCTGGCGTTCGGCATTAAAGGGCTAATACAAGGACTGGTCGGCTCGGAGTCAGTATACTGTGTCTGAGTGTGGTATTCATGTTAAACTGCAGCATGGTATCTCAGTGTGCTAGCACTATAAATTGGCATCAGTTCGGACTAGTACAAGCAGCCACACACACACACACACACGTGCATGCAGGTCGCTATATAAGTGCAATAATCTTGGACGCGACGTTAAACCCAATTTCACCTCACCTTTACACTGGATGCACGTTTAATATTTCTCTATGATTACGGTAAAATCCATTTTTGCACAATCATGGAATAATTGCTTGAAACTTGCTTCAAAGTACAGATAACTCTGAACTGTACTTTAGGACTTCAGGTTGATGAGGCTCTATGATATTAGTCCACATTCAAAGTGTTATATTTCAGGGGTGGTCGGGTAGCCTAGTGGTTAAAGCGTTCGCTCGTCACGCTGAAGACCCATGTTCGATTCCCGACATGGGTACTATGTGTGAAGCCCATTTCTGGTGTCCCCTCTGTGATGTTGCTGGAATATTGCTAAAAGTGGCGTAAAACCATACTCACTCACTCACTGTCATATTTCACTAGGTATCTTTTTTTCCATATACCATATTTTCTTGAGTATAGTGCGCACTTTTTTTCGAAAAAACACAGCTGTGTAGAAGGGGGTGCGCATTATACACGAATTATGAGTTTTGATGTTTTTTTCCCCCCTGGAAAGACATTACTGTGAGCACGAAACACCGGAAATACCATGTCAACAAATCCATACTGAAGTACGCAAAATAATCATGTAATTACACTGTCTGGCTATAAAAAATGTTCTTTGAATATCTGGACTTATGTTTTTAACTTATTTCATTAATTTTATTCAAAATTCCTTATAATATTGTTTTTATTAATTTCGGCTAAATCGTGTGTGAAGCGATCGGAAGATCGCACAACTCACCGTTATTAACAGCAACCACGGTCAGAATACCGCTATTGACGCCTTGAAACGAACTTTAGTTGACAGAGAATGGATACATATATCATAAATGACATACTTTGACTCGTTAAAAGTCATATTTGTTTTTGTTTGACGATTCTATGTCAACATGAAATTCTTGCGATCACACGATCACGTGCGCATGAGCCTTGACGGTGACTGGTCAGACTGGTTCCATGTAAAAAATAATACCCGGCAATAGCGATCAGCTGCTTCGCTTAGGGTTATTATTATTTAAATATGTTTAGTAAAGGCTGCATATAATTAAGAAAATAATGGAATATATTATTCCTGATAAAAAAAATAGTTTCAGATACAATTGTTGCCGATCCTTGCATTAAAAATCCTATAAAGTTATATCATTGGGTGTGTCTTGACCGAATCACCGGTCGATTCCAAGAAAACATGTGTACAGCTGATTGCTGTTTCCAGGCTTAGTTTACGAGAAAATACACAAGGTAATCTTAATCCCTAGATATAAAACAATGCCTAGCAGAACAATATATTCTGTTTAAACGGTAAATAAACATGTCTGGTGATTTTTTATCTCAAATTTCGAATTTGTACTGACGAAGTTTCTCAGCACCCGTTCGTTTGCCGGACTTCGCTGAAAGGGTACGGTGTAAATTTTTTCTGCGCATAATATTCAAATTTCTTTTTTTCCAAAATATTGAACCCGCTAGAGGGGGGTGCGCATTATACATGGGTGCGCACTATACTCAAGAAAATACGGTACTAAACAGTGCCAAGTCAGCTGCGCTTGTCATGATGATGGAGAGCAATCATTAATTTGTAATGCGTTGTTGTGTTAAATGGTTGTTATTGTGAGATCTGCTACATCATATAATGGTATAATATCACAGAATATGCTCCCTCGTTATTTCCATTGTGTACTGATGCTGATGCTGGTGTTGCAGACAAGCCCTACATAGCCAAGGATATCATCTTCCTGATGCCAGAGTATGATGAGGTGGGGATGCAGGCCTGGTTGGATGGCTATCACGGGACCACGTCGGAGTGTAAGTAGGAGCTAGGACTAGACTTTTTGATGTTTATCCGCCATTTACACATTGACTTTAGTCCTGGCCCTCCAGGTCATATCGACCAATACACCTACAGTTTTGTCATGGACCTCCGTGATGTATTAGCCAAAACACCTACAGTTTTGTGATGGCCCTCCAGGTTATATCGACCAATACACCTACAGTTTTGTCATGGACCTCCGTGATGTATTAGCCAAAACACCTACAGTTTTGTGATGGCCCTCCAGGTTATATCGACCAATACACCTACAGTTTTGTCATGGACCTCCGTGATGTATTAGCCAAAACACCTACAGTTTTGTGATGGCCCTCCAGGTTATATCGACCAATACACCTACAGTTTCCTCATGGACCTCCGTGATGTATTAGCCAAAACACCTACAGTTTTGTGATGGCCCTCCAGGTTATATCGACCAATACACCTACAGTTTCCTCATGGACCTCCGTGATGTATTAGCCAAAACACCTACAGTTTTGTGATGGCCCTCCAGGTTATATCGACCAATACACCTACAGTTTCCTCATGGACCTCTGTGATGTATTAGCCAAAACACCTACAGTTTTGTGATGGCCCTTCAGGGCATATCGACCAATACACCTACAGTTTCCTCATGGACCTCCGTGATGTATTAGCCAAAACACCTACAGTTTTGTGATGGCCCTCCAGGTTATATCGACCAATACACCTACAGTTTCCTCATGGACCTCTGTGATGTATTAGCCAAAACACCTACAGTTTCGTCATTGGACCTCCATATTGTTTTGGCCAAAACACCTACAGTTTTGTCCTGGCCAGCATGATTTTTAATATGTGTTTAATGTTATATACTTGCCAAATGCCTTCACATCCCGGGCTCCAAAATGGCTTTGTTTTTATTGACTGAGTAAACGTTATGTTGTACCAGAATCATGTTTTGTTCCATTTATGAACTTCAGTTCATACCTCAATGTATCAGACTGCTTCTGAATTAAAAATTTAGAATTAGATCTGTACAATATATCATGATGCGTATCGCAATACAGCCTTGTGCATCATAACATATTGTGATACACTTTAAGCCTCCAATACCCATCCCTAATGTTTATCACCTACTTAAATTTCAGTCAGTACATTCACGATCTCATTAAAATAAGATCTGAGTTCTCTCTGCCACTAAACAAAGATCTGAGGACATCCCCTTACCGGTCACGTCAGACCGACCTTTCGCAAACTTTGACCGACCACTGAAACGAATAACAAGAAGTTGATATCAGCCAATGAGAAAGCAGCTTTCTCGAGCTTTACAGCACTCGTTTCAACCTGGCGACTTCCATTTCAGACTACGCTTGAAAAATATGTTGACATAGTTCTCGATTAAAATTTTGAAAACTGAACAAACGCACATTCCGGAATGTCTAAAATATGGTAACATTGGTTGCAATTGTGTGGCAGTGCTTCCCACGTACTGTGCAACACCTCCTCCATTCAAATCTTTATCCCACAGAAGCGAGAGACACTTGACGGAATCAGTCATGCAGTTCGGAATACCCCATGGTAACGTATTCGAGGTTGCATGATTAGAAAACACATTCTGACTGTCACTTTCATGATCTGGTAAGCGACACTTTGATTGGTCGGATGAAAGGTCGTTCTGACGTGACCTGTAATGGGATGTCCTCAGATCTTTGTTTAGCGATGGCGAAATCTAAGATCTGCTTTTAATGAGATTGGTACATTCACGATTGTGTATTATTCTTCTGCAGTCATCTTCCCTGGCCGACTACCCGGACGTAGTGGTCAGATCCAGGCCGCTCTGAACCTGGAGATCCCCCCTGAGAAGACAGCCTATCTCAACATTAAACTGGAGGGCATCAACGGTCAGCTCCCCAACCTCGACTTCGTGAACCTCGTAGTCCGTCTCTGCCGCAAGGAAAGAGTCAAGGTCACACTCAACAAGATGGTGAGATGTTTAAATGTTGACCTAGAAACAGCCCATTTTCGGGATATCTGAGGATCTATCAAGACTCAGAGGCCGATATTTGGGTCCAAGTTGGCCTAATGGTTACAAGGATTCGGAGACACTGTTAGTAGGTTGCTCACAGACACTTATAGAAATATGGAACTGACATCAGTTTCTTGCATCATGGGAGAAGATCGCAGGGGCCCAAGAAGCCCCTTAGTTTTGAACACTTCATAACCTTGCTCGTGGTTTCATCAAGGTGTTAAACATCCATGACCTGTACACTTTGGGCTTTCCTGTCACATTATTTTTGGAATATAACTGAAAATATTTTCAAGCTCTCATATACCCAACTAACACACTCACTCCTGCACCATACAATTTCTCTCGGCCAGGACGACTACATGTACGACCCTGAGACGTTCGAAGGCTACACCCATGCTCTGAAGACCATGTTGAACATGATGTGGTATCAGGCATCTGGCTCCCCTACAGGCAACCATGGACTGTTCCACAGGTTTCACATTGAGGCTCTGACCTTGAGTGGGGAACCTGAGAAGAGGGGAAGAAGTGTTGGACTGGACAAGTCAGGAAGGTCAGACAATTTCAGAGCTTTGAAATAACCCGACTTTGAGTATTCGGACAAATTACCTGCCTGTTCTTATTTTGTTTATTATCTTGATCCTCATCCTGACCATTTTGTTGAACCAGCTATTTGATATATATATGATAGACATCTTCCCGAGGCAAAGAAATTAACAGACTTTAAAAGTCCAGCTTACACCTTGTCGATCTAGGCTGGCATTTTTGGGCTCGATCTTAGCGCCACCAGTGGCTATTACGAGTTATGTCCCTTCTATGTCATCTCTACTGACCAATCAGATTCCACCTCTCATAACACTTGCATTGCTTCAAACAAAATGATGGTGTTCAGTCAAGACTATCTGATCGATAATAAAGATCTTTATTGTTATAAAATGAAGTTCATAAAGTCACTTGAGCACCTTGATTAAAAACATGAAAAGATTGAGAAAATATCAGTTGGTGCACAGTTGACTGCACGCATGCTCTGCAAATCCTGCAATCTAATGAAGTAGGCGCGGCAGTTGCCATGTTATTTTTTAACCGGATGTCGATTTTGTTTCGGGATTTTGATTGGACTATCCATAGACTCGTTAGTCTAGTCAAAATATAACTCTATAATTGCAGCCTATTACGGTAAGGAGAGAAACTGGACTTTAAAAGTCAGTTTACACTTAGGAAGATGATGAACAGAAGTTGCTTCTTCAAGTAACATTGAGACCGCCTCCGCTGTCAAGAGGTAGAGCGTCCGCCCGGAGAGCGGGAAGGTCCGGGGTTTGTTCCCCGGTGGCGTCATAGCAAAAGACATTAAAAGATGGTACTTGTTGTTACCCTGTCTGGCGCTTGACATTAAGGGTAACAAGGACTTGTCGGCTATGTAATAATGCAACAAAATCCCCTCCCATTATATTATCAACCAATCAGGAAACAGGAGTCCATTAGTCAGCATAGCCAAATTCATTTTTGTTTATGGTTTTATAAACGCCCAAAAAAATGTTGGTTAACGAGTCATATGCCACGAAATCACTTGCAATATATTTTTTCGTGGGTATCTATTAGGGCTGGGACGGGTACTCAGGTCTGGCGGGTACTGAGTATGACCCGGGTACCCACAGGACTACCCGGACCCATGGTTAGTCACATGATATATTGTTTCATGACCAAAAAATATCTGAAACTCAATGGTTACACTACAAGTCACTAATGTTCGCATTTCTTGCTGACTATGCACCCATTCCTTCTGACCTTTATAGGTTTGAATAAAGATAAAACTTTAGTCAACTTCAGTGTATGCATGACCAGATCGTTTTATACGTGTATCTAAATACATTTTAGCGGGGCTACGGTCAAACTATTCCCTATCGGACATTTTACACCCAAGTCTTGAGACATATAGCGGGTATCCGGGTAGGGTCGGGTAATAGCGTGGTGGGTACCTGGGTAATAAATTTGGACTCGTCACAGTCCAAGTATCTGTTAACATAACTGACACACATCAGTCTAATCACATTCACACTTTACCATGTGTAACAACTCTATGCATGCTATCCTTACAACTGACAATGACAGCAGTTTGGGTTATGTGTGATAGAATAAGCAGTTCTGAGAGGGAGAGTTATCTCCCTTACATCATTTCATTTTTCTTCCAGTTAGTTTGGCTTTTGTGTTTCTTGCCAAGCATAATTTGACATCAATACCTGCAGAACTATCTACAATATTCGTATGAAATAATAGCCCTATTATAATATAATAATAAAAGCCCCAATATCTTCCCATGCTAACACAACCAAAAATGGTTTCATTTTTTAGAAAAAAAGTGAAATCAAATTTTGTTGTATTGTGAAAATAGAAAATGTGTTCTTAAATTTCTTTTATCATGAAAATAGTTTTACGAACAATTTCATCATTTCCGGGGGAGTTATTATCATGATTATTACAATTTTCTCACACGTTCAAGAAAAGAATTTAAGAAATGAATGAGGATTTCTATCGTCAAACATTTCTGAGGAATGACAGTAGAAATTACATTCAAATATATGTTTCATGTTGTGGCAGGATCGTGGAGGGCGTGTTCCGCAGTCTGAACAACCTCCTGGAACGTTTCCACCAGTCCTTCTTCTTCTACATCCTGTCAGGCACGCAGAGGTACATCTCCATCGGCATCTACATGCCCCCCTTCGCCCTCATGGTGGCCGCTGGCCTCATCAAGGTGGGATGTTACCTTGTGTTAGTTCATGGTAGCCTAGTGGTTCATGTGTTCACTCATCCCGCTGAAGATCTGGATTTTATTCCCCACATGGGAACAATGTGAAGCCCTTTTTTGGTGTCCCCCACCGTGATATTGCTGGAATATTGCTAAACGTGGCATAAAGACATACTCACTCACTAACTCACTACAATGATTGGTGACTTTCCATTTTGGTGAGGAAATGCTCTAGAACAAAGTTTCCAGCTTTAAAAAAACATTACACCCGAACACATCACACCATCACCATGGTCACCACCCAAACAAAATAATCTGTCAGTTCCCATCAGAGACTGCAGTTTTAATAATGTGTCAGTCGAATGTTGATTGCAAAAAACAACAACTTCAATTCTCTACTTCTGTAGGCAATGAGAAAGAGAATGATGTGGCAGGTTCTGTCAGGTAATCAGGTTGTGTTTTTTTCGGTTGTGACCATAGCGATGCTGGGATGTGTTAGGATGTAATGTTTTTTTAAAGCTGGAGACTTTGTTCTAGTGCGTTTCCATACCAAGATTGAAAGAAGTAGAAATATATAGTGTGAGATAGGATAAGTATATGAATATACAATTAATTGTAATATTTTAAATTCAAGAAATTATGAAATAAGGGAAATTATTTTTTATTGTATTCAATATTTATTTGTAATTTTTGTAAATGTCAGTTCAAAGGATTACTCTATTTGGACATTCACTGACTGTGATGTGTTGTTTGTGCCTGTAATTTGTTTACAGATGAGTGAGAAGGAAAATAATTTATTTTTTTTTATTCCTTGCGTGTTTGGGGGGGCAGATGCATCAACCAAAACTGTAAAAAACTATGATGTCATTATTATTCTAACTCTAGGCCCTAGCATTGTGGATTGGCGCCGACTCCTCTCAGAAGAAGCCAGAGGCTGATTCAGCAGCTGTTCAAGATGCAGATAAGGATGGAGAGAAGAGTGAAGAAGACAAAGCGGAGAAGAAAAAGGAAGAGCAGAAAAAGGAAGATTCGGAGCAGAAAAAGAAGGAAAAGAGAGAGAAAATGGAGAAAGAAAAGAAGAAGTTGGAAGAAGATGAGGAAGAAGATGAGGAAGAGGAGGAGGAAGAAGAAGGAGAGATAGGAGATGAATCTGAAGTGAGCTTTGAGATCTATTTTGGTTTGGTCAAATAACAAGCTTTGATTACTGAAATTATGCAATTTGTTTTTTCTTCACTAAAGTATAAGTTATGAGGCAGTGACTTATTAAAAGTGTTAAACATTGGAATTAATTATAGGCCGTTTCTTGTTAAAAAAAATATTTAAGCAGTATTTGAAAGTTCTATTTTGCTTTTATTATTTGGTATTGATACAGAGGAGAAAGATGGTTGTAGTTCTACATTGTTTGTAGCTTGAACTCAAACATATTACTGACATCAACAAGTCAAACACCAGCAACTAACTGTCCTGACCATGACAGCCCATACACATAATCCCACTCATTCCTAACATTCTAAAACTCACCAACTTCCAACGATTACTAAAGCGCCATCTTGGTTACAGATGCCCCAGCAGGTCGGACTCCGTAGCCTGCTGCCGGTCGTCTTCATCTGCATGCTGCTCGGCTTCCTGGCATACTCCGGACCTAACCTCATGGCCCAGTTCTCCACGCCGTTCCGGCTGCGCGTGCAGGACTCGCTGCTGTTTGGTCTCCTGGCTCTCTTCTGTGCCTCTCTGCTGTATCCCAGGATGATCAAAAAGTGAGTGGAGCTATGTACCACTCCAAAGACGCTAAGAACCTGATTCCTTCATATTACTCTATCATGACAGATTAACTCTTGTAATATGAAGATTACATTAAGTAATACGTTACCACTGTTATACCGAGGCTGTTGTCTCCCACAACTGCTGCTATAGCGAAATCTACCACAGAGATCTCAATTACCTCATGCAGCACGTGCGTAGCCACCTAGCTGCCATGTGACACCCTCCACTCTTGTCTCTTCGCTTGCTCTAGCAAGACGTACAATAAACTGCTCAAGGGTTCCTGTTTCTCCGACCATTCGGTGATATTTATTACTGTTTATTCTCTCTAATAAACTGTGCTTTTACGGGGCGTTTGCTGTAACTACGCTTGGAAATATTTTTCCCGCCAAAAGGAAATATTTTTCCCGCCCTTTTTTTCTATATACTTGCGGGGTGTCTCGTATGCACGTTGCGTCTTACGTTCCCCTGTTCTAGTATATCTTGGGTTTTTTACATCACTTATTCCTCTATATGTTATATGTGTATGTTCTATATTCCCATTGCTCGTTTATTTTCTTGTGAAAATACTCGTTTGTGACTATTTGTGGTGCGTGTGTTGTTACCATGTTTTGCTCTTTGTTCATAGTACAAACAAAATGTCTGACATGGATGTTTCGCCGTCCTCCACCCCCTCTACCCCCGCAACCAGGAGCTGCGGGGTGTGCCGCAAGCGAGCGCTACCGGCTGTATGTGCAGTCCGTTTCCACCCCTGTGGTGGCCGGCTCGTCCTGTCGGGGTCCCTTTGCGGGTACCACCACCACAGCTGCGGCGGATCCCTTGGCGGCCCGTGGGAGCCAGACTCCAGACGTACTGGGTGAATTGGGAACAAGTGTTCGACGACCCGTGGGTGGTCAACACGATTCGGTACGGCTGTCGGCTTGATCTCAAAGCGAATCCGCCGCTCACCGTTGCCCCGTTGGCAGGTTTCGATTCGGAAACCGATCTTCCCATCCTCGCCGATGCCATCGTCAGGTTGGTGGAGAAGGGGCAGTACGGGAGTTAGCTCTACCAGAAATAACACCGGGGTTTTACTCCAGGATATTTCTCGTTCCCAAGTAGGACAGTGCCGAACTCAGAATGATTCACACGTCCGCTCCCTGGCTGTTCACCCGGTTAACCACCCCCATAGTGGGGTTCCTCCACCGGAGGGGTGTCCGGTACTTCGCGTACCTGGACGACTCGCTAGTAGCAAATCGAATGACGGACACCCTGTCACGCCATCTCGTTTTCGCACGTCGGCTCTTTGAGCAATTGGGGTGGATTATCAATCTCCCCAAGAGCGAGTTAACCCCTTCTCAGAACTTGCAGTTCATCGGAGGTCAGTTCAACACGGTGTCCCATCGCCTCTTTGTCCCCCCAGACCGGTGGCACAAGATTCAGGCGATGATTGCCAAAGTCTTAGCGGTGCAACAGACTGTTCACTTTTGGGAACAGCTGTTAGGGCTACTTGTATCAGCCCAGGACTGCACCGAACGGGGTCGTCTCCAACTCTGCCCGCTGCAACGGTTTTTAATCCAGTTGTTAGCAACGGAGGTGAACAGTGCGACCGTCGCCCTCCCGGATCGGCTCCGACCGCATCTGGAGTGGTGGACGGTCCCTTACAATGTCTTATCAGGAGTCTCTATGTGGCCCTACCGGGCCACGTTGAACCTGTATACAGACACCTCTCTAGTGGGCGCCCGACTAGAGGGGGAGGTGAGCTCGGGGCTGTGGTGAGTAGACGAACTAGGTCTTCACATCAATTGTCTCGAATTCAAGGCAGTGATCAACGCAGTCAATCACTGGAAGCATCGTCTCGTCGACGCCCGGCTCATGCTGGCGACCGACAACACGACGGTAGTGTCCTATGTGAACAAACTGGGGGGAACCCACAGTCACTCGCTACTCGATCTCACGTTCGAGTTTTACGCTTTGGTGGACAGTGTCCCGTGCCAGATACGCGCCCGTCACATCCCAGGTGTGCGGAACGTACTGGTCGACGCTCCATCGAGGCCTCAGGATCCGAGCCCCACAGAGTGGATGCTGAACCCAGTAGTGTTTCAGTGGCTGTGCGAACGTTTGGGTCATCCGATGGTCGACCTGTTCGGGCATACGTTAGTATGCATCGTGATTCTACCCAGAAGGTGTATAATGCACGTTGGGTTATTTTCACGAAGTGGTGTTGTAAACATCACATTCATTGGCCAGATAAGGTATCTGTGCAGGATATTGCTCGTTTCATGTCTCACTTGCGAGAGACCCGGAAACTCTCCGGGGTTCCATTGCCAACTATGTCTCGTCCGTTGCTACGGTACGGGACGTTGCTATGGTTACCAGTCTCTCCAAAGAGCCGGTGATACGGGGTATTATCAAGGGTTTCAAACAGCACGATCTTAAGAAGGGCCGCCTTCGGGCACCGGCCTGGGATCTTTCCCTAGTGTTGCAATCACTTACGGAAGCTCCGTATGAACCCTTGCATAGTGCTTCGTTCCGGCATGTGACTTGGAAAACAGCATTTCTCCTCTCCTATGCCACGGCGGCACGTGTATCCGAAATTCATGCACTCGATGTCGCCAAGGTACGATTCGATAGGGGTGACGAAGGAGCGGTCCGCCTGGGCCTGCTCATGGGCTTCATCGCCAAGAATCAGAGAATCGGGCAAACGGAGAGAGAATTCACTGTAAGATCACTCAAGGAAATCTTACATCCTGCTGATACTGAGGACAGAGCGCTGTGTCCGGTTAGGGCCCTTAAGTATTATCTTAAGGCTTCGAATGAACGTAGACAAGGGAGTGACCGTCTGTTCATATCGTGTAACCCTAATCGCACGGTTGACATAACTCGCAACTCGATTGCGTTGTAGCTTCGTTCTGTCATCAATCTGGCGTACCGGTCTTGGGGGTTACCGGTAGCAGGGTCAAACCCGCACGAGATCAGGGCGCTAGCGGCAACATTTGCCCTACACTCGAATATCTCTGTTCGCAGAATATTACGAGGTTGTTACTGGCGTTCTGACTCGGTTTTTGCCAATCATTACCTCAAACGGGTCGTTGATGCCGTCGTGGAGAGTGTGCACCGTCTTGGCCCGCGGATCGCGGCGCAAGCGGGCACCTAAGGGGTGTGCCCAGCGCAATTCCGAACTCCTCAGGCGTCAGACCTTGCACGGTGGTCAATCTGGGTCGACTCCAATGTTCCCACTGCCGTGGGTACAGGAGTTGGGGTCCCGCAAACCAGCGCACTCACACCACAGGTGAGGGCGGCTTTTTGTGTGCTTTGTCCTTATTTGTATTTTGACAGTTATGTATTTAATTGTCTGTCGTGTATCCCAACCTTGTGATGCATGCTTTCAAATACTGGAATTAGGTCACGCGCCTAATGCATACTTTAAGTAGGCTTGCTCTGGGATATACGGTCTGAATGAAATTAATTTCCCTCTTTTCGACTGTTTAACCTGATCTAAGATTTAGCTCACGCGGATACAGTGTTCTCATCCGCTGCGGCGATGAAATACCTATCCAGTGGGGCCGTTTGGAGTCACCAATCGTTTTGGCAATGACGATTGAGCCTTACGGTATGCGCTTGACAGTGCTTTGGTATTCCTATAGGGTAACGCCTAGCTAGGTGCATGCGCATCGAGTGCTTCCGCCTTGGTGTTTACTTCCGCTGGTCGGAAGGAACGCTAGCAGTCAGGATTCGGGTTGTAGGTGCTCCCCACCGCCAACTGTGGTAGTCAGCCTCGGTATAACAGTGGTAACGTATTACTTAATGTAATTTGTAGAATTTTCCTATTCGGAATATTCTATAAGTAATACGTTACCACTGGGCTGCTGCCCGCCCGTCCGTCCCACGAGCACTTGCTCTCGCAAGAGACAAGAGTGAAGGGTGTCACATGGCAGCTAGGTGGCTACGCACGTGCTGCATGAGGTAATTGAGATCTCCGTGGTAGATTTCGCTACAGCAGCAGTTGTGGGAGACAACAGCCTCGGTATAACAGTGGTAACGTATTACTTATAGAATATTCCGAATAGGAAAATTCTACAAAATTGGGTGGTCGCAAACTACATTTGAGTAGTGTATTATATATATATGCTTAGCAAGCACGTAGATTCAATTCAGTTAATGTTATTATTTTAAACTTTATTTGATATTTGCGACCGCGTTTTGCCAGACCGCTGGATAACATGGTTGAGTAACATGATAACTTCAGGCAACAGTTAGTCATTTTGCGCTACAGGCATCAGTTGTGTTGGGTGCATGTCAGCGTATCCTAACAGTGTGGGTCCTTGCTCATGATATCAATCACTGGGTTGTCTGATCCAGTCTCAAGTATTTACAGGCTGACAGCATTTATCAACAAACAAGCTGGTACCAGTGAAAGTAGCATTCTTGAATCTTGGGCCAAGTTACACAAAGCAGTATCAGCACTACCATTGATCCAAGTCTGTCTAAAAGCACTAGAGTTTTGATGATCATCTTTGTGCTAGCATCCCATCGTCGTCCTGGTTGTTGTCATCGTCCCGAGGGAAGCGTGTCCACTATCCTATATCAGAGCCTAGTTTCTACCCTTGCCACATCAAGGCCACATTTCTTGGCTCGACCCCGTGCCATCTTGCATAGATCACCAGTTGTGCCCCTTGTAATGAAAACACGATATCCAATCAGATCGCTGTTATTATATCGTATAGCTTCACAAAAAATGTCGACTACAGTAGGCAACGACCTAGTCAATCAGATAATGAAATCATTTGCGATTTCATCCCTGACACAAAAACAGAGGCAATTGTCTTTTGATGAAAGAGACATGTCAACAAAGACAGGCAGCGGTAAATCACTTACATACGAAGGTGTACCAGTCGTGGATGTTGAATTTGTGAAACCTTGTCTGATTTGACTATTGCTACGTGCAATAGTCCAATCATGTTTAGCACAGGAAAGCGGGGTTGATGTGGCAAGGGTGGAAACAAGACTTTGATAAAAAGATTAGTGGATGCTCTTTCCTCGGGCAGATGGGTTGTTGTATTCATATGATGCAGGTTCATTATCAGGGTTGTAGGAGCGGTAAGGTTAAAGCATTGACATCACGACGAAGGCCCAGGTTCGATCCCCAACATGGGTACTATGTGTGAAGCCCATTTCATGAGGGTCCTGATGGGTTTTAATGCTTAACGTAAAACACCCTTCAAACACTATCGTAAACGTAAAATTCATCTTTTTTTTATGGTAAATGCTTATCGTAAAATACCAAAAAATAACTGCTTAACGTAAATAAATAATTTACTGCTTATCGTAAAATGATTGAAATGGTCAAAAACAGTGTGTCTTCAAGACCCAAATGCTTCGCCACAGAAAGCAGGCTGAGCAACTGACGCAGGGGACCAGTCTAGAATGTTTAGCGATTTGAGATTTTACCAGGTATTAAAAATATGAATTGTCAGGATGAAACGAAAGCAGAATTAAAAGTCCCATGTCCCTCCATGGCCGATTTAGGAATTTTTCGCGACGATTTTATTGAAAAAGAAGAAAAATTACTGCTTAATGAAAGAGTACCTAAATTTTACTGCTTACTGCTTGTGGGACCCACCCATCAGGACCCTCTTCATATTTCTAAAAACGGCATTAACCATACTCTCACAGTTTTGTATGCACTATGTTCCTCCATCACCCATGGATACATATGGCTGTTTTACAATGTAGTCGCCACCCGTGAAGATCCGGGGTAGAATAGGTCTTCAGCAACCCATGCTTGCCGCAAAAGGCGACTATGCTTGTTGTAAGAGGCGACTAACGGGATCGGGTGGTCAGACTTGCTGACTTGGTTGATACATGTCATCGTATCTCAATTGTCTGGATCGATGCTCTTCATGTCAATCACTAGATTGTCTGGTCCAGACTCGATTATTTACAGACCGCTGTCATAAAGCTGAAATATTGCTGAGTGCCATGTTAAACAACAATGTAGTCGCTATTTTAAACCAAGAATCAAGCCATAGCCTGGTCACTCACATAACATTGTACGAACGGCAATATTTCTAGTGCTATATGTGCGCTAGTCTTGCTGCCTCTACACAACACATAATCAGGCAATGTGAGTGAGTGAGTGAGTGAGTGAGCAATATTCCAGCAATATCACGAAGGGGGACACAAGAAATGGGCTTAAGACATTGTACCCATGTCGGGAATTGAACCTTGGTTATCGACGTTACAAGCGAATGCTTTAACCACTAGGCTACCCGACCACCCCTCAGGCAATATCAGGCAAGTTGGGGTTCACACAGAGTTCATGCACAGAGTTGGGGTCATTGACATCCTGCAGTTATACTGTCTCATATCAAACCTGACTTCAAACAAACACTCGTCACACCACTAAAGGTTTTGTTAGTTTTCACTGATAATGAATACAGGTAACTATTGGAGCTATTTTCACTATTGCGATTGTATTAAACCAACTCTTAAAATAATGCTTGATAATTAATTTTATCAATGGTAGAAAAATAATGAAAGTTTTGCCGACAATGTCAAAGTCGCCTATTTTCCTCCCTGTTGCTTCACAAACCTAAGGGGAGTAACTCTAATGTGAAATATTTGTAACCCTTGCTAATCATCACACAACATTTATGAATTTCGACCTTAAAATCTGAGTTTACTAACACATAATCTATGTTTTATTTATAATAACTGTGATTATTTAAACTATCAATTGTTTTGCATACTATCAACAATGCCATTGGCATTTTCATATTTCTATAGACATAGTACAAACGTAGGGCAAACAATTACAATACATCAATCGTTCGATATATCGTTACTCTTCTATGGAGTAATTTACCGAGTGTGTACACAAAACAAGGTGTCGTGATCAATGTTGTTCCTCCCGTCTAGGAAGTACAACGAGTCGGACAAGTTCCAGGTGGACTGGCAGACGCTGAAGAGCATCGGCCTCATCCTGCTGTCCCTCATCCTGTTTGCCATCGCCCTGATGAACATCTCCCTGGCCTTCTTCCTCACGGCCACCATGATGCCCGTCTGCACGTTTGTCGTCCCCACAAAGAGCAGGTGAGTGAATGAGTGTTCACTGCTCCAGATAACAGGATTTGTGTAAAATACACAAAATATAGCACCATTACACATTTATTTTCAGTTGCTTGCGCATTAAAATTTTCAAAAGTCCAATAGTCTATGTGTAATTATCCAAAGTATCCTTTTTACATGTTTTCAGCTTGTGTCCCGTAGTTTCTCAACAGATCTAGTACAGGCATCACTGTACTGCAGTGAATAATGCATCCTTAAGGCGCTATGTCTCACTTATTGGTAAATATAAGAGAGCAATGCGATAAATCGCAAAGAAACATCGACAAAATGTGTGTTTATTTCATGATAAAACTTGCTTATACATATATAATTTTTAAACTTATCCTATCTCACACTATGCATTTCTTCTAATTCTTCGATCTTGGTGTGGAAACATCCTAGAACGAAGTTTCCAGCTTCAAAAAACACCACTCACCCAAACACATCCCTTACATCACCAAATCACCACTGTGATCATGGTTCACGCACCACTAAAATCCCGTATATATTGATGACTTCATTTATTAGATATTATTTTTGAGAGGGAAGTGACTTGTAAGTTGTTCCCTATAGATGTAGCTCGGCTACACAGATAAACACACTTGCCGAACAATCGCATCCAAATTGGAAGAGATATGACAATCAGTAATAGGAGAAAAGGTACAGATAATCGACGTGAGGATTGTGAGAATATGCGGGAAATACCAAACTTAACCCACCTGTTCATAAAATGGACTTGTCCGACATTTCCGAGGTCGGATTCTATTCAGGGAGTCTTCATTATTAACATTTGGGTAAATATTTTTTAGACATCCTTAAAGAGGCTGTACATAATGTTGATATCCCATATAAGACAGCTATATGATCAATCACAAAGTACATTGAAGAACGAAGCATGGTTTATTTCACGATAAAACATTGTTATATCATGACGTCATTTCTATATGCGGCTGTCGTAAGTTTATGCGACATGTCAGGCAGAATTTCTTTTCAGAAATATCTATGAATTGAAGTATGAATACCCATATAGAAGGAAACTGTCAAATCCCTATGAGAGTAAATACCCCATGACTCACACTATGATCTGAACCCGGTGTTCACAAAGAATGCTCGCACATGCCCAGGTCAGCTTGACCTACAAGGTTATCAAACAAAGAATGTACAGGATTTCCCAATAGTTCAAAAATGCAAGTCTTCTGAAACGTAGTATTGTATACCGGAACGACCAGTTATGATCATGAGTGGTTATATTTTGATGTGAGTTTTTGATATATTTTCTTGTTATTACCATGGTAACCTGTACACCACATCCTCAGTCATTGTGACCATCTTGACACCATTTGGGTACATACTGTGTGCGAGGGGCAGTCGGGTAGCCTAGTGGTTAAAGCGTTCGCTCGTCACGCCAATGACCCCGGTTCGATTCCCGACATGGGTACAATGTGTGAAGCCCATTTCTGGTGTCCCCCGCCATGATATTGCTAGAAAATAGCTAAAAGCAGCGTAAAACCATACTCACGCACATACAGTGTGCGAAGAGAACCCGTGAAGATTCCGTGGTAGAATAGGTCTTCAGCAACCCATACTTGCCGTAAAAGATGACTATGCTTGTCGTAAAAGGCGACTAACGGGATCGGGTGGTCAGGCTCGCTGACTTGGTTGATACATGTCATCGATCCCAATTGCGTGGATCGATGCTCATGATGTCAGTCACTGGATTGTCTGGTCCAGACTCAATTATTTTACAGACCGCCGTCATATAGCTGGAATATTGCTGAGTGCGGCGTTAAACAGCAAACAAACAAACAGTGTGCGAAGTTCCTTGTATTAGAGTGCCAATGGCGTGGTTAAAGTCATAATGGTTGTGTTAAAAAGGTTTCGGTTGTCCGGAGGGCACGTTTGGAAATCAGTTTCATCAGTAAATGGAATTACCGAAGGGAAGTGAACATGTGAACATGCTTAACATGCTTAATGCACAGTATGTTGATACACAAAATGGTCCTTTGGATCCTGAAACGGAAAACGGTATCATCAATCTCAATGAACAGAAAACAAATTGTTTATTATTATCTACCTAATGGTGGAATAATATTCCCTGGGATCAAAGATGGCTCAAAAGTATATTTTCCAAAGGGCACACCTAAATTTTGTTTCGTTTGTTGTTTACACCACACTCTGCAATATTCCAGCTATATGATGGCAGTCTGTAAATAATTGAGTCTGGACCAGACAGTCCAGTGATTGACATCATGGGCATCAATGTAGGCAGCTGGATGTGATGACATGCATCAACCAAGTCACCCAGCCTGACCACCCAATCCTGTTAGTCGCCTCTTACGACAAGTATGGGTTGCTGAAGACCAATTTTAACGCAGATCTTCACAGGGATCTTCATGCATTAGTGAGAACCATTCCTAACCTGTGCTGCTAATGGAGCAGCATGTTTAAGAAAGAGTCTAGTGAAGCCTTTTTTTTTGTTCCAGGATTCTGACATGGCTTCAGAAGCTGCTGCTACTGCTAGTGTCCCCTGCATCGTTCCTCTTCATCAGCGCTGTCATTTACACCCTCGTGCTGGGGGACAAGTACAGCGGCTACCTGGACCTGCTGATGTCGTCGTGGATGTACGTGAAGCAGAGTGTGTTGATGAGGCTGCTGGACCAGTGTTTCTTCGGGAGCTGGACCTACACAGTGATGAGTCTCGTCGTCTTCCCCAGCTGGTTGATGTTCTGGGGGGTGCCTCACTGTGAGCCCTAGGGGTGCATGGGGGGGGACAGTCTAGTCGTTGTTGTTTATTTATAAGGGAACAGTTCAAAAGCTGAATGTCGAATAAAAATCTTAATTGTTTTTGTTAAGGAAAGGGAGGTTAACAAGTCGGCAAGATTTCCATCAGACATAACAAGTCAGTTCAAATAACAAATAACAGCTCTAATCATCATTTTTTCTTTGAATAGGAAAGGAATTTAAATGAGTAGAGTACAAAGGCAGTCATTTTGAAATACTCCCAAGTTTTGCCACACCAACAACTCTGGATATTATTGCAATGTAGCCTTCATTGACAAAAGAATCTCTTTGAGGGTTGTCAGCATTTTCTGAACGAAATTTTGGAGGGAGGCATGTCTTAAAACTTAATGAATTAAGGCAATTATTCTATATTGAAATTTTGAAATGCTCCCCAAGTGCACGTAGACGTTGAATGTACGGGACCTGGTATGACAACTGGGTTGAGATTTGACATCATTACATGAATCTGACAAGTGAAAACTGCTGAAATATTATTTCCATTTAATTTAATAAAAAGTGGAACATAAATTATTTCATCTGAAACTGTAAACTTTAGAATTACTGCATTACATAGAATATTTGTTTTTTAGATCAACAATGTTGTAATTATTTTCAACAGGTAAGGTCAGATTATTTATAATGTATTTTGCTGAATAAGACTATGTTTTCAAAGTTGGCTTAAACTATTGCAGTTCATGAAATGTGTTCATAGCATAGCGTATTCGCCGTAATAAACGCCCTGGGCATTTGACATAGGGGTGCTTATTAAAACAAGTTAAATTTATGACAATGAAATAATAATTTGTATAGCGCCTAATTTCCATCATACGGTGCTCAATAGCGCTGAAATTTGTAGTTCTTAAGTCGAGCAGTATATATTAAACGTAGTTCAAACGTCAATGAAACTAAACCTTTTTCGATAATAGTTACTTGGCAGTCATATATCCCTTTTATACTCCTGTGTTTTCTGTAATGAATCTATAATTTACACAAATAACGAATAAATGTTTGGGCTAAAAGATTACATACAGACTGCTCTAATTGCTAAGGGGGCACTTATTGGAGCGGGGCGTTAAGTACAACGAATACGGTACTTGTACGTGTTGTGTGTTCCTTCTTCTTGGACAATGCAGGATTTGAGTGCTAATCCTAATCTTAATAGTGAAATGGTGGTACTTCTGTTACTACAAACAAGCGGGGCAAGTATGGGCCTGTAGACAACAGTTCAGCAATAAGCGGATACTGCCCCTCGCATTTACTTGGCCAACACTGATACGAGGATTTATTTCAGTTGTCCATTTTGTTGTGAGCAGTGAACATGATTAATTTATTACCAGAATATCTGATACCATGCTGTATGTTTTAATCCCGGACTTTTAATGATGATCTGGTGATCTCAGTATAGTCAAGTACATCACTTGTTGTTGTAATGGTCACAAGTAATCCATCACAAGATTTTGTGTTGGGCATCTCAATGAGGTAGCGTTCTGAAACTTGTGGAGCTGATCAGGTGACAAACCTGTGGTCGACAGTGTGAGCAGGCTATATAATCATGAGTCGAATTATGTTGTGTCTTCTGTCTAAGTGAGTGGTCATGGCGCTGCATTATTATCATACTGGTCAGTTGATCAGTGCGTTCAAATTTCATTCTCAGCTCCCTGGGGAGTATACAATTCAAGCTGCCTTGTGAGGCACGAGAGGGCTTATAGTCACATCAACATCTCATTCCGAGTGGATAGTCATACACTGCGTGAACATGATGAGACGAGTGTTGGCAAATATTCATCCTTGTAAGATTAGGTTCATCAGGGGATTCACGATGAATTCATTCTTGCAAGTCAACCAGGTGAATGGGCAGAGGTGGATGCGGTCAAATGCATCACAATCATCACCAAGCCACTAACACCCGAACTGGAAACCAGGTTGAATTTCTTGCAGTCACGGTGAATGTGCGAAATATAGTCCATGAAATAGATCAACTTGTAATCTTTGGATGGATTTTGCTGTAAATTTGCGAAAAAATGTCCCCTAAACAAAAGCTGCCATTATGGCTGTATGCGTCCAATGTGCAGTGCTATTCGATTGTCTTTGTTTCAGTTAATGAAAGCTTACCTACTGGTAGTCATGTGACAAGTTTGTAAAACGATAATGACCAGGTAATCCTCTCCAGGACCCCGTTCCACCAACCTATCTTAGCGCTAAGACAATCGTAAGTCTATGTTGCAGGTTTGTTTGTCTGTTGTTTAATGCCGCACTCAGCAATATTCCAGCTATATGACGGTGGTCTGTGAATAATGAAGTCTGGACCAGACAATCTAGTAATTGACATCATGAGCATCGATCTATGCAATTGGGATACGATGACAAACATCAACCAAGTCAGCCAGCCTGACCACCCGTTAGTTGTTTATGACAGACATAGTCGACTCTTACAGCATGAGTTGCTGAAGACCTGTTCTTACACCGGATCTTAACGGGTCCAGATGTTGAGTTAAGATGTTCTTGGCACTAAGATCAGTTTGTGGAATGGAGTCCTGGATCTTCACTGCCTTGGAATCTCTGAGGAGGGGTAGTGGAGTGACTTCATGCTATGCAGCATAGTGATGCGTTTGACGACATGATCATGTTCCTAGATTGACCACTCACTGTGTTGCTTATATATTAACATGTACGTTATTTGTGGAACAAATGACTTAGTAGAATGGAACAGTGTGCAATTGAATGTTGTTTCTGTGTCGTGATTTCACAAAGGCAAGATCAAATTATTTTCATATTTCACTGACATAATCTACCATAACTTTTGTAAAAATGAAAAGTACTATATTCTTATACTTTTTGGGAGTAAAGCTTTTATTTCAGGTGGGTTGAAAATTAACCCCAATCATCCCATAATAGCACCAAAACCTGTAAAACAAGACATATTGGTCTGGCTTCAGCAGTTTAGGAATGCTTAGGAAGAAACATTGTTGGAATAAGTTTGCAGCTACAAGTTTATGGTTTTGCTCAGAACAAAGAAAAATGAATGTTTAGTTTTTCTTGAAGATTCAATCATGCTTATCAATGTTCATGCACTTTCACTTGTATGTATTATATGTGTGTGTGCGTGATGCTATGGTCGTTGTTGAATGTTTGATGTCAGTGAATCACATTCCCACTCAACTATGCATATTCTTGTTACTCTATTTCTAGAATAAATATTTTACTGAAAAACTAAACTTCGTGATTTTTCTATAGATCTGTATCCAGGATAGAGGAAATATTCATGCATTGTTAATTTACCTTGTTCAATTTCTGGATTCCATTTCTGATATGAATTTTTGTGAACTTTGACCGACCAAAGATATGTGTAAAAAGAAGTCAGCATTATCCAATCAGAAAGCAGCTTTTTGGCACAACTTTCAAACTGGCGACTTCCATTCCAAACTACGCTTTGAAGTTCTCGATTCAAAATTTGGAGACTGATCAAAAGAAAAAACTGGAATGTCCAATAGATGATGGACATTTATGGCAGTACTTCCCATGGGCTATGGAAAGTCTCTTCTGTTTCAAATGTTTATCCCATTGAAGCGAGAGATAGACCATGCTTTATATGGAAACAGTCGTACTGCATGTAACAGTCACTTGAAATGCCTCGTGTTGACCTTTCCCAGGTTGCTTGATTAGTATACACATTCCGACTGTCACTTTTGCCAATCTGGTAGGCTACGCTCTGATTGGTGGATGAAAGGTCGTACTGACATGACCCATTAATATGGGCTGTCCTCCAATCTTTGTTTAGGGGTAGCTGAGAACTGAGATTGGATTTTAATGAGATTGTACACTCCCCCTTGGGAGTGTACAATCTAAGCTGCTTCTACATGTGCATTAACCATCTCATCCTACCTGGAACCTATTCGCATCTTGGTGAAGAGAGGCCATTTGAATAAAATCGCGGGTCGAAGGGAACATGACAAATGTAAAGTGGGGTGGGGCAGGGCAGCAGCCCTAGAAATTCCCAGGAATCGAGCATGCCGAGCTCAGGACCAACCATGTACCACATTGGTTGGTTTTTTTGTTTAACGCCGCACTCTGCAATATTCCAGCTATGTGACGGCTGTCTGTAAATAATCTAGTCTGGACCAGACAATCCAGTGAATGATATCATGATTACATGCATCAACCAAGTCAGCAAGCCTGACCACCTGATCCCGTTAGTCGCCTCTTACTAGAAGCATAGTCACCACTAACGGCAAGCATGGGTTGCTGAAGACCTATTCTACCCCGGATCTTCACAGGTCTGTACCACCATGAGGGAGATCGGCTAGGAATGTAGAGAGCAAGGAGGGTGTGTGTAATCAGGCGTGGGAATTATCAAATCACTTGCCTATAACCAAAACATTCCATTCTGATTAGTATGTTTTCCGATTGAGAAAAGCATTAAAACAATATCTATGGATAACAGATGCTTTCAGTGAGGTCCGCTAAGCACCAAAGCACTCCGAGTTCGTACTCGTGAGACATACCAAAACGGGGAGCTGGCAGAGCAGAAAGAGGGCACTGTTTCAACATAGCATCACCCTTTGCGATGTGGTGCATTGTCATCAAAACAGCAACATCTTTGTCCTTCAGTGTGCCTCAGAATGTTTGTAACGTTCTGTGGCTACTGCATCACCTGATGAATAGGTCTTCAGCAACCCATGCTTGCCTTAAAAGGTCACTATGCTTGTCATAAGAGGCGACTAACGGGATCGGGTGGTCAGGCTCGCTGACTTGGTTTGATGCATGTCATCGATCCCAACTGCATGGATCGATGCTCATGATGTCAATCACTGGATTGTCTGGTCCAGACTCGATTATTTACAGACCGCCGTCATATAGCTGGAATATTGCTGAGTGCGTCTTTAAACAACAAACAAACAAAACAAATGATAAAGAAGTTGTTCTCCATACACATGTCTTCATGTTCTCCCAACTTCTAATGCCTATCAAAGACCTCTAAAAGCATTATTCGCAGAAACTGAACAATAAACACAATTTCCCATTCAGTTTATTGCAGATAACAGTCACTTCTAAACATCTTTTTTTAAACAAGCAGAAACAGTAAGTCTCTTTGACATAACAATAACATCCAACAGCCAACAGTGAGATTCCGTAAGGTATCGGGTGTATAGGGCCAGGACGATGTACACATTCACATTACGATACATATCCAGGATATCATGATACGACATGTATCGTGATACAGAAAAAGAGACTCAAGCTGATGATGACATTGCAAATAGACCACTACCAATGTAACATCGTATCGATACATCGACCTATAACACTAGTCTCATCAAAACTTGACGTATCAATGAATTGTCCCACCCTAACACCTCGTCCCACCAGTATAAGTATTGATGAGCTGGAATCAGTTATTTCTGCATCCATTGCGTTTGATTTGGCATTTCAATTCTCTAATTTAACATACTAGCACTCTTGACAGACATTTTATGATGCCTCTGCAAGCATATAACCTGACATGGATGAGACAGTTAACACATTAATCATGGATATATCTGGAATTAGTTGGTTATGCTACAAATTGAATAGCTAGGGGTGTTATCCTAAACCTTCATCCAATGATAAATGCTACATCCACAAATGATCTGAAATGCAACACTCAGTCACCAATGACTGCTTGATTTTTTACATGACTTTTAACTTGATCAACTAGTTGACTGTTGATTTGATCAACTATTGTCAACTGTGGGTAAGACCAACTAGTTGATGGCTGATCTAATCAACTTGTCAACTGTTTAGGGCCCTATAAACCAATCAATGGATTTCAACAAATTTTCAACAAAATATATCTAGTATAAGGTCAAATAGCACTGACTGTGAAAAGTGAACATTCAGGTACTTGATACAAATAATTCAATAAAATTACAAAAATATTTTCTTTACTTCATCATAATGTTCATAAAACAAAAACAATCTGAATGATGCATTTATCACTTATGTTTGATTGAGCTAGCAAAAGAAGATAAGAAAACAAACAAGTATTTTCAGTTAGTATGTGAGCTCTGGAGAAGGTTTATTATAGTGCAGTGCGTAGAATTGGGCGAAACTTGCAAAATGGCAAAGACATTCTACCCTTTAGGAGTGCTTCAAAGGTGACTTTGGTATTGACAGTCGGATTTGACCTCAGTGAAGGTCATAGCTAAGGGAGATAACTGCAGTCACTTCCTGTGAGACTTGAAGAAGTTGATGAGTCCATTTGTGGAGGAATCATGGGTGCTGACGGGGTCAGGGCCACTCAGCTCTGGCTGGATCACCTTGGCTAGCTGCTTACCCAGCTCAACGCTGAAACAAGAATTAGAGTGAGTGAGTGAGTTGGGTTTAACGCCGCTTTTGACAGTATTCCAGTTATATCGTGGCATGTCAGCTTAATGTGGGAGGAAAGCTGGAAGTGATGCAGGTCTCAGACGTTTACCACTTCAGGGAAACCCACGAGCACGGGTATGGTGCCGACAAACCCAGAAACAATCTGGGCCAAACAGGATTCAAATCATAGGGTTCTGGCATGCCCAAGGGACGCAACTCTGCAGAGTGATTTGCGGCGCCTTAGACTACTTGGCCACCAGTGCCCTCTCAGTGCCATGATGTCATGCAATAAGGTTACCAAGCAGTGGCGCCATTGTCAAAATTGGGGCGAAGCGGGATTCGAACTCACAATCATAGGTTTCTGGCTTGCCCAGGGGATGCAACTCTGCACAGAGAATTGCGGCGCCTTAGACGACTGGGCCACCCTTGCCCCCAACAAGAATTAGAAGTCAGGTGATATGGGGTGAAGGCACATTGGCACCATAGTTGAACCTGATCAGAGCTCCAGATAACTTTTTAAGCAATTAAGTTTTTACTCTAGGGTTTCTATTTTAATTGGGTTATTACATTTTTCATTGTGTAACCAATATTTTTTCACTCATCTATTCATCACTCTATTGGGTATTTCCCCAAAAGAATGAACATTACAAGATTAAAAAACAATGAAGTAATGTTTTAGTAGATGTACATAACCATGATAACTGTTCTAAATATATAGGCTTGACTCGGAAAGTGAATTAGCTCGTAATTGTGTTTAGAAAATTAGCTCCTTTGTACCTATGCTGAATTAGCTTCATTGGGTGTTTATGCGAGCAGTTTTTATACATTTGAGTTTTTCATTTAATTCTTGCGTTTCTGTACGCAAATTTGCTAAAAGTAATTGGGTTTTGAATATATTTTGGGGGGTATTTTACGCAAATACGCTGCTTATCTGTAGCTCTGCCTAGTCCATGAAATTCTGGAGATAACTTGCTTATAACAACTATGAGATGGACAGAGACTAATACCAATATCCCCGCCTCACAGCAAATGCAGGAATGTGGGACACCAAATGACTCCTTATTACAAGTGGAGGTTTCAGGAAAGAAGTACCATAGCTGTAGGTTAAAATTTACAATACATCTATGTTATAAATTTATTTATTTACTTCCTGTATGTTCATTTTTTTCATTTCTCAGAACTTACCCCCATTGATCGAAGGAGTTGATATCCCAGATGACACCTTGGGTGAAGATCTTCATTTCGTACATGGCTGAAAGACAGAGAAATAACACCCTTAATTAAACAACATGTTTAAACAGTCAACTTTGTGGATATTCTAACCATGCTAAATCGATACGGCTTATCAATGAATATTTTAAAAGTGTTTGAAGGACTTTAACAGCTATGTACCTACCTATGAGAGCTCCAAGCATGAATGGTGTGAGTTTCTGGAAGATGATGGAGTTGCTGGGACGATTGCCTTCAAACACCTGCAACACATAACACCATAGGATACACAGGGAACATGAACACCATAGGATACACAGGGAACGAGAACACCATAGGATACACAGGGAACAAGTCACCATAGAATATATACTGAGTGAGTGAGTATGGTTTTACGCCGCTTTTAGCAATATTCCAGCAATATCAAGGCGGGGGAAACCAGAAATGGGCTTCACACATTGTACCCATGTCGGGAATCGGGTCTTCGGCGTGACGAGCGACCGCTTTAACCATTAGGCTACCCGACCGCCCCATATAGAATATATGGAGAACATGAACACCATAGAATGTACAGGGAACATGAACACAATAGAATGTACAGGGAACATGAACACCATAGGATACACAGGGAACAAGAACACCATAGGATACACAGGGTACATGAACACCATAGGATGTACAGGGAACATGAACACCATAGAATGTACAGGGAACATGAACACCATAGGATACACAGGGAACATGAACACCATAGGATACACAGGGAACATGCACACCATAGGATACACAGGGAACATGAACATCATAGGATACACAGGGAACATGAACACCATAGGATACACAGGGAACATGAACACCATAGGATACACAGGGAACATGAACACCATAGGAGACACAGGGTACATGAACACAATAGGATACACAGGGAACATGAACACCATAGGATACACAGGGAACATGAACATCATAGGATACACAGGGAACATGAACACCATAGGATACACAGGGAACATGAACACCATAGAATGTACAGGGAACATGAACACCATAGGATACACAGGGAACAAGTCACCATACGATACACAGGGAACAAGAACACCATAGGATACACAGGGAACATGAACACCATAGGATACACAGGGAACGAGAACACCATAGGATACACAGGGAACATGAACACCATAGGATACACTTTTAGCAATATTCCAGCAATATCACGGCGGGGGACACCAGAAATGGGCTTCACACATTGTACCCATGTCGGGAATCGAACCCGGGTCTTCGGCGTGACGAGTGATCGCTTTAACCCCTAGGCTACCCGACCGCCCCATATAGAATATATAGAGAACATGAACACCACAGAATGTACAGGCAACATGAACACCATAGAATACACAGGGAACATGAACACCATAGGATACACAGGGAACATGAACACCATAGGATACACAGGGAACATGAACACCATAGGATACACAGGGAACATGAACACCATAGAATGTACAGGGAACATGAACACCATAGGATACACAGGGAACATGAACACCATAGGATACACGGGGTACATGAACACCATAGGATGTACAGGGAACGAGAACACCATAGGATACACAGGGAACATGAACACCATAGAATACACAGGGAACATGAACACCATAGGATACACAGGGAACAAGAACACCATAGGATACACAGGGAACATGAACACCATAGGATACACAGGGAACATGAACACCATAGGATACACAGGGTACATGAACACCATAGGATACACAGGGAACGAGAACACCATAGGATACACAGGGAACAAGAACACCATAGGATACACGGGGAACATGAACACAATAGAATGTACAGGGAACATGAACACCATAGGATGTACAGGCAACATGAACACCATAGGATACACAAGTAACAAGAATACCATAGGATACACAGGGAACAAGAACACCATAGGATACACAGGGAACATGAACACCATAGGATACACAGGGAACATGAACACCATAGGATGTACAGGGAATGAGAACACCATAGGATGTACAGGGAACAAGAACACCATAGGATACACAGGGAACAAGAACACCATAGGATACACAGGGAACATGAACACCATAGGATACACAGGGAACATGAACACCATAGGATACACAGGGAACAAGAACACCATAGGATACACAGGGAACATGAACACCATAGGATACACAGGGAACATGAACACCATAGGATACACGGGGAACAAGAACACCATAGGATACACAGGGAACAAGCACACCATAGGATACACAGAGTACATGAACACCATAGAATGTACAGGGAATGAGAACACCATAGAAAACATGGAGAACCTAGCGTCTCTTTTCAAAACATAATTTTACCTCCACTGGAATAATTTTTCATCAGATATATTGGTGAGTGAATGACTTGGTTCAAGATCACTTTCAACAATATTCCACTTATATCACGGTGTGTTAGCTTCATGTGGAAAGAAAGCATGAAATGATGCAGGTCCAAGATGTTTACCACTTTGGTGAATCACACGAGCACGGGTATGGTGCTGACTAATCAAGAAACATAATCGGGCAAAGCAGGATTCAAATCCCTATCACAGGTTTCTGGCATGCCCAAGGGATGCAACTCAGCACAACGAAATACAGAGCCTCAGAGTGAGTGAGTGACTATGGTTTTACGCCGCTTTTAGCAATATTCCAGCAATATCACGGCGGGGGACACGAGAAATGGGCTTCACACATTGTACCCATGTCGGGAATCGAACCCGGATCTTCGGCGTGACGAGCGAACGCTTTAACCACTAGGCTACCCGACCGCCCACAGAGCCTCAGACAATTGGGACACATGTCATCTGCCTTCCGATATACATGTGATTCAGTTGTCATGAAACATGCACATATGTCTCATGACTGTTTGAGTACAGGTAGAAACAGCTACGGAAAATTAGCAAGAAATCTTTGTAATTTCAATGTTGATAAACATTATGTACCGGTACTCGAAATATCATTTCAAGCAGCGCTTGATTTGAAACTAAACTGTATATATCTGTATGTGGCCCTAAGGCCTTATTACCAAATAAACTGATTGATTGATGTGTTTGCAGAATTGGGGGTGTTATTGAGTATTTGATGTGTGGACATTTCAACATTTGAAACCTCCATTTAAGCCACAGGTTTCAAATATCATCTAACACCCACAAACCTGACACACAATATGTGTATCGCCTCAATGAAGCTGAAGATGGAGAAGCACCTTGTGGGGCAGGATGTGGGCTATCTTGCTAGCCTCCATGCCAGATGCCTTCAGTTCAGCCTCAGCCTCTGCCCGGGTCTTGCCTTTCATCAGAGCCTCTGTCTGGGCCAGGAAGTTAGCTTGCAGGATCTGGAACACACATGGCCAACATCACTGGCATTGGTATACAATATGATGCCAGTACTAACAGTGCTGTAATTTAACACTAAGCTAAGATTAATATAAAAATTATCTACTCCGAATTTTACTAGACTCGGGCTTTGGACTTCGGACTAGTCACAGCCTGATTCATACTACTGAAATTTCCATGATCAGAGCCCCTAAGCCAAGAAAACACTAGTTCTCAGTAGTTGCACAATTAATACTTACAAAAGTTACATAGATATTTTTGGTTCCAAAGAGGACATTTCCAGGCTTTTTACATGAAGGATTCTTTCTGCAGATTCGGCAATATTTTTTTAATTTTATGTTTCACGAATTTATTCCAGCTTTTCCACACAAGGTCGTTCAAAATAAAAAATAAATAAATAGCTTTGTTAATCATTGATTTATATGAAAGTCATTCTGCCATGGAGATAAAACTGCAACTGGCTTCTTGAATCACTGAAAGTGATGTAGCCCGTGAAATGAAAAATCAAAAACATGTGGCCTTACTCATTTCTTTCGCTGCATAAGGGGGTTATAGATTGAGCCCAAATTTAGACAGGACTGAAGGCCTCTCTGTACAGGGGGGTGAGTCTCCACCTACCTCATGGTGAAGGCCTTTCTGTAGAGGTTAGTGAGTCTCCACCTACCTCATGGTGAAGGCCTTTCTGTACAGGGGGGTGAGTCTCCACTTACTTCATGGTGAAGGCCTTTCTGTACAGGGGGGGTGAGTCTCCACCTACCTCATGGTGAAGGCCTTTCTGTAGAGGTTAGTGAGTCTCCACCTACCTCATGGTGAAGGCCTTTCTGTACAGGGGGGTGAGTCTCCACTTACTTCATGGTGAAGGCCTTTCTGTACAGGGGGGGTGAGTCTCCACCTACCTCATGGTGAAGGCCTTTCTGTAGAGGTTAGTGAGTCTCCACCTACCTCATGGTGAAGGCCTTTCTGTACAGGGGGGTGAGTCTCCACTTACTTCATGGTGAAGGCCTTTCTGTACAGGGGGGGTGAGTCTCCACCTACCTCATGGTGAAGGCCTTTCTGTACAGGGGGGTGAGTCTCCACCTACCTCATGGTGAAGGCCTTTCTGTACAGGGGGGTGAGTCTCCACTTACTTCATGGTGAAGGCCTTTCTGTACAGGGGGGGGTGAGTCTCGACCTACCTCATGGTGAAGGCCTTTCTGTACAGGGTTGTGTGTCCCCACCTACCTCATGGTGAAGGCCTTTCTGTACAGGGGGGTGAGTCTCCACCTACCTCATGGTGAAGGCCTCTCTGTACAGGGGGGTGAGTCTCCACTTACTTCATGGTGAAGGCCTTTCTGTACAGGGGGATGAGTCTCCACCTACCTCATGGTGAAGGCCTCTCTGTACAGGGGGGTGAGTCTCCACTTACTTCAAGGTGAAGGCCTTTCTGTACAGGGGGTGAGTCTCCACCTACCTCATGGTGAAGGCCTTTCTGTACAGGGGGGTGAGTCTCCACCTACCTCATGGTGAAGGCCTTTCTGTACAGGGGGGTGAGTCTCAACCTACCTCATTGTGAAGGCCTTTCTGTAGAGGTTAGTGAGTCTCAACCTACCTCATGGTGAAGGCCTCTCTGTACAGGGGGGTGAGTCTCCACTTACTTCATGGTGAAGGCCTTTCTGTACAGGGGGGTGAGTCTCCACCTACCTCATGGTGAAGGCCTTTCTGTACAGGGGGGTGAGCCTCCACCTACCTCATCGTGAAGGCCTCTCTGTACAGGGTGGGTCGTGAGTCTCCACCTACCTCATGGTGAAGGCCTCTCTGTACAGGATGGGTTGTGAGTCTCCACCTACCTGATGGTGAAGGTAGTGGTCCTAACACAAACAGCACCTACCTCATGGTGAAGGCCTTTCCGTACAAGATAGGTTGTGAGTCTCCACCTACCTCATGGTGAAGGTAGTGGTCCTAACACAAACTGTACCTACCTCATGGTGAAGGCCTTTCTGTACTGGGTTATGTGTCTCTACTGGCATCAGGAAGTCACACGGAATCAGGCGGGTTCCTGGAGATCAAAGGATCATATGATACTACATGCATCTATTGTGACTTAATAGCCTCTGATTGACCAATCATAATCAAGTTAATTCCAAATTCATGGTAGAATAAAGAATAATCAAATACTACTCAAATCTTAAGTTCTTTAACTTCTATTGAGAAGTAAGTCACATAAAATTCAAATTAATTAATTAATCAAATATAATTTGCTTGTACAAAAACATCATTCCTTACCCAAAATAGATTTTCAAAATATTTTCTTAATAAATGATCTTGCTGTATTCAAGCAGCACCAGTGCAGGTAAAACGTCGCAAGTGCAGGTAACTATTATTGCCAGGTTGCACCCAGTGCAGGTAACATTTCCCACCAAATGTGCACGGCAGCAGTTATATTTGATAAAAGAAGAAAACTTCATATTTTTCAGAACTGGATGCAAAGCTTTCTTAGAATTCAGGAAACAGAAGTTCATGAAAATAGTGAGATACACAGGGGGTCTGAATGCAGTGAACTTGTAGAACAGTCACTCAGGAGGTTGCAATCACATCAAACAGACACTTTGAAACTTCTTTTTCAGGCTGTTTACTGGATATCAAGATGTGAAAAGCCATATACAGATTTCCCCAAAATATTCTCAAGTTTATTTTCTCTTTGAATTTATTTAATATATTCGAAATGCCGTTAACTGAAAACACAGTGTTTCAATTTATGGTATCATAGCTGTGCTAGGATTGTGGGGTATCTAATGGAATTAGGTACCAGGTCTTAATCTTATTTGGACCAATCAGAATCAAGCATTCCTCTGAGCCATGGCAGAATGTTGGCAATATGCCAGCTTCATCCGAGCAGCCTGTAAATATCGAGTCTGGACCAGACAACCCAGAATAACAAGAATAACACTGTCCTCACTGTCTTCAGTCAAAGACTAACAAATTCATTTCTTAATTTTGTTGTTTTTGTTTAACGTTGCACTCGGCAATATTACAGCAATATCACAGCAATATTACAGCTATATAACAGCGGTCTGTTAATAGTTGAGTCTGGACCAGCCAATCCAGTGATGGACATCGTAAGCATCGATCCACACAATTGGGATACAATGACATGCAATAACCAAGTCAGCGAACCTGACCACTCGGTCCCGTTAATCGCCTCTTATGACAAGTATAATTGCCTCATGGGTTGCTGAAGACCTATTCTAACCCAGTTCTTCACAGGTTATGTGTTACAGTACAGTAGAGGTGTGTTACAGAACAGTTGTGTTAAAGTACAGGTGTGTTCCCTGACAGTACAGTGGAGGTGTGTTACAGTACAGTTGTGTTAAAGTACAGGTGTGTTCACGTACAGTCCAGGTGTGTTCCCATACAGTCCAGGTGTGTTCCCATACAGTCCAGGTGTGTTCCCATACAGTACATGTGTGTTAAAGTACAGGTGTGTTCCTATACAGTCCAGGTGTGTTCCCATACAGTCCAGGTGTGTTCCCATACAGTCCAGGTGTGTTAAAGTACAGGTTTGTTCCCATACAGTCCAGGTGTGTTCCCATACAGTACATGTGTGTTAAAGTACAGGTGTGTTCCTATACAGTCCAGGTGTGTTAAAGTACAGGTGTGTTCCTATACAGTCCAGGTGTGTTCCCATACAGTCCAGGTGTGTTCCCATACAGTCCAGGTGTGTTCCCATACAGTCCAGGTGTGTTCCCATACAGTACATGTGTGTTAAAGTACAGGTGTGTTCCTATACAGTCCAGGTGTGTTAAAGTACAGGTTTGTTTCTATACAGTACAGTTGTGTTCCCATACAGTCCAGGTGTGTTCCCATACAGTCCAGGTGTGTTAAAGTACAGGTGTGTACCCATACAGTCCAGGTGTGTTCCCATACAGTCCAGGTGTGTTAAAGTCCAGGTGTGTTAAAGTCCAGGTGTGTTAAAGTCCAGGTGTGTTCCCTGACAGTACAGTGGAGGTGTGTTACAGTACAGTTGTGTTAAAGTACAGGTGTGTTCACGTACAGTCCAGGTGTGTTCCCATACAGTCCAGGTGTGTTCCCATACAGTCCAGGTGTGTTCCCATACAGTACATGTGTGTTAAAGTACAGGTGTGTTCCTATACAGTCCAGGTGTGTTCCCATACAGTCCAGGTGTGTTAAAGTACAGGTGTGTTCCCATACAGTCCAGGTGTGTTAAAGTACAGGTGTGTTCCTATACAGTCCAGGTGTGTTCCAGTACCTTGATGGATGAGTTGGTAGAAGGCATGCTGCCCATTTGTCCCTGGTTCTCCCCACACTATGGGGCCGGTGGTGTAGTCCACGCGCTGACCACTCCGTGTCACGTACTTGCCGTTGCTCTCCATGTCACCCTGCTGGAAGTAGGCTGCAAACCGGTGCATGTACTGAAACAACAGATGAACGTCACTTTCATAATGCGCCACACGGTGAGGGAGTGGTTCAACACTGCGTAGATCACTTATAGCTGTTAAACGGAGACAAGGCTGAATAGCAATCATCATCCGAAAGCCTAATTTCCAACCTTGCTACGTCAAGTGTACTTTTCTTTGCTGAATGACCACCTCCGTGGTCTAGTGGTAGAGCGTCAGCCCGGAGAGCGGAAGGTCCGGGGTTCGATCCCCGGCCACGTCATACCAAAAGACGGTAAAAGATGGTACTTGTTGTTACCCTGTCTGGCGCTTGGCATTAAGGGGCTAAAACAAGGACTGGTCAGCTCAGTATACTGTGTCTGAGTAGGGTATTCATGTTAAACTGCGGCATGGTATCTCAGTGAGCTAGCACTATAAATTGGCATCATTCCAGACTAGTACTATAAATCGGCAGACTAGTACAAGCAGCAACACACACACACACGTACATGCATGTCACTATATAAGTGCAATAATCTTTGACGCGACGTTAAACCCCATTTCACCTCACCTTCTTTGCTCAATTGTGGCGCCACCCAGTGTAGAACACGAGTCGTGTCCTTTATCATGAAAACCAATTTCCAATCAGATTTCGAGGCGGCACGGGTCGCCCTTTCAACTAAGGTGTCACAATTTTCTGTGCTAGGGTGCGTCCCTTCGCATGCCAGAAACCTATGATTGTGGGTTCGAATTCAAGTTCGCCCTGATTATGTTTAAAGATTTGTCAGCACCATACACATGCTCGTGGGTTTCACCGAAGTGGAAAACGTCTAAGACCTGCATCACTTACGGCTTTCCTCCAACATTAAGCTGACATGCCATGATATAAGTGCAATTATAAGCAGCGTTAAACCCAAATCACACACACACTCACTGTTATTTCGAAAGGCTTCACAAAGATGGCTACCGTACCCGACAAACTGATCGAGCAGATAACGAAGCGATCTAAGATTTCATCCCTGACAGACGAACAAAATGGCAGATTACCACAGTAACAATTTCACGGATTACGACCAATAACGAGGAGGAATTAAGTACTGAATCAGCTGAAAGTACGTACCTGGTCATATGGCAGTAGGGTGATGGACTCCGACTTGTAGAAGTTGCTGTACCAGACACCCAGGAGGGCCAGGATCACTGGAATCTGAAATACAAACACTCCACTTCTAGAGTGAGTGAGTATGATTTTACGCCGCTTTTAGCAATATTCCAGCAATATCATGGCGGGGGACACCAGAAATGGGCTTCACACATTGTACCCATGTCGGGAATCAAACCCGGGTCTTCGGCGTGACGAGCGAACGCTTTCAACACTAGTCAAACAGACCGCCCCTCTCCCCTTCTTGAAGCCATAATAAATAAATCATCAATATTCAAACATAATAATTTCAATTGTGAGACGGAATATTCTATTCATCTCATTCCAAAATTAAAGCACAGAAATAGACAAGTGGTGGGAATGGGGCAAGCATCATGTCCAGGTTGACGAACTCCATCAGGAACGTGTGTATGTGTGATGGGGATTCAGTGCTTGGGTGAGATTTAAAGTTACAGAGCTGTTACAAGTTGTGGTGACTTTTGTTTATTTTTTTTAAAAGTGGTAAGAACCCTGGTGGGTTATCCATCCAAAGCTCTTCCAAACAGACTTCCATATATTAGTGTTGCCAGAGGTATCCCACAATATTTTGAATATTTTCACACACAGTAAACTACGGTCGTAACGAACACAAAGGGACTACTAATTTTAGTTCGTTATAACCATAGTTCATTTTAAGCATATTTAGAGCATAACTACAGCAAGTAGTCGGGACCAAAACAGTAAGTTTGTTATAACCATCAGTTCGTTATAACTGTCAGTTTGTTTTAAGCATTTTCGTTATAACCGTAGTTTACTGCATGACATCTAGAAAAGATGTCTGGACTATATCAATCAATCTTTCTCAGAAATGTTTTGTACTTCAAGATTTTAGGATATCAGTGTGGTTGGGTTGCTGAAAAGCTATTCTACGCTGGATCTTCACGGGTTGATGGCTTATTGCAACAAATGAATGTGATTATTGAATTTGACACTGATATCCTAAAATTGTCAGTAACTTATCCCTTAATACCAAATCTGCAAATATTGTTATGAATTTATGGCTGGGGTGCAAAACTGAAATCTAAAATATAAAATTTTTCAGAGTTTAAAAATGTCTACTCACGTTTTGCTCCAGAGGTGCAGTGGTGAAATGTTGATCCATGTAATGCCCCCCTTCCAGCAGCTGCTCAAAGTTATCCATGCCTGTGGGTCACAAATACAAAATTAATTCTTAAACATTACTTGATTAATCTTCTCCAGTTAGTAACATTGCCTCTTTATTTCAGCCAGATACAGGTTGGGGCCCAGTTGTGTTAGGTGACACAAGTCACCCAACAGAGTTGTCTCCCTTAGGCATGCCAGGATCCTATGTTCATGGGTTTGCATCAAATTATGTTTCTAGTTTTGTTCATGTTGTTAGCACCATGAACATGGGTTTCACCAAAGTGGTAAATGGCTGAGACCTGCATCACTTGGCGCTTTCCAGACACATCAATCTGACATGTGATATTACCGAAATAATGTTCATTGCCATTCCATGTCTTAGATTTCATAAGGACCCAAGCTGGGCAAGAGATGAGAGTAGTAAGATAAGGAGATATCACAAAAACTCAGAGCTCGTCATACGAACTGAACAATTTCAGAAGGCTTTTATGTTATTTTCCCTTCACAGTGATGTGGATAGTTGCTCATATTAATCATGTGTTTGTCTGGTCCAGGTTTTATAACCTAACATCCTCGATTCTTCATGTATTAATTCTCCATTCTATCACAACTTCCCTGGACCATCATCACAGATTTGTGTCTGAAGTGATGGACCATCTCCATCACTCTTATTGCTAATGTTGCTAAAGATTTTCTTTCAAATCATCAACCAATCAAAATGCCTCTTTTGAACATAAGTTCCGCCTAAATCTACCTTAAAAATAACAATTTGCATTCAGGACGTTAAGTGATATGGATGAACAGTTTTATAAAGACAAACCAAAGCTATGATGTGGCCTTATCCATCAAGAGAGGAAATTAAACTTCAAACATTAAAGTTTTGGTTGGTTGGTTTATTGTTTAACACCTCACTCAGCAATATTCCAGCTATATGACGGCAGTCTGTAAATAATCGAGTCTGGACCAGACAATCCAGTGATTGACATCATGAGCATCATCAATCCACGCAGGATACGATGACATGCATCAACCAAATCAGTGAGCCTGACCACCCGATCCCGTTAGTCGCCTCTTGCGACAAGCATGGGTTGCTGAAGACCTATTCTACCCTGGATCTTCACGGGTCTCAAACATTAAAGTACCAACATTCAATAGCTTACCTATGGACAGAGCAATGGAGAGGCCAATGGCGGACCACAAGGAATAACGTCCACCGACCCACTGAAAGGGAAGGTTGAGTCCAATCAAGCAGTGGTAATGTAGACACTAGGGCTGTAATGGTGTGGTGAGGTGAAATGGGGTTTAACGTTGCGTCCAAGATTATTGCACTTATATAGCAACGGGCATGCACGTGTATGTGTGTGTGTGGCTGCTTGTGCTAGTCCGGACTGATGCCGATTTATAGTGCTAGCACACTGAGATACCATGCCGCAGTTTAACATGAATACCCCACTCAGACACAGGATACTGACTCCGAGCTGACCAGTCCTTGTTTTAGCCCCTTAATGCCGAGCGCCAGACAGGGTAACAACAAGTACCATCTTTTAACGTCTTTTGGTATGACACGGCTGGGGATCGAACCCCGGGCCTTCTGCTCTCCGGGCAGACGCTCTACCATTAGACCACGGAGGCGGTTAGGGCTGTAATGATTCACCGATACCTACGATATCTCGATACACATGATTCTTGAATCGTCAGATTGTGAGATCGCAATCCTCAATTAATAGAACAGGAACCATGTAGCAATTTCTAAATGACAATTTACACTTGTCAGAGGGGTAAACAAAGTATGTGATCTAGACGCTTTTGTTAAAACATGGTTGAAGCTGTCAGACTTTCATTTTTTGGAAGCCTCGGTGGCTGAGTGGGTTACATCGCTGACTTCTGGTGCTGGCAATTTGGTATCTCATTCTGGCAGTGTGGGTTTGAATCCCGGACAGGACTCAACCAGAGTGAGTGAGTGATTATGTTTTTACGCCGCTTTTAGCAATATTCCAGCAATATCACAGCGGGGGACACGAGAAATAGGCTTCACACATTGAACCCATGTCGGGAATCAAACCCGGGTCTTGGCGTGACAAGCGAATGCTTTAACCTCTAGGCTACCCGACCGCCCCGGACTCAACCAGAAAAAGTACTAGAATCTGTACTTTACTAAGAACGTGTTATCCCAAATATGACATTTGTTACAAGTGACCACTTTCTAAATGGCATTGTGTGTTCATAAACTTATTTTCTCCAAAATAAAATCCTTGAAACTTCTTCAACCATTTCTTTTATCAATTTCATCATGACGAATAATTTTAAATAGGTCTCCATTGGAAGCAAAGCATTCTTTGATCTTGTTATGTAACTGTTTTTGTTTGTTTTATATCATAGCTTGGTTTGTGGAAATATGTGTTTTAAACAAAACAAGACTGGCGACTCGTAACACAAAGTACAATATACTTACATCCCAGAAGGCAAACATGTTCTTCTCATCAATTCCGAAATCCTTCACTTTGGGCTGAAAAAAAATTGTGAATTGTTTGAATATGTAGGTAATTTAAGATATTATACATTATCCATAAGGGTAGAAAGTTCGAATTTAAATTCGAATTTGCAAATGTGACTTAAGATTAACATTGCCGATTGGCCAGTTCAATTGATATGACATCACACTGCTTTATTGTTGAGAGTGAGTGAGTGAGTATGGTTTTACGCCTCTTTTAGCAATATTCCAGCAATATCACTGCGGGGGACACCAGAAATGGGCTTCACACATTGTACCCATGTCGGGAATCGAACCCGAGTCTTCAGTGTGACGAGCGTTCATTGTTGAGAACAATGACATCATGTATGGTTGATGACATCACAAATTGATCACATTACATCATCTTAACAATTTAGTAAAATCTAAATATTTTTTACATTTGTATACTTATCCTGCATTACTCCGTATTGCATTTACTGCTATGTTTGACAGAGAGACGAACTGTGTGAGATCCAGCTGCTGAAGAAAGTTGTCCCAACCAGCCCAGGAGGCAGCGCCCTCTCACAGTCGGCACGTGACCCGGAAGTCATGACGTCACACCAAAAGACATAACTGCTTTAAACATAACATCTGAAACTTCGTGGGGAGGTAGCGTAGCGAAAGGGAGGGAACTTAGACTTCGTAATGCAGGATAAGTATACAAATGTAAAAAATATTTAGATTTTACTAAATTTTTTAACTTATCCTGCATTACTCCGTATTGCATCTTTATCAGACGGCTTGGCCGGTGGGCATACTTGCAGATGTGAACCATATTAAACCCTCGTCAAGGTCCGATGAATCCGCACCGCATACAAGTGATGACCGGAACATCTACGACCATTCCTGTCTTCAGGAAACAAGAGTCGATGCAAAAACGAAACGCCCGAATAGGTAACCGATATACAATGAGGCGTGTAGCCAAAATATATAACTTACCGAAGAGCGAAAGCGAAACGCAGTAGAACCTAGAGCTAATCTGAGGTGATAAACACCAGAGAGTTCGACGGGCCCCGCTCGGGGAATCGAAGAATCAGCGGCGTCGGCGGCAAAATCTACGACCAATCCCAAGAGCGAATGCGAAACGCAGGAGAGCCCTCTAGGCTGGAGGCAAGGAACACCGGTGAGGTCGACGGGCACCGCTCAGGTACCAGAGAAGCAGCGGCGTTGGCGTCGGCGCCGGTGTCCACATCTACTACCATTCCTGTCGTCAGGAAACGAGAGTTGATGCAAAAAGTAAAACCCGGATAGGTGACAGCAATAGAATGAGTCGGGTAACCCAAAACTAAAACTGACCTAAGAGCGAATGCGGAACGCAAGAGAGCCGTCTCGTCTGGGGTGATAAACACCAGAAAGGTCGACGGGCCCCGCTCAGGGTATCGGAGAATCAGTGGCGTCGGAGATAGATGACCTGTTGGGCTACAACCAGGGACCAAAACTGTGAACGCCGGCGACAACTTTCAAGGCTACATCACGGAAGTAGTGGTTGGTGAAGGCGGTGTCCGATCGCCACGAACAGGCTTCCCTGAACGACGGGATGGAACAGTATACCGTGAAGAACCAGTGTAAATACGATCGCCCTGATCTCATTTTATTTCAGGTAATAGCCTTTGGGGGGAGGGTCCAATCCGGCGGCTCATACGCTTTAAGGATGACCGCCCGGAGCCACAGGGAAAAGTATTCCGGCTGACCAACGACAGCGACGAAGGGGAGACCGGCAGAAAAAGGTGTTTCCTAGACTTGCGGCAGTCTTTAGATCGTAGAATAACCTTCAGTGCCCTTACTGGGCATAATGACGCTCATCCTCATCCTCGGCACCCACACTGGACGAGGGGGGAGGGGACAAGGAATGATCTATCAGGCTGTCCTGGGAGTTGAGTCTTTACGCTGACGTCCCAGTACGGTCCAGGATGAACGCGGCGCCCTGGGTACCGCATTCGAACCGGGCATGGGAGACGTCGAGGGCGTGCTGTACATGGACTCGAGCGGCAGTAGTCAAAACCAGTAGAAACACCCGTCTTCTACTTAAGGTCGAAGAAGGAAGACGAGGGGAGTGGTTCGAAGGGCATTGAAGACCACATTCAGATCCAACGCAGGCGGTCCGAACTTGGTCTTCAGGTCTTCAAGACTGAACGAGCGCAGCCAGGCCCGTGGGTCGGGAATTTTCGTCTTTCTCCGATCGTCCGGGATGGCCAGAAAGGAGTAGATGGCGACCAGGTATGTGGGGGTGGTAAGCCCTTCAACCGATGGGTGCTACACAAGTACAGAAGGAACTGATCCAGGATCTGCGGTGACGCTGTCATCGGATCCTGGTGTTTGTCAGAACAAAATGCCTGGAACAAGCATCATTTATCAGCATACAGTCCCCCTGTAGATGGACGGTGGGCTGAAGCAATAGCCTTGGTCGCTCTAGCCGAATAGCCCTTGGCTTTCTGCATGTGTGTCAGGCCTGCAGACGATAACATGCGGGTATGAGGGTGTGGCAACAGACCGTGTGGATGGAGCAGAAGGTTGGACCACACCGGAAGTTCCAGGGGTTGTCTCTGGCTATGTTTCGGAGGTCGATAACCCAACTTCTGGCTGACCAATAAGGCGAGACCAAAGTCAATGGCAGGTGTCGAGTGGCCTGGATCTCTGAAGAACCGTGGGAGGGAGAACCGGAGTCGGAAAAGCGTACGCGCGTAATCCTTCTCAGGAACGATGGAAGGCTTCGACTGCCACAGCGGTCGTATCCGGCACAGGTGGAATGGAAGACGACAGCTGGCCACATTCAGATATGAGGCAAACAGATCTAGGGTTGGGGTGTCGACCGTTTCACATAGTCTGGCCCGAGGCGCCGGAGAGCGTGAGGCGTCGGAGAGCTTGAGGCGCCTGGAACGCCGAAGATGGTGATTCTCGGGGGCGCCGGTCGAGTTTGTGGCGCCGGGAGAGGGGCGAGAACTCTGGGTCCGCAAACACCACACTACGGTGACGTCGTCAGTGGACACGATCAACAGGGCGTGACCGAGAATGCACTATCAGCAAGTGCCGTCCTGGATAAGCATTTATCTCGAGGCTGTTGCTGTGCCAATGGTGTTGATCTCTGGATCACAGGTGGTCACAATGTGGGCTGGCGTGGGCCACTAGCCACTGACAAGGTGGCAGGGGAGGTCGTCAGCAACAGGGGTCTGCGATTGCGTACCGTCGGTACGATTCGGAAAAAGGTGTGATCGCCTGCGAGCCAACCTCAAGTAGACGAAGTAAACCAGCTTCACAATCGACCGCCGGGGCATCGACGTAACCGGGTAGTAGGAAGTCGAGGCAATATGGCCATTGCACGAAGTAATGAGATCGTTTTCATCCCTGAAGCGGCGTATAAGTACTCCTGTTCTTATATCGAGGTGACGATGGAGGACGACAACACGATACGAGGCAGGTATGCAACAGGGGTCAGTGGGACGGCCGAGGGACTTTAAGTATCAAATCGACACTGTGTCCGGTAGTCAAGGCGGAAGATAGGAAGGTGTCGTAGTCGAAAAGATCAAACCGGACGAAGGAAGGCGATCTTTTCCATCCCTTGAACGCCTATAGGCGCTATCGTTCTTATAGCGAAGGGTTGATGAAACAAGGTTCCTCGTGACAGCCGTGTTGGTAGAGGAGGTCTATTGTTTCCAACATCCGTGCATGGATGGACTGCGACAGGCGCCTGGTTGAGTGGTATCACCAAGCGTACAGGTAGACATGGAAACCAATCTGTAGAAATACATGGCACCCCTTGCCATGGTAAGTTGACCTAAATCCGGTCGGAGTTGTTGACAGTCCGAGTACTTGACACGTGACATGTAAATCACTCTGCGCAGTAGCCGAGAAAACCGCCTTGGAGTCGGAACTGAGGTGTAAACTCCACACACAGACAATCCTCAATGAACTGTGTGAGAGACGATCAAGTGGTGTACCCGAGTTTTGCGATAAAACACGGAACCCCATGGGCGTCGTGGAAAACCCGGGGAGCGCCGAGGAAGAGTCTCTCTCAGGAACGCTGGCGCTAGGGTAGGGTAGAACAGCGTTGATGTCTGCGATGTCGACGAAGTAAACTCTTTGTAAGTGGATGTCGTCGTCGAATCTGATACAGACGCTGTTCACATGACGCTCTGTTTCGATGGAAACCCGCAGGTCATCTCTCCGGAATCATAGCGCTTTAAACGACGGGATTATGGATAACGTCTCAGTGGGCAAGTTGAATCAGACCAACTGTCTATTGGTTGAAATGATTCCACCCAGGAAGTAGAACGATAGTCACGATCCCGAAGACCGACGGGAGAGTAGCGAAAGGAGCGGCGACAGTTGTTTCACCATGCTTCTCCGTGTGACGAGTTATGAGACGGCAGCAAGAGAAGAGGGCAGTGGCGCCGGGGAGGCGATTGCCGATGGTGCCCCTTAAGCCGCAGTAGAAGATCGGATGGTCGGCTCGTTGATCTGAGCTTGATAAAGCTTGTTGATCTGAAGCTTGTTGAGCGCCGAAGACATCAGAGGATGCGGAGGCGCCGGAGCGCGGAGACATCAGAGGCGCCGAGACATAAGCGGCGCCGAGTCATCAGCTTGTCATGAACAAGTCATGAAGCTTGTTGAGCGCCGAGACATCAGCGGCGCCGCGTCATCAGAGGCGCCGGGAGCGCCGAGACATCGGAGGCGCCGAGTCATCAGAGGCGCCGAGACATCAGCTTGTCATGAACAAGTCATGAAGCTTGTTGAGCGCCGAGACATCAGCGGCGCCGCGTCATCAGAGGCGCCGGGAGCGCCGAGACATCGGAGGCGCCGCGTCATCAGAGGCGCCGGAGGCGCCGTGTCATCAGAGGCGCCGGAAGCGCCGCGTCATCAGAGGCGCCGGAGGCGCCGCGTCATCAGAGGCGCCGGAGGCGCCGGGAGCGCCGGAAGCGCCGGAGGCGCCGTGTCATCAGAGGCGCCGGAGGCGCCACGTCATCAGAGGCGCCGGGAGCGCCGAGACATCGGAGGCGCCGAGTCATCAAAGGGCCGGAGGCGCCGCGTCATCAGAGGCGCCGGAGGCGCCTGAGGCGCCGGGGGCGCCGGAGACATCAGCGTTGACGGTGTTGGAGACCGTGAACGGTCGTATGTCGTGCCAGGGGAGGCAGACTCTACGTTGGGAGCGCTGGAGCCGCCGGTGGAGTAGGAGACCGTGAACGGTCGTATGTCGTGCCATGGGAGGCAGACTCTACGTTGGGAGCGCTGGAGCCGCCAGTGGAGTAGGAGACCGTGAACGGTCGTATGTCGTGCCATGGGAGGCAGACTCTACGTTGGGAGCCGCCGTGAAGCTCCGCTGAGCGCTGCTGCCGTCAACGTAGGTGGGGGTCGACGAGCACGTTGAGCGAGGTGTGTCCTGGATACTCGCATGAGCTGAAGGATCACAGCGACGAATGACTGCAACATCGGCACTGCCTTGTGAAAGTACAGGGCGTCGTACAATCACGGCAGAAAGGGGCGGCCCCGACCAGATTTGTTCCCGCGGAAACAAGTGCAGCGAGGCAGAAAATCTGGAATTTAAGCAAAACATAACTATGTGGCAAAGCCACAAAGTGCGGGAAGCATAATGTGTGGCCAATCACAAAGTATGGGAAGCATAAAGTAACTCAAAAACAGTATATTTTATTAAAGTTTATGAGATAAACAAGTACGCTAAAAGGGAGCGAAAAGGCAAAGCCTTAAGCAAACACGTAACCATGTGGCAAAACCACAGAGTACGGGAGACATAATGTAACTCATAAACTTCGTATTATATTGAAGTTTATGAGAAGAAACAATTACGCTGAGCGGTAGCGAAAAGGCAAGGCTTTAAGCACACCAAACAACATACATAAATGTAATGTATTACCCAAGCCAAAGAGAGAATTCAAAACGCAGAACACGACATTACGTGGCCTCGTGGTGAATGGCCAAAATGGCGGGAAAGAAAACAAAATGGCGGGAACAACATTGCGCCCGTAAATTACTGTGACGTGAGCCACAGACGAGCGATAAACGTTACAATTTACGAATGGGAAGACCCTAAGGTCACGGCCCATAACAGGTAACAATGTAGCAGCATATAATGAATGTAGAAACACGCAAAATATAAAAAACAAATAATAAGCTTTAATTTCCACAAGGGATACAAAGTACGTCCGTCCGTGGAGGTGACAAAGCAGTTATGTCTTTTGGTGTGACGTCATGACTTCCGGGTCACGTGCCGACTGTGAGAGGGCGCTGCCTCCTGGGCTGGTTGGGACAACTTTCTTCAGCAGCTGGATCTCACACAGTTCGTCTCTCTGTCAAACATAGCAGTAAATGCAATACGGAGTAATGCAGGATAAGTTAAAAAATAGGTTGATTTCAGTGAGGTTTACTGTTTTTACGTTTTGTCATTTCTCTCTAAAAGTGACAATGAGCATGATGAGTAACGTGTATAGGTTGGTGCCCTGCCCAAGGGAGATATGGTCTTTCAACGCTTGTGTTAGCCAAGAGTAGGGCTGGCTATCGATATAGATTATAGAGATCGATAATTGATTAATTAGCGATAAATACTGGAGAAGTAACTTTAAGCAAATATGCAAAAATGTCCTAAAAAAATCGGAGTTGTAAGTGGTGACATTCATGCATGGATTACTTTGTGGACATGTGAAATATAACAAAAACAATTGGTTTCCGTTATCCGCAATTGACACGATTGACAATAACAAGTCTATTTCAGTAAATTTAAACTTGACTTCATCACAAAACTTTATGGAAGATATTATTGATGACACAATTTTCATATCGCTAATCGTTAATATTTTTTCCTATCGACAATAATTCCTATGACCGATCTTATTATCCAGCCCTAGCCAAGAGCGTTGAAGTTTATATAATCTGCAGAGAGGGGCGCAAACCATCTTCCACCACGTCGGCCACAAACGCAGTGCCTTTTACGAGAGGATGCAGAACCGAGAACCAAGGCTTGCTCCGCACAAGATAGAATCAAAACGCCCGAACCAAGGACGTTGCACGTGTGGTGTCATTACAAAGAATAAAAACCTGCCATAACAATGGACACATCTCACTCTTGTCATATAAACACAACAACCTACAACCTACCTGAAACCAGGAGTGAGTGAGTGAGTGAATATGGTTTTACGCAGCTCAAAGCAATATTCCAGCAATCTCACAGCGGGGGACACCAGAAATGGGCTTCACACATTGTACCCATGTCGGGAATCGAACCCGGGTCTTTAGCGTGACAAGCGAACGCTATGACCACTAGGCTACCCGACCGCCCCCCTCTCATGAATGAAGGCTGAAAGTTCCTCGCCCAAGGGTCAAGGCTTCTCCATTCCTCCACTCTGGACAAACGAACCAGAATTTCTTGTAGCTGGTTGGATTTTCTCTAAATATTCACCATCTGATGTTTAACCACTTGGCAAATTAGAATATGTTCAGCCTCTAAATTAGAATGGTAAACAAATATTGGCACCCTCAAAAGTTCTAATAATCTCTGGTTTTACTCATGAGAAGGAGACCTCTGGCAAAATTCTTACCGCATTTGTAGAAAGAGCCACAAAATGTTTGGATACAGCTTTTTCCTGTGGAAAAAGTAAAGTGAATTCTGTCAAGATGAAAAAGTACAATACAATGCAACATATAGCTCATCATTTTCTAGCATGACTCTTAAGCATCTAAAACCTTCTACACAAACACTGTGAACAGTTCGTTTCTGGTTTAAAGCTTTTAAGTTTGGATATTTGCTACAATTATGTATTTTCTTACGTCTTTGGCAGTCTCCAGGAACCACAGTTTGGCTGAGGTGGCATTGGTGATGGTCTCCTGGGTTGTGAAAGTCTGGAAAAAAGAGACATTGAATGCTGTTTAACACTGTAGGCAGAATTATTCAATTTTTCAATTTGATTTTTGTGTCAGGGCCAGAGTTAGACACCCTGAGGTACAGAGCCTCACAGGCTGACAAGCAGGAAAAACCGAAGACACATTTTCTGCAGAATCCCAAGAGTGAGCGAGCGAGTTATGTTTAACGCCGCTTTTAACAGTATTCCAGTTATATCGCAGCATGTCGTTTACGTTTACCACTTTGGTGAAACCCACGAGCACGGGCAGGGTGCTGACAAACCTAGAAACATAATCGGGGTGAACCCACAATCATAGGTTTCTGGCGTGCCCAAGGGACGTAACTCTGCACAGCGAATTGCGGCGCCTTAGACGACTGGGCCACCCATGCAGCCTGCAGAATCCCAAGAGGTAAAGTCCGGTTGAAATAGGAACAATTTGACATCATACAATGAAAATATAATGAACAAAAAAAAGAGTTCCAGATCATGAATATTTTTAGGGATATTTGTATGCTCAGTCTTTGTTTGTTGTTTAACGCCACACTCAGCAATATTCCAGCTATATGACGGCAGTCTGTAAATAATCGAGTATGGACCAGACAATCCAGTGATTGAAATCATGAGCTTCGATCCACACAACTGGGATACGATGACATGCATCAACCAAGTCAGCGAGCCTGACCACCCAATCCCGTTAGTCGCCTCTTACGACAATCATAGTCACCTTTTACGGAAAGCATTGGTTGCTGAAGACCTATTCTACCCTGGATCTTCACGGGTCTAGAAATATCTATCAAGAAGGGCATTTCTGCTAAACCGTTTAATATCATTCTGGGTTGTGAAGATGGGAAAATAAACTGGTCCAGGTTATCATATAATTTAATACATGAAGTTATAGCAATATATTGAGAGGTGTGGTAAAATATAGATTAACACCACGTTCAAGATACGTGCGTACATGTGTAGTTTTGAGTGTGTGCATGAGTGCGTGTGTGTGTGCATGCGTGGGTGAGTGTGGCTGCTTGAACTAGTCGCTGGTGTTAAGCCACTGAGATACCATGCTGCACTTTAACATGAATACCCCACACAGACACAGTATACCGACTCCAAGCTGAAAAGTCCTTAATTTGTCCCCTTAATGCCGAGGACCAGGCAGGGTAACAAGAAATACCATCTTTTAAAGTCTTTTGGTATGACGCGGCCGGGGTTCGAACCCTGGACCTTCCCCACTCCGGGCACACAATCTACCACAAGACCACGGAGGTGGTCACAGTTGTACACGGAACATCTTATCATGTACTGGGCTAAAACATGAGACAGTAGATGAGTTGGACTTTATGCCACTTTGACCAATATTCCAGCAACATAATGGCAGGTGACACCAGAAATGGGCTTCACGCATTGTACCCATCTGGGGAACTGAATCAGCCTTCTTCGTAACAGAGTGAGTGAGTATGGTTTTACGCCGCTTTTAGCAATATTCCAGCAATATCACGGCGGGGGACACCAGAAATGGGCTTCACACAATGTACCCATGTCGGGGAATCGAACCCGGGTCTTCGGCGTGACGAGTGAACGCTTTAACCACTAGGCTACCCCACTGCCCCTTGTTTGTAAAGAGTAAGGGTGTAAGGTATTATCGGTAAATTGAGGTTCATTCTTTCGACAATACGCATCATTTTTGTCATGCTGAATATTCTGGTGATGTCAAATAGTGATTTTTTAAATGTTATTTTCTTGCCAAATGCCTTCTCTGCCCCCAGCATGCATCCGGGGCCGCAAGATGGCTGCGTATTTATTGACTGAGTAAACATCATGTTGTACCAGCATCTTTGTTCCATTAATGAACGTCAATTCATACCTTAATGTATCAGATTACTGCTGAATTCCAAATTTAGAATCATCCAATATATCGTGATACATATCACAATACGGCCTTGTGATAGCAAAATAATGTGATACACTTTAAATCTCCAATACCCCTCCTTAGAAACAAGTGAACATTTTAACCACTAGACTACCCTACCGACCCCTTAAACATGACACACAGAAACAATGACACAACTTAATATCCTTACAACCGAATACTGTGTGAAATGTTAACAAATGTGCTCACGTTGAGTCTGTATAGGCAGTGAGAAGTTGGATGTAATGACACAGAATATCATGGATAACAATTTCCTTATCAAACAATACACATACATACATACATAAGAGGTTGTCATCCTGCACTAAATATCCTGAAACCAAAACTGAAACTTTGCCCTGAAACCTGTATAGTGTACAGTTGTTCAAACAATCGTCCCACAATGGTCCTTGGCTGCAGACTTCCAGCCCTACTAGGCCGACAGACAGCTCTACTAGGCCGACAGACAGCTCTACTAGGCCGACAGACAGCTCTTAGCTCACCTTGGATGCAGGGAGGACTTCCAGCCCTGTACAGCCGACAGACAGCTCTACTAGGCCGACAGACAGCTCTTAGCTCACCTTGGATGCAGGGAGGACTTCAAGCCCTGTACAGCCGACAGACAGCCCTACTAGGCCGACAGACAGCTCTTAGCTCACCTTGGATGCCACGATGAACAGAGTTGTTTCGGGGTCCAGCTTCTTGACCGTCTCCGCCAGGTGAGTGCCATCGATGTTGGACACAAAGTGGATGTTGGGGCCCACTTTGAACGGCTTCAGAGCCTCATAGGCCATAAGGGGACCCTGAGATGACCAAAGAATGACATTACTTTCAACACAGTTGTGATAATTAGGAGATAAACATACTGTGGTTTCAATGTAGAGCTAGGTTACCTGTAGCTTTAACCACGCTAAATTGAATTTGGAACCGAACGTGCAGCGTGAGGTTTCAAATATTAAATTTAGCGCAGTCAAATCTACTGGGTACCTAGCTCTACATTGAAAACACAGTATGTTTATCTCCATTCTACCATGACTAAACAAAACGCGAACTCTTTGGTGTTAGCAAATATACTGAGTGAAGCGGCATGGGTTGAGTTCAGTGTTTTGAGTGGGTTATCGATCTGAATTATGGAATCTTGAACAAATTATGGCGCTGCATATACTCAAGCAGATTGTTTACACCGTAATACTTCACTCAAACATATGACAGGCATTGAAAGCACGGCAACTTGGCATGGCAACTTGGCACGGCAACTTGGTAAGCTAACATGAAGTGGGCATCCCTAAAGAAAACAAAGCAAGCTTTGCAAGGCTTTCGCTCTACATCGCATGTCACCATTATGACGTCATATCGCTCATTGTGACGCAAAAGATAGGACGTCACAGTCGTATATAGAAAAACGCCAATATTCCAAGCTCTCTGTTGCCTCCAAAACATAAATACATTCCCTTTGTAGCTCTCTAACGTGTTCTCTGCATGAAATGTATTGCCACACATCCTTTGAATATTGTAGTAACCGCATCTGTGCATTTTGTAACCTGCAATTGCAGATATAATTATTTAAATATGCCTACTGACAATGACTGAAAATAGTACTATTCTATGAATATTAGCTTCCGCAGTGATGCGGTCGTCAAACCAGCTGTTTCAATCAGTGGGGGTTTATTGTGATTTAATAGCCTCTGATTGACAAATCAGAATCGAGTAAATTCCCCTTGAACAGTATTTCTGTCAGATGTCAGATTGATGGTTGAGAAAAGCCTAGAGTCTAAAGACATTTACCACTTTCATGAGCACAGTGTGGTTCTGACAACCTGAAAAACGTACAACGGGTAAATCGGGACATCAAACCCATGATCAGTAGTTACAGGCACACCCAAAGGACAAAACCTTGAACAGCAAATTACAGCATCGGGGCCATTCAGGCCCATTACTCAATCTCATTGAAATCAGATCTCAGTTCTCGCTGCCCCTAAACAAAGATCTGAGGACATCCCATTACGGGTTACGTCAGACCGACCTTTCGCGAACTCTGACCGACCAATGAAATTACTGACAAGAAGTCGACATTAGCCAATCAGAAGGCAGCTTTCTTGTGCTTTACGGCACTAACTGCAAATTGGCGACTACGCTTCATAACATATTTTGACAAATTCTTGCTTAAAAATTTGAAACCTGAACAAAAGACCATTCTCGAATGGCTAATATATGGTCCAGATTGTATAGATTCAGTCGTTAAGCCTGAAACTATCGTTCGGAATACCCCGTTTAAATTTTTTGAGGCTGCGTGATTAGAAATCACATTCCGGATTTCACTTTCATGATTTAGTAAGCGACGCTCTGATTGGTCGGATGAAAGGTCGTTCTGACGCGACCCCTAATTGGATGTCCTCAGATCTTTGTTTAGCGGTAGCGAGAACTAAGATCTGATTTTAATGAGATTGGCCCATTACTGAACATATATACTCGTAGCAAAGAGAGGATACGTATCATTGTGATACTCTGTTTATAAGGCTTAAAATATATAAAAAATGGTTCTCAGACAATGACTTTTGAAAACAAAGTGCGAGCGGGCAGTGTTTTGGTTTTTTTTATTTTGCTTGTTCAAACAGGTATGTAACCAAATAAACAGTTGTGTACCATCACCCTGGGAAAGGGCCTCCCTACATAAACAAGCCTACAAACTCCTATTGCCACCATGACCATAACACAAGATGTGCAGTAAAGCAGTAAAGGGAAGTAAAGTTCTGTGTGCTATATTGGATTGCATTGTTTTTAATAAAAGCTAAAATGGATAGAATTATCATTAAACCGCCCGCATGTTATCAGAAATCAGTGGGCCACTGTACCTTGATAATGCCCTCATATTGCTTGACGACGGGCCATTATCACATCCGTTGTTAGGTGACGTCATAGGGTAGGGATAGGTGACGTCAAGTTCAATAGTGACGTCATCGGGTTTGTTCTATGACATTCCCATAATTGTAAACGTGAGTCAGTGACAATCGTGTTGATTGCAGTAAATGTTTCAAAACCAATACTGTTGTTTATTTTTATTTGATAATAAATTCCATCCATTTTAGTTATAGTAATGATAACGCTATTTTTCAGGGCATTAACATTTGCAGAAGCCTGAGGTCTGTAGTATTAGGACTTTTTAATTTTTTTAAAAAAGGAAATAAAAAGGAAACGTGCGGTAGACTTTATGATGATGCGGGCGGTGCCTGAGAACCAAGACTATTACTTTTTTAGCCTAAATTTGAGTGTGTTAAAGTTATGTATCATATGGTGACAAATTGTACAATGACACCCTTCGTGATCATGCCTTCAGCCTGGAAGGGTGGTTTGACCCATGAATATGCATGAATTTTGCTAAAACATCCAGTGACTGTTACAACCCTTATTCAGAAAAGACTATGGATAAGGTTAATTTGGGCTCACTTAATCTGACAAACTCAAACTAATGTTATGAAATGTATCACAAGTGTTATAATGATAACTTTTTTATATGTTACACATGGCATAGTTGCTAATATGCAAGGCAGATTTTTGTACGTTCTGGATTAAATTTACCATGAGCAAGTGTGCGAGCCATGACGATCTAGATGAAATAACTGCACTAAGGTTGTGCACTTCATGAAAATACCAACTTCGGATAATTTAAAGGCCAGTACCTCGACCATTCTGAAGCATTGTTTGCAAACAATAACCAACAACCCCCGAGTTTTCTTTGCTCTCTTCATCTTATTCCACATGAGAAGTTTCTGCTCATGTGACCACACAATGGGAGTAAGCTCATATCAGGTCAGGATGTGTTTCTTTCTGAGGAACCTTCAAAGTGATTGTCTTCATACGACTGGGACATTTATATTGTAATCTAGGCTTTGATTAACACTGGCATTTAATCCAATCAAGCTGGCAATCAGTATTCTGTAACTCATCCTTAAGAAAAACACACAAGTTTTTTTTTCAGTTTCCTCCAGAAAAAACATGAGTGAGTGAGTTTGGTTTTACGCCGCTTTTAGCAATATTCCAGCAATATCACGACGGGGGACACCAGAAATGGGCTTCACACATTGTACCCATGTCGGGAATTGAACCCGGGTCTTCGGCGTGACGAGCGAATGCTTTAACCACTAGGCTACCCGACCGCCCCAGTAAAAACATGATCGAAGCCAGTTTATTCTGTGCAGCGCTTGGCTTGTCAGTTTTGCTGTGCGGAGCTCTATTATTTTGGTTTGAGAATTGAATCATGCATGCTTGTGATGTCATATTCGGAAATTATTTTAAGCATGATTAAAAAAAACCTGGAACCGTCAACGTGCTGAGTCTTCAATGGGACAGTACACCGACGGTCCTGTGTGTTTTTAAATCATGCATGACACCCGTGAAGATCCGGTTAGAATAGGTCTTCAGCAACCGATGCTTGCCTTAAGAGACGACAAACAGGATTGGTTGGTCAGGCTTACTAACTTGGTTGATGCATGTCATCATATCTCAATTGTGTAGACCAATGCTCATGATGTCAATCACTGGATTGTCTGGTTCAGACTTGATTATTTACAGATCGCAGTCATATACCTTGAATATTGCTGAGGGAAGCGTAAAACAAAAAACAAAGAAAAATGTGTGTCACAACAGATGCCTGATTCAATTCTCAAACCAAAACAATAGAGCTCTGTACAGGGACGCCAACAACGCAAGCACTGCGTAGAGTAAACTGACTCCCATCTTCTTTTTTAGTAGAGGCAAATTGAAGTTTTGTGTTTTTCTTACAGCTGTTACAAAATACTAACAGCCAGCTTGATTAGATTAGAAACCAGTGTTTATCAAAGCCATGATTACAATATAAATATGCCTTGGCTGTATGAAGCCAATCACTCTCCTACCCAGAGTTCCTTGCGGCCAACTGAGTACCTCTGTCACATCGTCACATCTTACACAGTCCATTCATCATGTTCATGCGTTTTTCATCTGTTTCATTTTGGGTGAATCCACACATTTAAATAAACATCCGTTATGCAATGTTTAACTTTCATTGAGAAAATATCCTAAAACCCATTTCCATTTGCGTATTTAGCTGCCACGTCCGATCATCAAAGCCCTAAGGAGACCTAGCGATATGGTCAGTTTCATGTCATGTGTAAAGCTATATTGTCATGCACCTCACTGTCGTATTTGTAGAAGTATGTCTATATAACTATGCAGAACAATATGTAAAGCACACCGAAATGCTTGCATTGGGCCCGTCTGTTCATATTTCAGAATAATTGTGTTTGTTTACAAAAAATGGTCACTTGACAAGCCTTCAGCTGCGGAGTGGTCACTGGAGCAGAAACAGAGTGAGGCAAGCATTGTCACGTATGCTCGGGGGCTATCAGCTATTGTTTACCAACAAAGCTTCAGAACGCATCGACTTTCTGTCCCTTTCCGGATTTTTCATGGTTAAGAAAAAAATGAGTGTATCCCAATTACGAAGATATCAAAGCACACAACCCAACCTAGTTTCTTCCATTGCCAAAACACAGATAAATGATTATAACAGTAGAGTCTAAATGTGTGCGTTTAATGGGTTTTTATCAACAATCGTGTTTTGAAAACAGGATTAGTAGCCATTTAATTAAGTACTACTGACACGGAAATACAAACTAGAACATGAGGAAATACAACAAATATTTCTAAAACTTACGCCTTGCTAAAATAATATTTCCTTATATGCTGACCAATATTTTTTAAATCCACCAACAGTTACAAATTAAGGAATATATTTTTTTTAATTAACATTTTTTTAAATTAATCATTTAAGTCAAGATGTCTTTGTCATAACCCTAATCTTAATAGTTAAAGGTTCAGGGTGTCCACAGTTAGCACAAATCAAGGCTGTCCCATAGTTACGAACATCACATAATCACATTATCACCACACAAAACAATACATATTCAGTTCAAATTCATTGACCGATGTGATCACAATTGTATACGGTAATAATCAGAGTGAGTGAGTGAGTATGGTCTTAAGCAGCTTTTAGCAATATTCCAGCAATATCATGGCGGGGGACATCAGTGGGCTTCACACATAGTACCCATGTCGGGAATCGAACCCAGGTCTTCGGCAAGACAAGCGAACGCTTTAACCACAAGGATACCCAACCACCATAATAATGAGAAAACAGTTTCAAGAACTACAAAAAAGACACACATAAAATATAATTAAAAACATACATAAATAAATAAATTGTATGTCTCTTCCCACCTACCAAGCAGGCTTTATTATTAAATTAAAATTTGCAAACCTATAACATGAAAACTTTGACACAAGGCATCAACACAGCAACAACAAATAATCATGTGTTTATTAAAATGGCAAACATTTTAAATTTACAATAAAATAATTTTCCTAAATTGTTAAATTAATGCAGGCATGATTAAAATAATATGAAAAATATTGGTTTTGATTCATTCCCTGTTTTATATCTTGCACCATGTTTTTATTGTCATGGATTACCTCCCTTGCATACTGAATTTGATATGTATACATGGTCTTTCCACAGTAACTGAGAGCAGTAGAGCACAGGGTTGCCAAGGTTACTGTTGTGTTCCCTCATATTATTGTGGTAAACAAATGTCAGGCATTTAAGGGTTTAAATAAAAATAAAACAGAACAACTAACAACATATCTGGTATATTTTTAAAGAAATTTTAAAAGTAGACCAAATATAACAGAAAACAATTTGGAAAAAAATGCATGTACCGCCTAAGGCGCTTTCAAAATTAGAAATAGGGGGCTCTTATTAGAATATAATTTTGGTGAAAGGGTCGAAAGATCATAAATTTTGTGGTTTATGCTGACAGCCAGAAATGATACCAAAGAAAAGTCTGTGCGTATTATACACAACAGACATATTTTTCAAGAATTTAATTGCCCGTTTTTAAGAGTGCATATAACACATGAGTGCTTATTATACACGAATAAATAAGTCTTGTGTACATGGATCAATCGGAAGGGTGCTAATTGGGTTTTGTTCACCAGCCAATATATCAGCAAATATCGCTGTGGGCGCTTATTAGAGCGGGGCGCTTATTACGTCGAATACAGTACTTTCTATTCAATAACCCATGTCTCATACACTTTTAAAAAAAAGTAGACTAGATAGAAAAAAATAGAAAAAAATGTGTCTTATTTGTTTGCCACCTACCAACCAGGATTTATTGAACGTAACTTGGTTACCGGGTAACCTATAATAAAGGAAGCCTATTCCGATGAAGCCTCACCAGATCTGATCCACCGATGCCAATATTGACGACATCAGTGATAGACTTTCCCGTGTAGCCCTTCCACTGGCCAGAGATCACCTCCGTGGTGAACTCACGCATGTGTGCCAGCACTGCATTCACTTCGGGCATCACCTGGGTAGGATCCAAATAACTGTTACCATGGTTACGAAGGCATAATTTCTCTGAATTGGAGAGCGAGTGCTCAGGATGCATTTAATGCTTTTTTAACAGGACCCAGTTCCATGAAGCAATCTTAGTACAACGCCTATCGTAAGTCTATGTTAATGTATGCGAGGTACGATCATCTCAGCACTAAGATAGTTTTGTGGAACGGGGCCCAGTTCTGGTATTTCAGCTTCATCACACGATGCAACTGTGGGGCAAAGGCAAGGGGATGCAGGTCGTAGACATTTACCACTTTCTTACTTTGCAGCCATTGTTGACAACTAATCCCCAATCTGCAATGGAATCATCTCTAGGTGTAGTGATTCTAAGAATGCGAGTGGAAAATTTGATCAAATTAAATTTGCCATAACCAACATTTTGAAACATTTTAAAAATTAAACTTTGAATTAGGACACATCGTATGATTGCTTTTATCACTACTAAAACATGGCTTCCAACATAGTGATGGAATCACTGATGACATAATTCTTTTTTTATGCCTAATGATAGTGTCATGGGGTTTTCACGTCTACTCACATCTTTGCCATCAACCATGATTGGTGTGTTGGATCTGTTGCGGAGAGCAATATGCAGGACTGCCCTGCTCTCAGTGAAGTTGATCTTCTCCCCTCCGAACATGGCAGTTCTCATCCTCTCCACCTGTCGATCTCGCGCCTAGAAAGCAGACAACATGTTGAGCATTAAAAGAAAATACATATATAATAGTAATATTAGAACAACAGGTGCATAGTTGATCAACTGATCAGTGAACATTCAATTTTGTATTCTCATCTCATATATCCACATATCCACTTTAAAGACGTCCAGACTAATGACATCACATTCAGTCTCATGTCATCACTTCCATTCTAAGGACATCACGTCCAGTCTAATGACATCACGTCCATTCTAAGGACATTACATCCAATCTAATGACATCACGTCCATTCTAAGGACATCACGTCCATTCTAAGGACATCACGTCCAGTTCTAATGACATCACGTCCATTCTAAGGACATTACATCCAGTCTAATGACATCACGTCCATTCTAAGGACATCACGTCCAGTCTAATAACATCACGTCCATTCTAAGGACATTACATCCAGTCTAATGACATCACTTCCAGTCTAATGATGTCGCTTCAAGTCTAATGACATCACATCCAGTCTGAGGACATCACGTCCAGTCTAATGACATTACTTCCAGGCTAATGACATCACTTCTGGTTTGCAAAGTAGGTGCCCAATGCTGTTCGGTATATTGTTATACTTGGGTCTGCATTGTGATATACATTGCAGTACATTGGCATGAACATTTGTGAGATAGTGTTGGTTGTGATGATGTACTAACAGCAACAACTCGTAGCAAGTGTGACTGTTGCTGGAGACAATACTTGTTGGCAACAGTAATGATGGATTGTGCAGGGGCACCTGCCTTAACCTTCCCCTGGTCAGTTCTTCCCCCATGGGGGCGGTCGGGTAGCCTAGTGGTTAAAGTGTTCGCTCGTCACGCCGAAGACCCGGGTTCGATTCCCGACATGGGTACAATGTGTGAAGCCCATTTCTGGTATCCCCCGCCGTGATATTGCTGGAATATTGCTAAAAGCGGCGTAAAACCATACTCACTCACTCACTCTTCCCCCATGCAAGGGAGTTAACTGACCATAAAAGTCCAAACTAGGCTGGAATTATGGAGTTATATGTTGGCTGGACTAACGAGTCTACGTATAGTCCATCAAAAACATGTGTTCTGCCAACTCTGCATCAACAGATAATCAAAATGCACGCCTGTCTGGATGCAGATTGCAAAGTAAGACCCTTTAACTTTTTTTATACCACAAAAACAATTTTGATTATCAATCATATGGCCTTGACTGGGCACCGCCATGTTGTTTGAAGCAAATGCCAGTGATATGAGACGTGAAATCTGATTGGCCAGTAGGATGGACATAGGAGGCACATAACTTGAAATAGGCGAGGTGAAATTGTGTTCAACGTCGCATCCAAGATTATTGCATTTATAAAGCGGTGTGTGTGTTTGTGTGTTTGTGTGTGTGTGTGTGTGTGTGTGTGTGTGTGTGTCTGTGTGTGTGTGTGTCTGTGTCTGCTTGTATTAGTCAGTTTACTGACTCCGAGCTCACCAGTCCTTGTTTTAGCTCCTTAATGTCGATCGCCAAGCAAGGTAACAACAAGTACCATCTTTTAATGTCTCTTGGTATGACACGTGCGGGTATCAAACGCCGGACCTTCCGCTCTCCAGGCGGACACTCTACCACTAGACCACGGAGGTGGTCAACTCGTAATAGCCACTAGTGGCACTACGATCGACCCAGAAATTCCAGCCTTGTTCAGCAAGGGTGTGGAAACTGGACCTGTACAGTCAGATAATGCCCTTCACACAGGAAGATGTTTTAACTGTGGATTTGGTGCTTACAATGGCCGACCTGGGTGACTGTGTGTCCTTGTATCTTGGACTCCCTTGCCTCGGGTTTGGCTTAGGGAAGTTCTTCCCCAAAGAAAGTCATTACATAAGTGCAATAATCTTGAACATGATGTATGACCCCATTTCTCCTCACCTCTTCCTCTGAGACAAAACAGCCTTGGCTAAACCATCCCCTGGGAAGGAATATACTAGACCAGTTCTTTCTTTCTTTCTTTCTTTCTTTCACACCACACCACACCACACCACACCACACCACACCACACCACACCACACCACACCACACCACACCACACCACACCACACCACACACCACACCACACCACACCACACCACACCACACCACACCACACCACACCCATACCATGCCCATCTTGCTGAGGCAAGGGAGTTAACTGACTATCAAAGTCAAGTCCACCCTTGCCGAACTAGGCTGTTATTATGGTGAGGTGAAATTGGGTTTTACGTCGCGTCCAAGATTATTGCACTTATATAGCGACGTGCATGCACGTGTATGTGTGGCTGCTTGTACTAGTCCGGACTGATGCCGATTTATAGTGCTAGCTCACTGAGATACCATGCCGCAGTTTAACATGAATACCCCACTCAGACACAGTATACTGACTCCGAGCCGACTGTTTTAGCCCCTTAATGTCGAGCGCCAGACAGGGTAACAACAAGTACCATCTTTTAACGTCTTTTGGTATGACGCGGCCGGGGATCGAACCCCGGACCTTCCGCTCTCCGGGCGGACGCTCTACCACAAGACCACGGAGGCGGCCTGTTATTATGGAGTTACATTTTGGCTGGACTAATGAGTCTATGCATAGTCCAATCAAAATCTCGCAATGAAATCCAAATCTGGTAAGTAAACTGTCGTGCAGATTTCGGTCGATTGCAGGATTTGCAAAGCATGTGCACCGCCAACTCCTTGTCAACGGATATTTTCCAAACCTTTTCATGTTATTAATCAAGGTGCTCACGTGATTTGATGTACTTTGCGATGTAAGACCCATTTTAAACAATATAGATCTTGATGATCGATCAGATCGTCTTGACTGGGCGCTGCCATTTTGTTTGAAATAAATGCAAGTGATAGAATCGGATTGGTCCATAGGATTTGGTTTGGTTTGTTTGTTGTTTAACGCCGCACTCAGCAATATTCCAGCTATATGACGGCGGTCTGTAAATAGTCGAGTCTGGACCAGCCTATCCAGTGATTAATATCATGAGCATCAATCCATGCAATTGGAATTGATGACGTGCATCAACCAAGTCAGCGAGCCTGACCACCCGATCCTGTTAGTCGCCTCTTACGACAAGCATAGTCGAGAGGCTTAGAAGAGACATAACTCGTAATAACCACTGGTGGCTCTACGATCGAGCCCAGGAATTCCAGCCTAGTTCGGCAAGGGTGGAAACTGGACTTTTAAAGTCAGTTAACACTCTTGCCTCGGGAAGATGTACCATACCATACCATACCATACCATACCATACCATACCATACCATACCATACCATACCATACCATACCATACCATACCATACCATACCATCTCAGGTGAGATTCTCTATATACCAGAACATAATCATCTTGAAAAAGAACATAAGAGTTCTATTATGTGCTGTTGTTAGCACAGGACTTGAGTAAATGTTTCTTATTTGTAGTGCAACGATACAGCGATATATTATTGTGTAACGATACAAGGCCACACTATTACAACTCCTGTATCGCGATACATACAATCCATTACATTACTAGATCTATTTGTGCAAAACACATGAACATTAACATAAACAGTTCAACCTCAAGCTTACACAGATTTTCTAGTTTTTCCTTTTTGGCTATAAATAGCATAGCATTCACAGTGCCCTCCCGCATAAATGTTTCAGCCCTACAATCCCCCAATTTCAATCTCTGTAATTTAAAAACAAATGATTCAGGGTTGTGATTCACCTCCAAAAAGAATGAATACCAACTTACAAAATGAAAGTACTGTCATGTGATACGAATCGTATCGTCCCCATAGTATCGCAATACGTATCTTACTGCATCCCCACTGTATCATTACACATTTAGAAGCTGAAGGACAACGGAATTGATGCTTGGATATTAGCTTCTTTTCCTAATCCAATCCGACATCTCAGACCATAGTGAGTGAGTATGGTTTTACGCCGCTTTTAGCAATATCACGGCGGGGGAAACCAGAAATGGGCTTCACACATTGTACCCATGTCGGGAATCGAACCCGGGTCTTCGGCGTGACGAGCGAACGCTTTAACCACTGGGCTACCCGACCGCCCCTCTCAGACCATAAGACAGTCAAAATAATTTCACGCACAATTTATTACTGAAACTGAACATCTTCATCATTTAAGCATGTTAACTACTACTAAAGAATCTTACCAACTGCAGAAGCTGCTGAAAGACTTCATCATTAATCAAGTTCTTGGAAAAGTCCAAAAGGAGATCCCCATCTTTGGTCTTTAGGTTGATGCTGAAATTAAAATGTTGCAAGATGTTCATAACAGGTATCATAATTTAGACAAATGATTTCAAGAAAAGTTTCAAAAACATGCTTTTCACGATTTCATATATTCCATCCACATGTAGGAAAGGACACATGCACCCCAGCCTTCTATCTTAACTGGATCTTCCAAAAGAAAGGGAGTTAACTGACTATAAAAGTCCAGTTTCCACCCTGGCCAAACTAGGCTGGAATTCCGGGCACACATTTTGGCTTGAGTAACAAGTCTATGGTTGGTCCAATCAAAATCCTGTATTGAACCAGACATTTCGGTTAGTAAACATCCTGGATATCAACGTGCAGATTTCGGTCGACAGAAGAATTTGCAAAGCATGTGTACCATCAACTGGGCGTCAACAGATATTTTCCTAATCTAATGCTCCAGTGATTTATTGTAATTTGCGAGGCCCGTTTTATTACAATATAAATCTTGATTATCAATCAGATTGTCTTGACTGGGCGCCGTCATTTTGTTTAAAGCAATTGCACATGATATGAGAAGTGGAACCTGATTGGTCAGTAGGACTAGGGACGGAACTCGTAATGGCCACTGGTTGCTCTACGATCGAGCCTGGATATTCCAGCCTAGTTCAGCAAGGGTGGAAACTGTACTCTTATAGTCAGTTAACGCCCTTGCCTCGGGTAGATGTCGTAACTGTGGATTTGGTGCTTACAATGGACAACCTGGGCAACTGTGCACTCTTGTATCTTGGTATTCAAAATCACTGCCGATGCTTGTTTGACTAGGCAGCAATATTGACATGATTGAGGGACAATTTATTTTTTAATTTCATAATTTCTAAAACTCAGGTACGTGTATTTTAACACTGCATTCACTGCACTAACATAAATCTTTGCAAACTTTTTGAACGCTATAACAGTATGAAATAAACAAAACATTTGTGAATTAATTTTTGTGTGAAAGCTTCATGTAGAAAGCCAAATTAATCCCCTGTATTGTATCGAGAGGTCATGTATGCCTACAAGATGATACAAGTATATTTTAGAGTGATAGGTAAACTTTAGGTTGTTATATACAGACCTCAGAATATGTACTATTAATTACGAGCAACAGTGCTATGTTTACGTTTTCACACTTTTTTTCCCGGTCATCATATTGTATATGGTTGGTTGGTTGGTTGGTTTGTTGTTTTACGCCGCACTCAGCAATATTCCATCTATATGATGGCGGTCTGTAAATAATCGAGTCTGGACCAGACAATCCAGTGATTAATATCATGAGCATCGATCCATGCAATTGGGATTGATGACGTGCATCAACCAAGTCAGCGAGCCTGACCACCCGATCCCGTTAGTCGCCTCTTACGACAAGCATAGTCGAGAGGCTTAGAAGAGACTTAACTCGTAATAACCACACTACGATCGAGCCCAGGAATTCCAGCCTAGTTCGGCAAGGGTGGAAACTGGACTTTTAAAGTCAGTTAACTCTCTTGCCTCGGGAAGATGTACCATACCATACCATACCATACCATGTTACCGCTGAGTCAGGCGTTAAACAACAAACAAACAAATACATAATGATCATGATGATGTAACAAAAATCTTTTACTATTTTTCATGATACTTGCACAAGTATGTTTTTATTTACAAAAAGTCAAAAGCCAACTTAATTTTGACCTACTTTAAGTAATTATTCTTATATCTTATTCATAACTGAAACATAAATTAACAGATCATAGGAAGAAAAAAAGACAGAATTAAAAAGGAAAATTAACACAACAAAATTCAAAAGGCATCTTAGACAATTCCAAGAAGTAGAGCAAAAGCATAGGTATAACATGAAAACTGCACAGACTTTATTTTGAACTCTTGATAGACAAATGAACTTGATGACAAAGTGCTATTATTAGATATCAATATGAGGAGTCTGATCAGGATGAGGATGCTATCATATCTAACTACTTGTACAACACTGGCAGGATGTCAGTAGATGATCTAATTTACTTCCGTCTCACAGTATTATGAATATGGATGGAACAACCTTTCCAAGTGATACTTACAATACATACATGTATAAACAAAAGGCTTACATGGTACATTTTATAAACTGGCAGTTTTAACCTTGTGTCCTGTGCATGAAAATTCCATCATGTCCTGCGCAAAACATATTTAGGTCACACGTTACTTTATATTTTCGAGCATTAGGATATTGCTCAAATACTTTTTTTGCACATGTTATTAAATTTTTAAGTTGCTAAAAGTTTGGGAAATTACACCATGTAACCTGCTCTGAAGTTTATATTCAACCACAGGTCTGAAGCAAGTGTCAGTAAAAATTCCCAAATTTGAATTAAAAATTTGCCAAGTCATGTTATTTTGCAGTATGTATGAGTAATGTTATTTCTTTGCTGGGATGACTTGCATTTAACTGATAACAGGGTTTAAACACGGTTTTATTGGGTCCATTTAAATAATCCACATTTTGAACACAGTTATTTTTATTTCCTTATTTGTCTGCCAATGGCAATGGAATCCCTGCTTTTATCATAAACTATAGAGGAACAAATGTATATATGTAGGGCCATTCTCCAATCTTCAAACAACATGTCCTCATAGGACTAAGGTCATCCAAAGGTGGCTGCTGAGTCACGAAGTGACTTTTTCGCAAAGTCATTTTATAGTGAGTGCCACTCAAAGTAAAATCTATTTTTTCATTTACGAATATCCAAATATAACCTCATGTAGAGCTTCATTTTTACTGAAATGAAAGAAAACAATAAAGTATTTAAGGAAATAAGTTGAAGCAATATACACGTATATATTTGATCAAGTAAAAAAGTCATAAATCCAATATCCAAAATGCATGACACTTTTGACAGGTGCAGGGATGCATGTCAAGCATACAAATATAGATCGGTAGAAAGTGTATGCGTGTCACGCATTGTCATGCATGTACCTGTATTTCTTAAATCTGTCCGAATCCTCCTTGAACATCTGCGGCATGCTGATACTTGAGCCATTTTTACTGAAAGTCTCCTGCAATGCTTTCCAAGCAGCGGACCCTGACAGAAACTCTCTTTGCAGATCAGCCATTTTCTACGACCTTCACCTTGACTTTGAACGTGTCCTTGAGCATTCGGACAACTTCCGTCTCGCGCGGGGCGGGGGTGGACTTCCGGTTTCAATGTCGACAGCTTACGAAAATGTATGCCAATGTTTACCATTTGAAAACGTATGTATGTAGTTGATCATGCTTTTCGTTCATGTATCTTCTTACACAGAAACAATTTCTTCAAGATAATTAACGCGCCATAGAGTCTGTCCAACATTTAAACAATGTTGGGACATATATTGGTAATCTGTGTTCAGACACGAAATCGTGTGACGAAATTCGCGTTATCGATAAAACGCGTGAGTCGGGACTTTATATAAATCGCGTTTCTATTGATTTCTGTATACCACAGCTGTGCTGTGTCAGTGCGTCACACGAAATACATTACATAGTCTGGTCTGAAAATCGCAGCGATAAACAATATGATCATGCTCTCTTCGAATTTACTGACAACAGCAGTGCGTATTGACAGTGTCGTGCGTCATCCACGCAGCAGTAGACAGTCCGATTTGATGGTGTGTCATCTTAAGGATGATTGGACAATTTCAATAGTCTTTCCGTACACGTAATCAAGATGACTTAGAGACGTTTATGTCTACTGGTACTGCTTGAAAATTCAATCCATACAACATTTGGCCTCCATCCTGCAAGGCGAAACCGGTATTGGGATCTTTATACGGGAGCATTGTTCATATGTAATTAGGTATTGTTATGTGTGTTTTGCATGGTAAGCTGACTGAGTAATACATTCAGTTGATTTCTATATTGCATAACAACATTACTCTGTATTCATGTTTTGATTGAGATTATTTTGTAAGCTGATTACCTTGGCATTGGAGGTGATTGCCTTACAATGATACATGTCTATTCCTATCTCATTTTCATCACCAACCTCATGTTTTATGCAGTTGAAAATAATGTATTTTCCTTTTGCAGATTGCATTCATTGTGAACTCGACACCAATGACGATGTATCCATAGTGTTACATCATGCTGCATCGTGTCAAGATGCATCCCCTATCTGGCTATAGCGGGACGTAGTATGACTGCTGAAAAACAATCTGATAGCACTGGCTGGTTCAGTGCTTTCAATCACAGCTGGAACTGTATAAAAGTCTGTGTCTAATACGTATAGTGCTGACCAATATTACTATTGCCATAACTTCTAATTATTTTGGTACAATCCCTGCTGGACAGAAGAAATTAATAATCTGAAACGTCTTCCTTGATTCTATCAAAAGCTGATCTTTCATATTTTCAAAACCAGTTTTGATGTTTATACAAAGTTTTCACATATTTTTGACATTGTCCATTCAAGATTGATTTGATTTCATCATCAAGATATCGTGTACACTTTATTTATAGCAACAAGTTTCTTAATCAATCTGTCTAAATGGAAAATTTAAAGAAGCATCTTTTCCCCAGTAGCCGGCCTGCAGTGGGGTCTGAAACTAGATCAGTCTTTCATATTGATAATGGTAGTAATGACCATTTGAGCAAAGAAGTGCAGGAATGTTTTGAGAGTGTTGAAGAGTTTAAAAATGCTGTCAAGAACTTGGATGGTGCTGGAACCCACCTGACAGAGTCGCTGACGAAGGCACTAAAGGAGACGCAACACCAGAGCATTGCAGAAGATTGCGGTGTAGCATTCAGGGAGGTCTATGCATGTGATCAGACTGCATTTGTGTCTCGACAGCTACAGGACATGAGCTCCGCTCTGTATGACTTGAAAGCAAAGATGGATGATGCCACAGCAGATAATATGGCTGCTGAATATGCTCAGGTAAAGAAAACAACAATTTTAGTATATATATTATATGTGTCAGATTTGATAGTGAAAAGTTTTGAGCATGATGAGTAAGCTTGATGCTTCCTTAATATGTTAAGTAAGGAAATTTGCATGTTTGGTGGTTAGGAATATCAATATTTAGAATTATACTTATAGTTATAGATCGTATGGTTAAACATGAAAAATGGCTTGTGTTCATGCTTGAATTGATGAACTTTCATAGAGAATCTGAAACAGAATAAGTATGATAGGTTAGAAATGAGAGACAGGTGGTTATGCTGTGTGATCTTGCTAAGTGTTCTTTGTTCCCTGGGGCGGTCGGGTAGTCTAGTGGTTAAAGCGTTCGCTCGTCACGCCGAAGACCCAGGTTCGAATCCTGACATGGGTACAATGTGTGAAGCCCATTTCTGGTGTCCCCCGCTGTGATATTGCTGGAATATTGCTAAAAGCGGCGTAAAACCATACTCACTCTTTGTTCCCTGGCAATGTTTTTAATTGCTCATGCAATTGACCACTGGTTTTCTTGGACCAGGTCCATGTGGTCCAGACTAAGTTACTTTCAAATATAGATATGACTACCCGTAATGATTGTCCTGATTATCACACATGATGAAGTTTTGTTGTGGTCCTATATTTATAATTCATGCATCATACAGGGTTTCATATCTGTTCAGCTTTTAGGACATTGACTGATTTTCTTTCAAAATGGCCTCATTTCATCTTCTTTACTTTGTAATGACATAGCACATGCCATGATGTAGAAAAACATGTGATCAAAATTTGCTAAAATGATGAACATGATGAACATGTCCAAATGATTTGTCTCTTTGAAAATCATTGATCTGAATGAATACACTTTTTGTGACAGGCAGTTTTAATTATGTTAACAATAAAATGTGATAAACCACCAGTAGACACTCACGTGTGTAATGAAAAGGCTTTCATGCTGATTTAGGGCTCATTTGACATGCATAGTATTTATTGCATGTATTGAGTAAACCTTCTTAACTGTTATTGTTAAGAGCTTAGTTTTACTCTTGTTAGTACATGGACTTATGATGTTTATAATATCATAATACTTAAACATGTTAAAACCTAATGCTCATTTTTAACATCATAAACATGTCTAAACTATTTGTAAAAAACAGTTGATCAATGATGTAGTGATTCAACAAATATTCAGTTTGTTGTAACCTTATTATCACAGGTATAGACTAACAGTTAGTCCCAGAAATAAAGTCATTTTATCTGAAATATATATATTTACAAAATATAAAAATAAAATCCAAATGGAGGCCAAGACAAATGCTTAATTTCATGACTTGCCAAATCATTCTAGACTTGAGTTGGATTCTTTTTTTTAATTTTGCTCGGGTCTGGGAGACAGACCATCATGGGAATGGCAACTAGTTCTGCATTGAGTCTTTGACCACATTGATAGGCATGTATATTTCCATGATGTCAGCTTGATAACTTTTTAAATAATGAAGAAAACCTTTCAAGGAAAATTGAACTCCAATAGACCATGATAGACACAGTTTTTAATAATTGAATTAAAACATCTTAGTTGTGTTAATTTGTGTAAATGTGTGAAGTTTATGATGTATAGTGGATAACCTTCATCTAAAACAGGGCGGTTGGGTAGCCTTGTGGTTAAAGCGATTGCTCGTCCTGCTCCAGACCCGGGTTCCATACCCAACTTTGGTACAATGTGTGAAGCCCATTTCTGGTGTCCCCTGCCATGATATTGCTGGAGTATTGCTAAATCAGCATCAAACCACTACTCACTCACTCATCTAAAGCACTTTTCTTTGAACATAAACTTCAACATGTTTTAACCGTGTAAATTCAAAATGATACAATGACTACCAATTTGAGGATGTAACTTTATTGATTCTGTTTATTTAATGTTATAAAATCAGACAAAGTTCTGTATCAGATACACACCAGAATGAAATAGTGTGGTATTCAGGTCCCTAACATCTTTGATACATTTACCTCATCAGCCTGGCAACACATTTTTTATTATTCATTTTCTGTCCAACCAGGCAAACGAATATAATTAGAAAAAAGTATTTGTAAACAATGGTGAACAGATTAGATAATTGATTTAATGGATTGTATTTATAGTCCTAGATCTGGCTACTGCAACACCTTATAAAGAAAGCAAAACGTTCTATGACGTCATTGTTAACGCGGTAACTGAAAAAAACGTCAAGCATCCTGCATTTTAAATGTTAAATAGAAATAGCCAGTTTTTCCCACTCAAAGCAATGCAAATAACACATGAAGAGCAAGTGAGAACAAGAGTTCCACAAATGTATTTTTATATGGATGTAGCTAATTTATGACACATAGTCCATGAATCATAATATTGAAAACGTGTGGCCCTCGTGTCTTCTGATATGGAGTGGGGGGGTCGGGTAGCCTAGTGGTTAAAGCGTTCGCTCGTAACGCAGAAGACCGGGGTTCGATTCCCGACATGGGTACAATGTGTGAAGCCCATTTCTGGTGTCCCCTGCCGTGATATTGCTGGAATATTGCTAAAAGCCGCGTAAAACCGTACTCACTCACTCACTCTGATATGGAGTTTACACCAGGGGAGTGTTTAAGTATTCTCAGAGGATGTTATGGTGCCCCAGGCCTACAGGAAAGTAAACACTCCCAAAGTGGAATTTTTTAAAATCCTGTCAAGTTTATTAAATGAAATAATAATTGAATACATATATTGAATTACCATATTCGACGTAATAAGCGCCCGCAGCGATATTGGCTAATATATTGGTTAGTGAACAATCCCGATTGAAATTTGAAACTGGCTAGTATCTTTAAGGCTAGCTAGGCCACCTGGCCAGCAATATTGGAGACTATTTCACACACTGGCAGTGGATAATTTCCAATCAAACCTATAACTCGGTCTGTAATGATACACTTTGTTGAAATACAATACATATCTCATAGAAGCCAGCCCTTACAATTTGAGCAGATCATACATTTTGAACCAGATTACCGTATTTGACGTAATAAGCACCCCGCTCTAATAAGCGCCCACTGCGATATTTTCTAATATATTGGCTAGTGGACAATCCCAATTAGCATCCTTTCTGATTGATCAATGTACACAAGACTTATTTATTCGTGTATAATACATAATCGTGTGTTATACGCATCCTTAAGTATGGGCAATTAAATACTGGAAAATATATCTGTTGTGTATAATACGCACAGACTTTTCTTTTGTATCATTGCAGGATGTCAGCATAAACGACAAAATTTACGATCTTTCAGCTCTCTTTGTTTTTTTCTAACCAAAATTATATTCTAATAAGAACCCCACATTTCAAATTTTGAGCGCACCCTGGGCGCTTATTACGTCGAATACAGTATCTTTTTGAAATCCTGGACAAGTCTAATTGCACAGGTGTAATAAGGATCTGTTGTGTTGATTGGCTGAATACACATTCACACATCTTCCTAGTTGTCCCCATCAAGGGAGATTGCTGTGTGGTTTCAGCAGTACACAGTAGCTAAAATATCCAGGCAGTACTTAACTGAGCTAATTACCTGTAATTTGAATTCAGCAGATTATTCTTAAGGAAAATATGAATGGTTGGGTTATTCAAGTGATGGAAAGTTAAAGGTCCATGTGCCCAACATATGTTTGAATATTACCAGGTGTATGAGTGGTCTCTAAATGATTGTGTGTGTGTGTGGGTATGTTTTACGCCGCTTTTAGCAATATTTCAGCAATATCACGGCGGGGGACACAAGAAATGGGCTTCACACATTGTACCCATGTCGGGAATCGAACCCGGGTCTTCTGCATGACGAGCAAACGCTTTAACCACTAGGCTACCCGACCGCCCCTCTTTGTGACTGATAGGCATTAGTTAATGTTAAACATTTGGTTGTTTATTTTTCAGACCTTGTGTAAGGTGTTACTGGTGTTCTTGAAAACCCAGCAAACGTACCACAAGCTCTGTAGTGACAGGATGATGGATCTGGTTCAGAAACTAAACATGTCAAAAGGAATCCAAAATCAGGGGGAGATAACTGAACACTTTTTGGCCTTGCTGACCACGACTGTGGACAAATCACAGAACAAAATCCATCTGAAGAACGGCAGCAGTCCATCCCAATCGCCCAAAGGGAGCCCCAAGACAAAGAAAGCTGTGAAAGGTCCAGATTCACCAAAACCCTTGGCCAAACAAACATTTAAGTCTTCATTACTTTCTCTGTTTGATCGAAAGCCTTCCCCTGAAGAAGGTAAAAGTGCCTTTTATGTAGACATGGGATCTGATGCAGCTGGCTGCTCGACTACAAATGAGCTGGACTCTACTCAGACTGCAGGCAGCTCCGAGTTACTACAAAGGAGGCAAGATCAAGCAGGAGCTCATACAGAACAAATCTCTGCCTCGAAAGAAGTTCCACAAGCTAACCTTCTTGGCCTTGACCTCGATGGACCTGCTCAAGGGCACAGGAAACTGGAAGCCTCTGCTCAAGGTCACCCAAGGCTTGACAATACAAGTCTTGGTTTATCAAAGTTAGCTCTCATGGGTCAAGGTCAGATCCCAAATACCATAGGTCAAGGTCATCTTCCAAGTGCTACAGGTCAAGGCCAACCATTAGTAGAATTGATTGGGCTGCCTGAATCATGTGATCCCAAGTTGGCTGCAGGCAGTCTTTTGAAACCCCATCTGATGGGTCTGGACCCTGCCCACCCGTCCCATATGAATCCAGTGGTTGATCCACGGAACTTACAGATACATGGGCTTCAGCCCCAACCAGGTACCGTAGCTCACTGTTGACAATTCAGGGTGACATTTCACAAAGCAGTGTTGGCACAGCAGCTGTTGTAAGTCTATGTTGTGATATAGGATTAAAAGCCGTTGGAGTGCTGCACATGCTCTGTGAAATGGGGCCCTGTGCTTTTTGTTACCGTTATCCAAAGCCAGAGTGCAATAATATTACTAATAAATATAAATTAGACCAGTTAATTTATCACTGGTAGAACATGGATTCAACATCTGCTCAAGCAATAAATTATTGACAAAATTTCTAAACAAGCTTAACATGCTTAAGCAGGGTTTTACCAATGTTTTCTGTAGACAACCATATATGGTAAATGGGGCAGTTCACTCAAATATTGTATTCATACGCTCTTTCTAAAGTTCCTGCTTTGAGTATAACAGTGTCTTAAACATCATATTTAGAATGACATTATGTTATAAAGATTACCCTTGTGTGTTTCCATATCGTGAATATCGTATGTAAGAAATATAATCATATGAATGAGACTTGCATGATACAATTATCATTCCTGATATCGATGTAATGGCATCCTGTTGACAGCGACAGAAACAAACTAGTTTAGTCCACTAGTCCTCATTATGAAAGCATATTGCAAAACCCTTAAAAGGTCAAATTGCTACTAGTCCTTGTGAAGCCTTAACTATTGGGCTGTTTGGCAAGGACTACAGGACTATAGCCAATTTCTAATGCTGGTTGATGGTAAAACAACGATCTATATGAGGTTCCATCTTGGCCACGTGTGGTTGACTTATACTCCCTGAAGATGGGTAGGTGGTGCCGGACATACCATTTCACCGTTAGAAATTGGCACCAGTCCTGTAGTCCTTGCCAAACTGCCCAATAGTTAAGGTATCATAAGGAACAGTAGAAATTTGCCACTTTTAAGGGTTTTCCTGTATGTTATCATTATAAGGACTGGTGGACTAAAAATGTTTCTGTCGCTGCATTTTGATACAGATTTCAAGGATCAAGTTAATGCCTCAGCTTATCTACAGTGATACACGGTATATGATATTTGCGATACAGGAAATCCTGGGCTAATGATCTCTATATGGCCTGATGTAATTTAATACCCTTGTTGGTGTTTCAGGCGTGGGTGTGATGCAGGTGAACTGTCAGTTGGCTTCGGAGGAGGAGCTGGAGAGCGTCATCAACCTGCTGTCCGGCGTCAACTGTTCCAACTCGCCTATGCAAGCAATTCCCGAGAACCAAGTCCAAGGTCAAGTCCAGCTGACAGTGCCCCAGATATATCGCATGCCAAGTCCTGCCTCCGACTCTAATGTTGAAGAGATGAAACATCCCAAATATCAGATGCACCGACGTTCAGAAGGATGTCTGGATCTGTCCGGTGTGCGCGGAAACACCTGGCCACATCAACACAGAGCTAGTCTACCGGCCGTTCAGTCATTCCCCCAGCGGCCGATGATGGATCCGTCGCGAGATGCAACCATGTACATGCGTCAGTGCGCGCAAGAGATGCACATGCCATATCGTCCAAACCCAGCGTACATAGCGACAGGCCCCGGACCTGGGCCGATCATGTCCACGTCACAGTGGTCCTTCCCTGGCAGTGGAACATGGCCGGCCATGCACACACATGGGGGGTAGGTACAGTTATCATCTACCTATCAATGATATGAGGCATTTTGCATGTGCCAACATGGAGACGGTCATATCAATAACCAGACACCTGCCGGGCTGAAATGGCTTGTCAATGCATTTTGAATTGGCAATCAATATCAGCCCGGTCGGTAAGAAATTAGAGTTACAGCCCCTTTTGCCTTGGTATAAAAGGAATTTGATCAAAGCGTGCAAGAGAAAAAACCTGCAGCATGGACCAACAGGATTAATGACATGTATAATTGAACATCTTTTCGTTGCGGTGACTCATCGATATCAGCCCAGGTGGTAAGAAATTAGAGTTATGGCCCTTAGTGCCCTGGTATAAAAGGTATTCGATCAAAGCGTGCAAGAGAAAAAACGTGCAGCATGGACCAACTGGATTAATGACATGTAAAATTGAACAACTTTTCATTGCGGTGGCTCAGTGGGAAAACAGTGGGTTACAAAACTTAACACGATATGTGAGGTTGCAGGTTCAATTCCTGTCATCCATGATGAAAACTTTCATTTCTTGTCAAGCCAAGTAAAAGTTTAATTTACTACTCAACTCATCAGGTCTTACTAGGAAAAAGCCAAACCTCCCAAGAGGTGATTACGAGATTGGATAATGCCTACAATAAAATAGGCACAAATGGCAGTAGGTTTTATAAAATATGTTATAAAGTTAATGTTATGGCTTTGAAGACAATGGGAAAGGTTACTTGTGTGCTGGGGGCGGTGTAGCCTGGTGGTGAAAGCGTTCGCTCGTCACGCCGAAGACCCGGGTTCGATTTCCCGACACGGGTACAATGTGTGAAGCCCATTTCTGGTGTGCCCTGCCGTGATATTGCTGGAATATTGCTAAAAGCGGCGTAAAACCACACTCACTCACTACCTAATTGTGTGCTGTAGATCCGTGAAGAACCGGGTAGAATAAGTCTTCAGGAACCCATGCTTGCCGTAAAAGCCGACTATGCTTGTCGTAAGAGGCGACTAACAGACTCAATGACTTGGTTGATGCATGTCATTGTATCCCAATTGTGTGGATATTTGCTCATGATGTCAATCACTGGATTGTCTGGCCAGACTCTATTATTTACAGACCACGGTCATATCAATTGTGTGTTGTACATGTTGTAGGTCTGACACGATGAACAGCAGCTGGTCTGGTGTCCAGGACTCAAGTGACCTCAGTGATGACTCCTCCAGTGGGGAACAGTTCTACGCTGTCGGACGGGACCTGGTGCAGGCCATCGACTCCAAGTGAGTAGTCCTGCACCTCCTCATACTTCAGTCTTCAATTAGAATATACAGTAAACTACGTTTATAACGAACACGCTTATAACGAACTGACGGATATAACAAACTGCTTTTTGGTCCGGTCGATTTGCGGTATATATGCTGTGTATATGTTTATAACGAACTATGGTTATAATGAACTAAAATTAGTAGTCCCATTGAGTTCGTTATAACTGTAGTTTACTGTTGTGAACAAATTGTCCATCACAGGATATTATGGTAAACGAACTAACTTTCAAAGACTGTATGGTATGACCTGTTTACCCTTTAAAATTTATAGGTTTTTGTATTATCAATTTGTATTTAGCATGTGATATAGAATGTTTGGTCTCCCATGTATTTTTAGTGGATGTGGATGTATAAAATCTGGTCTTGTGTGCCAATATATATATAAAATAAAGACAGGAGCAACCCCTCTTGGAGATGCAGTATTTTGGAAAATAAGATATTTTGAGCGTTATGTTAGTCAGAAAGTACATCGTATCACTTCAGGTGACAAACTTAGTGAATAAAAAATTGAAATTTGGAATAAAACATCACTACATTTATCATTTAAATTGTATTTCCTGGGCCCTGTTGCACAAAGCGACCTTAGCGCTATGACCAGATGACTGTCATAAGCCTATGTATTGGAGTTACCATTGCCTTAGCGCTATGACCAGATGACTGTCATAAGCCTGTGTATTGGAGTTACCATTGCCTTAGCGCTATGACCAGATGACTGTCATAAGCCTATGTATTGGAGTTACCATTGCCTTAGCGCTATGACCAGATGACTGTCATAAGCCTATGTATTGGAGTTACCATTGCCTTAGCGCTAAGATAGCTTTGTGCAACAGGGCCTTGTCCTTCTCAGCATTTGCAGAGATTCAGATTATTTCTCGTAAACTGAGCTGGAAATAGCAATCAGCAATCTGCTGTACACTATTTTCTCACAGATCTTCCAGTGATTCAGTTAAAAATACCCAATAATCATGATAATATGACTTTACTGAATTTTGATGCAATGATTGAAAGAAATATTACCTGAAACTAGTATTTTACCAGGAATAATATATTCAAATATCATCCTATTTTAGTTGCAGCATTTACTGTGTATATTTAATATTAATATGAATAACTGGACTATGACAACTGCAACAAGAAGTGTTTTGTTGTATGTGTTATGATAAGATGAACTTAATGTGTCATGGAGTGCTGAACAGACTGTACCCCGGACAATTTGTTTATCCCCAGAGAGGACAGCAGTGACGAGGATTGTGACAGAAGGCGGGGCCCCCCCAACTACCAGGGAGCTGTGGCAGCGGACCCTCATGTATGTAGGGCTCTTTCACTACTGGGGCAGGGGACCCGTGAAGATTCCGGTGTAGAATAGGTCTTCAGCAACCCATGCTTGCCGTAAAAGGCAACTATGCTTGGCAACCTAACAGGATCGGGTGGTCAGGCCCGCTGACTTGGTTGATGCATGTCATCGATCCCAATTGCGTGGATCGATTCTCATGATATTAATCACTGGATTGTCTGGTCCAGACTCGATTATTTACAGACTGCCGTCATATAGCTGGAATATTGCTGAGTGCAGCGTTAAACAACAAACCAAACCAAAACCAAAACTGGGGCAGGGGGGTAGCTCATTGGGTAAAGCGTGCAAAGATTGCGTTTGTTCGTCACAGCGAAGAACTATGTTGATTTCATACACAAGTGCAATGTGTGAAGCCCAGTTCCATTCCCTGATATTGCTTGAATGTTGCTAAAAGCAGCATAAAATAATACTCACTCACTCTCACTACTGCTGAGTTGAAAGGTCAATGCCTATCTGGTATATGGACATTTACAGGCTATATTTGTCTGTAGTGTGTCCCGTGAAGATCTGTGTCAGAATTGGGTCCTCAGCAACCAAACTTGTTATAAGAGGCGACTAACGGGGTGGTCAGACTCGCTAACTTGGTTGATGCATGTCATTGTATCCGAGTTGTGTAGATCGATGCTCATGATGTCAGTCACTGGATTGTATGGTCCAGATTCCATTATTTACAGACCGCCATCATATAGCTGAAATACTGCTGAGAGCATCATTAAATAACAAACAAACAAGTAAATACGTTGTAGTGCATGAACATGTTTCTTGATCTTGTGTCTACATATCACATGTAGGGGGATGGGAGATCCTGTTGTCTAGGGCGCCACAATTCGCTGTGCAGAGTTGTGTCCCTTGGTCATGCCAGGAACATATGACCATGGGTTTTTAATCCCGGTCCACCCCAATTGTATTTCTAGGTTTGTCAGCACCATACCCATAACCAAACTCACTCACTCGCTCATATCTCATATGAGACAGGGGGCGTAACTCTAGAATAAGTCCAACCTTCTCTGTATTACTTGCTTCGTGTAAAATCACATCAAGATGTGTGTTCATTGCCTTAGCTTATGTTTTGAATGGTTCCTTCAGGATGTATCGTCCATGCACACCTGGCCTCCCAAACAGCAATGGAGCCACTCTAACCTGTATCTAAGCTCCGGTGTGGAGCATCTGGAGCCTCCGGACAACAGCCAGTTCCAGCACAGACCCGTCCAGATGCAGTGGAGTGACCCCATGTCATCTCGCAGTATGTGGCCAGCCGGACCCCCTCCCCTTGGTAAGTGGCCATCAACGTCATCTGTGCATCACTGCATCAGCATCTTCTACCCTTAAAGGGCACGAGTGACCCCCTCAATTGATGCGCCTCAATTCACTGTGGGGGGCAAGGGTGGCCCAGCCGTCTAAGGCGCCGCGATTTGCTGTGCAGAGTTGCGCCCCTTGGGCACGCCAGAAACCTATGATTGTGGGTTCGAATTCCGGTTCGCTCTGATTTTGATTCTAGGTTTGTCAGCACCATACCCGTGCACGTGGGTTTCACCGAAGTGGTAAACGTCTGAGACCTGCATCACTTCGGGCTTTCCTCCCACATTAAGCTGACACACCGCGATACAACTGGAATACTGTTAAAAGCGGTGTTAAACCCAACTCACTCACTCACTCAATTCACTGTGATGAGTTAAGACCCTTAGGTGTGCCTGAAACCTATGGCCATGGGTTCGAATCAGAGTTCACCCTGCTTCTAGATTTGTCAGCACCATATCCTTGCTTGTTGGTTTCACCGAAGTGGTGAACATCTGAGGCCTTGATCAGTTCGGGCTTTCCTCCCATATCAAGTTGGCATGTGTGATATAACTGAAATACTGTTCAAAGGGTCCCGTGAAGATTCCGGGGTAGAATAGGTCCTCAGCAACCCATTCTTGCCGTAAAATGCGACTATGCTTGTCGTAAAAGGCGACTAACGGGGATCGGGTGGTCAGGCTTGCTGACTTGGTTGATGCATGTCATCGTATCCCAAATGCGTAGATTGATGCTCATGACGTCAATCACTGGATTGTCTGGTCCAGACTCGATTATTTACAGACTGCTGTCATATAGCTGGAATATTGCTGAGTGCGGCGTTAAACAACAGACCAACCAATCAAATTGTACGATGGCACCCTGTCAATTCGGGTATCATGCAATCGGACAATGATTGTTGGAAATGTTTATTTACAATACATATAATTTGCCATGTTGCACATTAATATGATGTGTTCTTGTCTTGCAGGTATCCCTCCACAACGTACCTCCCAAAGTATGCAGGGCTTTGGGACTCTCCAGTGACCTTGACCTTTGTAGGTGGCCTTGACATTTCATCATACTCACGTCTGCATCAAGAGTTCAAAGGCTGCATAATAATTCAGTTTTGTGTGAATGCTAAAAGCATGAAATTCAAAAGCTACGTTGCAAATGATTGTTTGTTGTACTGTATCTTAGCTCATCAGTGAGGTGCTTGCTAGGCGTCAGAATCCCTTTATGAGGTTTACAGCCTTAAAAATATGTTTCTCATCACCTGTAAGAAGACACATTTCATGACCATACATTTTTTTAATGATAAGCTAGATGCATCCTTACCTAAAGTGGGATGCAAGATTCATGCTGTGATATCGGATTGTAGCCTTAGAAAAGATGAAATCCATTTGAGTCGTAATTGTTTTCACAAAACATTGATTCAGTTTCCTGACCCTTGGATTCCCATGAAAGAACCATGTGCCCACTGTGTTTAGCCCTGTCTGGATTCCAGTTAGAATAGGCTCCAGCAATCTAATGGCCCTGGGGGTCAGGCTCGTTGACAAGGTTGATTGCATGTCATTGTAGCCTGGTGTGGCTTGTTGTTCACAATATCAGTCACTGCATTGTCTGGTCCGGACTTGTTTATTTACAGGCCACTGTCATATAGCTGGAATATTGCTGAGTGCTGTGTAAAACAACAAACAAACAGTGTTTTGATTATTCGCTGCAAAGGCAGACACTTGAGGATGATGAACATATATTTACTTAAAGGTAGGGCTGGCTATCGATGTAGATCTTAGAGATTGATCTTCCTTAGCTAAATATAGATCAATTATAGATAAATATTGGATTAGTAAGTTTGAGGAAATATGCTAAAAGCTCTTAGGACAAACAGCATATTTCACATCACTGGTGAGTGGTGACACACTTATGCATGGATTACTCGGACATTTAAGATACAACAAAATCAGTTGCTTTCCGTCTTTGGCAATGGACAAAAACTGCTTGAGTAAATTAGAACTTTATTTCATCACAATAGTTTTTTTGAGATATTATCAATGACCTAATTTTAATATTGCTTCACATCAACGATAATTCTGATTATTGATCTTTTCAGCCAGCCCAACTTGAGTTTGTAGTGTTACGACAGATTCCATGAATTAGATGCATGGTTATACAGTGAATTCCTTGGATACAAAGCTCAACAATACGATACATGATACATTCTGTATCGATACACATCTTTGCACACTTGTTTTCATATTCTGCACTTTATTTTTCGCTATGTAAGGTGCATCTTTTTATTTCACTCATCGGCTAAGGGCTAATAAAAAAAAAATCAAGAAGAAGAAACTTAAAAAATAAGATTGTCTTGTTATTCAATAAATGGACGTTCATCCACTGTCTTGGAAGTAGGGAAGCCAAACAGTTATGTCGTGTAGTATCCTACCGAAGACCCACATTCGATTCCCTACAGCAGTACAAGGGGGCATGGGTGGCCCAGTCGTCTAAGGCGCTGCGATTTGCTGTGCAGAGTTGCGTCCCTTGGGCGCACCAGAAACCTATGATTGTGGGTTCGAAACCTGCCTCGCCCCGATTATGTTTCTAGGTTTGTCAGCACCATAACCGTGCCCGTGGGTTTCACCGAAGTGGTAAACGTCCGAGACCTGCATCACTTCGGGCTTTCCTCCTACATATAAGCTGACACGCCGTGATATAACTGGAATACTGTTAAAAGCAGCGTTAAACCAAACTCACTCACTCACTACAGCGGTACAATGTGTTGAGATCTTCCTTGGCATCCTCTGGCATGATATTGCTCGAATATTGGTCATAGTAAGGAACCTCTAGACTGATTCATTAACAATGGAGCACAAGTGATATGCTTAATGTAATTTTGACCTGTAAGTTGTTAATGTTAATCCCAAGTTAGAATTGGTCTTCAGAACCCTGCTTGTCGTAGGCAATCGGGTTTTCAAGCTCTCTGACTTGGTTGATGCATGTCATCGTATCCCAAATGCGTAGATCGATGCTCATGACGTCAATCACTGGATTGTCTGGTCCAGACTCGATTATTTACAGACCGCCGTCATATAGCTGGAATATTGCTGAGTGCGGCGTTAAACAAGACAAAAATGTCTGTTGGTGTATATGCTGGAGTGTATTTTTGCTTTTTTGCTTGAGATGATTATTTTGAACACAGACATGTTGTTGTTGCTGTTGTTGTTGTTGTTGTACATGTTGTTGATTGGTAAACTAGAGAGTTATAGATTGGAGTGTAACGATTCACAGACAGCATCGCGATACTCTGTATCATGACAAGAATATCGTATCATGAAGTCTTGTATCAGTACAAAATGATACACGTATAAAAAGGCTGTAAAGATATGCAATAATCATGGTGATGCCGACCAACAATTGAAGCAATTAGAACTATCTGAGATAACTGGGGTCTCAAATTAATATGTTTTAAAAATAAAATAATATTTTTTTGCATTACCAAACTCTTCAACACCTAAAAATCTTCAAGTAAAAACAATTTACTTGATTATTAATTGATTACATATGTGACAATTGTTGCAAGGATTTAGAAATGGCAATGTTTTATTTTTTTGTTATATATGTCACTTAATCATATTACTATACGACGTATTAAGCGCCCAGGGCGCTCTCAAAATTAGAAATAGGGGGCTCTTATTAGAATTTTAAAAAATTGGGATTATTTCGTAAATTTCGTTGTTATGCTGACAGCCTGAAATCATACAAAAGAAAAGCTTGTGTGTATTATACACGACAGATATATTTTTTCCAGAATTTAATTATCCATAATTAAAGGTGCATATAACACACGAGTGTGTATCATACACGGATAAATAAGTCGTGTGTACACTGATCAATCGGAAGGGTATTAATTAGGATTGTTCACTAGCCAATATATCACCAAATATCGCTGTGGGCGCTTATTAGAGCGGGGTGCTTATTACGTCAAATACGGTAATCTGGTTCAAAATGTATGATCTGCTCAAATTGTAAGGGCTGGCTTCTATGAGATATGTATTGTATTTCAACAAAGTGTATCATTACAGACCGAGTTATAGGTTTGATTGGAAATTATCCACTGCCAGTGTGTGAAATAGTCTCCAATATTGCTGGCCAGGTGGCCTAGCTAGCCTTAAGGATACTAGCCAGTATCAAATTTCACTCGCGTAACTATGCGACAGTTTATTTTTCATTCTGCGAAAGTATCATTAAAGTAAACCCAACTTGCAAATCATGAGTCAAGTATTATGAAAGGGGGGTAACTCTGAGCTGTAACCTCAATTCGTTTTGGATATTGATTTGATTTTTTATTGTCAAATAGATCTGTAGAAATGGGGGAACTCATTATTTTTGGATTAACGAAGGTGTGCATTTCAAAATCACCGTTAAAATTTCAGTTGCCATTTATTTTGGGACAATTCAGAATCTTTAGCCAGATGGAAATTTGGCTAGCCACGGGCAGGTGGCTTTTTGGCACACTGCTCTGGAAAGTGTTACAGGATAAAGTAACAAAGGATATTTGGTGAAACTGGAAAGAAATATCAGTGTTGAACATTATCACCGATTTGTATAGTTCGATTATATTGTTCATTAGTTATAAGAATCATTACAGATCTTAGAAATGTTATGTTAATAAACTGGAATAACATAAGTTAAGCATGTACTGTAAATCTGGAAATTAAGTCTCCAACTTAATACAACTGCTGATCCTTGGCCCAAAATGAATATCATTGTGACTTAATGTGAAGTTAATTAATGCGAGCAAAGACCACTCGCATTTTTCGCATTTAATTCACGCTAATGTTGATTTCAAGATTTACAGTACATGTATATGCTTATAGACAAAGTTATCAATATATAAATGTTAAAATTTGTTTGAAACCTTTGTCACCATAATTATTTTACAAATTCATTGATGTTACTATTTTAGTGTTGATACAGTTCTTTCAATATAATCATTTCCACTTTTCATGTTTGAGAACAGTTGGCTGCATATTTAGTTCCCAAAAGCTTTTGGGGCAGTTAAGCTGCTATATTGTCAAGATTTTCGTAATTTGTATGTATTAATGAACCCATCACACATTGAGTAATTATTCCCTACAATAGGTCAGAGGTGATATTTATTTTCTTATATTTTCATATCACGTTCAGTTTTTCGTGTTAGAAAGATGTGGGAGTCACTGCTATAGTCTTCATTTGTGTTTGATGGTAGATCATTGTCTCAGAATGAGGTGGCTAAAATTTAAATGAAGGGCCGACAAAGTATTCGTTTCACCGTAACCGTCAATGTAAACCAAGCTGAGAAATCGCAGCTGAGTACTGCTCTGCTTTTACTACCCATCATGCTCTGCTGGCTAATACGATTCCCGCTGTCTAATGCTGATTTTGGGTTTTACCAGCTCCGTCAGACTGCAGATTAGATAGTGTCATGAAAATGTTCCTACCCCTTTTATTCCCAACTATTTAAGTCCCCTTTACACAGGGCTGCGACCTTTGTGCCACCTTTGAACGATCAAAAACTGGCCAGGACACTCAATTGTTGCCTAAACCCAGAAAATCATGTTTGTATGTAACTGCTCGAGCAGTTGTTCAGCAGTAACTGCTCGAGCACAGCGGTCGCCACAGTCATCGTTCACTGCATGCTGTTGGCCGCCCAAAGGAGGCACAAGGGAGGCAGAAGCATCGCCCAGATTGACGGGAAAATATTTCAACTCTGCCTTCATTCTGCAACAACGGCAATGCTTGTGCCTCCTTTAAGCCACCTTTGAGCAACCAACCTCCTCGGCGACCTTTGTGCGACCATGGCGTCCATTGCGATGTCTGAACCTCCTGGAACGACCTAGGCAACCACTCGGGCTCCTTTGAGCCTCCAACGACGACCAGGCAAATTTTGGACGCAAATATGAGGCACAAAGGTCGCCATCCTGTGTAAAGGCCTTTGAACAGCCTTAGAAATTCATCTTTTTTAAGACTGGTGATGGAACTAGTGAAATTTCACTAGTCCTCAGAGTCCTGCTTGAACAAGATAAACATGATTACTATTAAGTTTTAATTTTGGACCATTATTGAAGCATTGAGAGTTATGAGGTTCAGAGTTATGGCCCACAAATGCTTCTAGTCAGCGAGGACTGCCATCATTGGATTGATACACTAGTCAGTTAGTAGCGGACTAGTGTGAATGTCAAAGCCCGAATCCTGCCAAACCTTTCATGACAAGTAGAATAGTAAAGGATTTCTGTATTCGTTAGCCACTTTACATCAAGCTACCATGGTTACCGATTGGGTTACTGGTCACGTCACATCAAGTTACCATGGTTACTGAAACAAATTTTTACCTGTCAATTTGAATAAGATTATAATACATTTCAATCTATTTGAAAAATAGGAAATCTATGTTTTATCATGAACAGGAATGGCCAAATATTTGTCAGGTTGACGTTAAACTCCATGAATCACTCAAAACAGTTAGTATTCTGTTTTCAGAATCAGGTCGTCTGGGTGTAACTTCATCCCAAGATCTTAGTCAATCTGTATCGGTGCTAAGTGTAACAACCAAAGCGTGTTCAACCTCGATGTCTCTGTCCTAGACGATATGGAAAGTTAACCCTCATTAATCCAGACAAGTCGTGTGTCATCACCATCGTTTCCATAGAAACCAAACATGAAGGCTCATGTCTTTCAAATAGGAGTTATGTTTCAACAAAAGGTGCTAACCAGTTCCTAAAATATCTTGAAAATATCAAATAACAAATTACCATATTCGATGCAATAAGCGCTCAGAGCACTCTCAAAATTAGAAATAGGGGGCTCTTATTAGAATATTATTTTGGTGAAAAATAATATTTGGTTGAAAGATAAATTTCGTGGTTTTACAGCCTGAAGTGTTTATGTACGACAGATATAATTTTCCAGAATTTATTAGCCCATAACTAAGGGTGCATATAACACACGAGTGCGTATTATACACGAATGAATAAGTCTTGTGTACATTGATCAATCGGAAGGGAGGCTAATTGGGATTGTTCACCAGCCAATATGTTAGCAAATGTCGCCATGGGCGCTTATTAGAGTGGGGCGCTTATTACGTCGAATACGGTATTACAAAACAGTGGGGTAGGGGAAAATAAGAAATCCACCCCTTTTGTAACAGTTTAAAGGTGGCAGCTGTGATTGGCCATAAAGGAAGATTATTTTGAGACTTGAAATAGATCAACACTCTCTTTTTACAGCTGATTAGGAATTCCGAGAATATCAATAGTGATGTTTAATGATGTACTGCAAAAGGTAAGAAACATGATTAAGACTAATTATTTGTTCAGGGTTACGGTATGTCAAACTGTTGTATGTATTGGAATGCAGGTTTGATGGACTTAAAGGCTTAAAGCTAAATCACACAGGGTTTGATTTTCTTTTTCACTAACCATATGCCATGTTTCTTCTATTAGAGGGGCGCTCGGGTAGCCTGGTGGTTAAAGGGTTCGCTCATCACACTGAAGACCCTGGTTCAATTCCCAACATGGGTACATTGTGTGAAGCCCATTTATGGTGTCCCCTAGGGCTGGGACGGGTAATGCGGGTACTCGGGTCAGG